TCCGGCAGGTGTCAAGCTCGGGCCCGGAGGCCTGGCTTTTGACGACCCATCGGGTTCGAGGTGGTCTCTGATCAAGGGTGGCATCTTCAGTTGCAGAGCCCGGACTCGAGTGTTGCCCGCAGGCATACTTCAAGATCGATATGCAGTGAAGATTGTTGCCGTCGAGGGATTCGAACCCACGACGTTCTGGTTCTCAAACCAGATTTGAGTAAGCGCTCACGCGCTCGCCAACTTCGCCATCCCGGCGCGGTGAAAGAAATCTCGTGAGGACGCACCTCTTAAGCTACAATCTTCCGCGCGCGCGTGCCCGAGTCGCGTTGTGCAGGTGCTTGCATGGGGAGCCCTTCACATTGGAACGCTCGGGAAATACCGTCTCGTTTCGTAGAGACCCGCTGTCTCTCGAGGACAGCATCTTAGGAGGCGCTATATGGCAGTTCTGTGTGCCAAGCTCTATCGAACTTGATGAGAGAGTGCCCCACATCACTAGCTCGAGTGGACCCGTGAGGTCGTAGAAAAGCCGCTCGTTGGAGGTCGCTTTGCGTCAATCCGATATGAATTTTGAAGGCCATTCTGGTTGTCTCACGTAGCTATGATGCAGGGACACAATCTGGCCCGCACGGCTCATGCTGCTCCTTGAGCATCGGTTGAGAGCGCGCTGAGCGCGCCAGAAATCGTTTGCATCAGCTGGCCGATGCTAGCCGCGCGACCGTTTAGGGCTACCTGAATGCGGCGCGCAATCCAGTGCTCAACTCACCTGGCTACCGCTCATGGCGCAACAAATGGCGACTCGAACTGGATTTCTCGTGGGTCGGACCCGGTCGCAGACGTCCTTTTGTGCGAGTCCATGCCTCGCAAAGACCTTGAGTGGCGCGACCTGCTGTCAGGGCTCGCTCTTAACGCGCTCGGTAGTTGCGAGGTGCCGCATAGGACGCGTCTAAATATTGGCCGGGCGCAAAAGCGGCTGCCTCAAGACAGCCCTCACTGCAAAGTGGGGGCAGTGTGTTATAGTGAGCCGGGGGTGGAGCCCATTCGGCTGCGTAGGCGGTGTAGACGTCGGAACCAGCATGAGGAAGACACGTCGATTATGACGATCGAGTGCGCAATGGGCGAACCTCGGCGATAAGAAATCGAAATCGCCAGATGTGTCCGTATTCTGCTGATTGCACCGGCAGTCTCGATTGGAAAGAAGGCGCTGTTGGCGACACTCAAAGCTCGGCAAGTGTAGCACTCGAGCGCGCCCGAGACTTTCCGCGATCTTCCATCATACGACGGTGGAGTCACGCTTTCTGCGCTCGCAGTCTGAGGAGAGAAACGGCCATAGTGGTGAGTCATGAGGCTGCAGCGGAAGCGCTTGTGTGATGCTGCCGAGGGAAGAGAGTGTGGTTGGTCGTGGGAACAGGCCATCTGAGTGTCTTTGGTGGCATCGATCTCGTGTCCGAGTTCCGCGGAGGGAGCAGGTCAAGCGGCGATGTAATGGCTGAAGAGACTGGCATCCCGCCCCGACTGGTGACCTTTCCACGACAGCCGGATGTCGCAAGCTGAGACTAGTTCTATAAGATGACGGACCTGGCAAGTCGCTGCTGACAGAGGACATTACAATGTCCTACGACAGTGTGCCAGCGCGGTAGCCTGGCGATCTCTCTTCCCCTGTCCGCTTGACACACCGAACGCCTGTGTTTCGAAAAGCCTCTCCCATGTGAGGGCTGACCGCTCGCTTGCCCGTGACTCTTTCCGGTACAGACCTTCCTGCTTTCTTTTCTCGTCTTATCCATCTCGAGTGTGCTCGCAAGACGCAGACGAGCGCTCATTCTCTTTCGAGCATCTACGTGGCGTTCTCCATGCATTCGGTATGGCTCTGAAGGCTTTTTTGGTGAAAGAGCTTTGCGAGCCACATCAGCGTTTCTGAGCCGATGCTGTATCTGCGATTTTCTTCACATCGCCATGCTACTCAGTAGCTCGGCCAGGACGTGGAGGCTGTCAAGGGGCAGGAAGGGCGTCAAGATGAAGTACGATGAGCTGGGCCAGGCGTGCACTGGTTCTGGGAAGAATGTGACGTGAGCCGCGAGCATTTCGAATGACGGGGCCATGGATAGTCCGACAGATCATCGTGATAGTGTCAGGAAGAGAATGAAATCCCGATCGGCATAGAGCGATGAAAATCGTCAGCGTTGATCAGCTCGTGCGCGCGATTCAGGCGAGAAGCGTGCGCACTAGGTGAGATGGAGTCCTCCGTGTCGGGTCAAGAGCATGAAAAATCCTAATTCGCATCCAAGGCACTGCCTCCTCGCTCCGCCTGTTCCGAAGGACCTGATCAATTTTCTTGGTCGACCGCTTCTTCCTCTCATCTCAGTCGCGTGTCCCTACGATTGCACAGGTCCTGTCGCCATGGATGCAAAGACCTTGCTAGTGAAGATGCCTCCTTCGTTCGTGATCCAGTGATCGGAGGCTTGAGCTGCTTGCTCCACAGCCTCGTATTAAGGACTCTTCGATAATCAAAGTCCCACACAGGGCGAGTGAGGACGCCGTGTGTGCTCTCCCCTTCCAGATTCATTTGAACCTACGGTATGTACAAGCGATAATGTAGCTCTCGAGCGATTCCAACATCGCCTGCCGAGAGACGAGCGTCGTGCTCTTGCCTGAGCATCGTCGACCCTCGAGCTGCCAAAGGCAGGCCATTCCCTTCACAAGACCTTTCCTCGCCTTCAATTGGGCCGTCTAGACAGATGCTTGCTCAAGGAAGTGGGCTGCGCAAGGCGCAGGCATTGGGGCAATGGTTGGAGGGACGTGAAAGTCGGAAGAGGTCGGTGAAGGCCCTAACCGGAGCCGAGGATTTGGCGTTAGTCAGCCTCGCCCGCTTCCTGGGCCTTCTGACGCTCCTCCCAATCAGACTCACAAGTTGTGTCCGAGGCTGTATGATGCGCTTGCTCGCCTCACGACGGTGCTGTTGGTCGCGCAACGCGTGTTTCTTTTCTAGGGTCCCAAGGCAGGCGCATCGCTCGCTTGGCTCGCACGCGTCAGCGTTCAGCTTAGCTGCTGTTGACGCACACTGAGCAAAAGCTCGTAGCTCGTAGGCGCGTTCATATTGGAGCAAGCGTGGTGTAGCGAGCGTGCCTTCCAATCCTTTTTGAGATGGCAAAGCTTGAAAGAAAGAGATGTTATCTGCGCTCCGAAAGACCAGGCCTCCATTTCGTATGCCCGAGTGTCGACCCAGAAGAGTGCAGCCCGTGAAGCGACCTTCGACGAAGCTATGAATCCCTGGTTCACTGCCGAAGTAGTTGGTCTGCTCGCAGCAGCGAGCCTCGTCGTGACAGCGCCGAGGTGGTTCTCTCTTTCACAAGAGGCCCATGAATGCACTAACCCAAGGCGTAGCCCTCGCGCTCACCTGTTATACGGTATTCTCAGGCCAGCGATATGAACGTTCTCGGAGAGCCGACGACTTCACGGCCGACGCCTGCGCCCAGACCTCGGGGCAAGCTAGAAGTCCTTGACCGCGGCCAAAGCACACCTTAAGCGCAAGTCCGCGCGCCCGTAATGCTAACTTTTTCGATGCTTGTGCCTCCCTGCACGTGCTTCTTGAAAGCCGGCGGCGATATGGAATTACTGCGTGTCAGCCCTCAAGAAGGATGGTCCCCCTCCTTGCCTTGTCCATCGCCTGCTTGCCCCTCTTCTCGCGCGCGCCTGAGATTCGCAGCCTGCGATGGCAGCGTAGGATGGCGTGCGGAATGTGGAGCCGTCGGGGGCGGTATGAGCTGCTCATTGCGCTCTGAATGCTGTGCGAGTGTCCCATATGTGTTTTGCCATCTATGTCGGAAGTTCAAAGGACTTTCGGTGGCAATTCCCGCGTGTGTATGCGTCCATGCTGAAGCTTGGCCTGCGGATGTACAGAGCTTCTGGTTGCAAAAGGAAAGGCTTGGGAAAAGCCCTGAAGGAGGTCCACAACGAGAGTGTCCCTGCCAAACGGGGTGGGTGCACCCGATTTACAGCATCATTCTAATTGTTGATATGCTGAGACGACTCTAGTGGTTGTGAGGGAGCTCCATCACACATCTCACCCATGCTGCACTCGATCATGACTCGTGACTCTTGACTCTGACTGTGCTGCAACTCGACCAACTCGACGGTGAAAAATCGCGCTGCAGGATCACGTGAGTTCCTGAACTCAAATTGCACGTGCACAGACGGAAAATTAGAAGACGCGCGTGCCTAGCTCGCATCAGCTGTGCATGGGCGGGGCTGCGCGCGCTATCATGCAGCTGTATCCAATCCACATTCAGATTGTGATTCAATTCACGCGATTATTGTGATTGTTTGCCCGGCCGCCACAATCACCCCGCGGCGGCAACACGCGGTGCCGCTGCATGCACCAGCAGGAACAGATGATGTGGAGCGTTCGCGGACCCGCGCGGTGGCCGATAGCCCAGCCCGTCGGTTTCCGATGTACCTTCTGTCCGAAGACTCACACCCATCACTTTAGCTGCCTGCCGGTTATCATTCTTTGGCCGCCGCAAGAACTTACCTAGCGCACACCGGAGTACACCCTTGTCCCGCAATTTCGGGGTGTCCGCCACTGCAACGACTCGTCCGAGCAAGCTCGCATACGCTCAGTCGATGTTCATTGAGAGTCTCGACTCACGAGTACGCAATTGGACTACAAGAACACGATGGACCTCTTGCAAAGCCACCGTGGCTTAATCACTAGAAATGCTTGATATTGCAGTGCCGCGAACTGCTAGGGGAAGGGTTAGAAAGTACTATACATTTGGGTAGCGGAAAGTACTGATAGAGCGCCGGTGAAAGCTGTCGATGCGCGGCGACTTCATACACTCGATAAGGAGGTGAACAGGTACACTACGGCGGATGAGATCTACCTGAATCCGCTTGATGGCAAGAGCTTACAGCTGCATGCTGTCGAGCACGGAGCCCACGCTCTCTGCGTTGTTGGAGCGAAGAATGCGAAGAAGTCTCGCTTCACGCGTCTGAGCCTCGCGCAGCTTTTGCTCGTGAATTCTTTGCTCATGAGCCTTCTCTCGCCTGTGATCATTCTCGCGCTCCGTCAAAAAGCTCTCTTGTCGGGCGAGATCGCGACTCTGTTTCTGCTGTGCTCGTTGGACCTGACCTTGAATCGCCTCGCGTTGAGCAACCTCGTCCTCACGATGCTGAACCGAGGCTTCGCGGCGTTCGACTTCCTCACGATGAGTCGCCGAGCGGCGCTCGCTCTGGCGCACTGCAAACTCGCGCTGATCAACGTTGAGCTGGCGGTCTCGGATCGCCTGCTCCCTTTCCGTGACCACCCTATCTCGCTCCGCCAAATTTGCGTCGCGGGCTGAAGCGTGGAAGTTGAGATCATCTTCACGCCGGTCCAGTCCCGTCTGACGCTCACGCAGGCTGTCGTCCCGGCCACGACGCTGGTCTTCAAGGGTTGAGAGCCTTGCTTCATATTCTTGTTCGCGCATCGTTAAGGCGTTCTCTCGGGTAGCAAGGGCTTCTCGCTGCTGGCGCTGAGATGCCTCGGTGTGTCTAACAGCCTCTTCGCCAATCCTTAGGATGTTCTCTCGGGCAGCGAGGGCTTCTTGCTGCTGGCGCTGAGATGCCTCGGTGTGTCTAACAGCCTCTTCGCGAAGCCGCAGCTGCTCCTCTCTTTCCTGGCTTTCGTCGTGTCCACGGCGAGCTGCTGCCCTCTGGATGGCTGCGTAAGCCGCCGCGTAGGCCATTGCTAGGCCATTCCTCTGATTCGGAGTGATTTCAGAGCCGTGAGTCTCGATGACAGAAGTAATGTCCGCTTCGCTTCTGGCATCTAGTGTCGTGGCTGATGCTTCACGCTGCTTGCGCTTCGCGCGCCTGCTTTGGTGTCCGTCGCGTGTGGTAACCTGCGTGTCCATCTTGGCGTTTGCAGGAACAGCTCCCTGACGGCAGCAGTATCAAAGACAGGACTCAGCAGGGTGATTCGCTTCGTATACATGTTGCAAAACGAGCGTCGATGCTCACTGTTGCTCACCGCGGGACCGACTGCCTCCTTTCGTCCTGTCTCAAGCTACTCCACCACCTAGCCTCTACTGCTGAAGCTGACTTGGGCGTGGGCTCTCCAATGCGACGATGTCAATGAGCTGTCGAGCTAAGCTGATGATGGAGTTTGAAGTCACGGATGAGGGCCAGCTGAATTGATGTGCCCGCGCTGTCTTGTTTGAGCTGATATGCTTTGAGTGGGTTGGTAGGACTGTTGGGGTGTCTGCGAGGGCACTCCAAGACGCAAATCAGTGAGCAATCCAAGGTCGGGCCCGGCAGCTCGAAGCAGCGCACAACGCTCACACAACGCTCACCTGAAGACCGTTCCGAGTTGCGCTCTGAGGCCCCAGATGAGTCAACAGTAGTATGCTTACTCAAATGTCGCTGGTGGAGTGGAAGAGCTAAGCAGAAAGCCCAGCGTCGTCTCCGAGGCAGACGTGCGTTTGCATGAGTGCGCACGGACATGGACGCGCAGGCATACCCATGCATGCACACACGCATCCACGCGGACGTGCGAGTCGTCAGTCTATGACTGCTGCTGTCTGTGCCAAGCGACCAATTCAGCGTCTATTCCTCACTTTCGAGTCCTTTCTCGCACGGAACGCGTAGGTATCGTATCAGGCGCGGAGAGATCGATGTATTGAGGAGAGAGGGTATGCACCCCGATGTAGGATGTACATATCTTGTATGAATGTTGACGCGCGTCCATGGAAGGCGTGCACGGGACAGTAGAGAAGAGAGGCATCACGATGAAGACTGTCGTGACTGTCTGTATGGCCATTCACAATCCAATTCACGATTCGGCACAGCTCAGCAAATGTTGACAGCCGCGTACGTTCACTGAAGGGCTCAGCTGTCTCGGTGTGTCAAATCAAGAGCGAGACGAACGAGGCGCGGGGAGGCGCGGAGTCTTAGAAGAAGACGTCCAGCGATGGGACGAGAAGCGGTCAGAGCGAGACGAACGAGCGAGATGGCGAGAAGACATTCCGAAAGCTCCCTCAAGACGTCTTCTTGCTGGCGTCTTTCAGCTGCTCGTCACGGATGCTTTCAAGGGCGCGGTCCACCTCGTCCAGATTGATCTTCGATGAGCTGGGCAGCTGCTCACCAGCACGGAGATCCCCTCTGAACGGTTCATGAAAGAGCTTGCTTGTCTTGGCTTCCTTGGTGAGTTTCTCAATATTCTCCCAGAACCCTGGGGGAGTGGGAGGAAAGAAGGCTGGAGACTTGATCCCTCCGTCACTGCAGACCGATCCAAGCTCTGCTGCCTCCTGGGGCGGTGGCTCAGACACCTCCGACTGAGCATCGGCATTGTCTTCTCGATGGGCATTGTCTTCTCGATCCGCCGTTGCCGGCGCCATGTCGGTGTCAATGATGACGCGACTCGCTCCCTCCATGGACTGCTCGATCTGAGTTTTGATACCATCTAGCTCAGTTTGCGCCGATCGAAACTTCCTCACAAGGTCCCCCAGAGTCTGAAACAGCGACTCCTCCACCTCAGGCAAACGCCTCTGGAACTCTTGATCCAATGCTTGTTGCGCCTCTACTTTCAGGCGCTCTTGAATGCTTGCGCGACCCACCATGAGCTCGTGGTCCATGCGCCTCTCTGCTTCCCTTTGGGCTGTAGTGATTCGTAGGGCCTGTGCAGCTGATGATGATTCAAGTTGCTTGTCCAAACGCGCTTTGTTCTGTGCGCGACCCATCTGGAATTCTTCCTCAAGCTTGCGGTTCTGCTCTGCGCGAACGGTCTCCATTTCCCTCTCAAGCTTGCGCTCCTTCTCTGCGCGAACGGTCTCCATTTCCCTCTCAAGCTTGCGCTCCTCCTCTGCGCGAGCGGTCTCCATTTCCCCTTCAAGCTTGTGCTTCAGCTCTGCGCGAACGGTCTCAGATTCTCCTTTAAGCTTGAGGTTCAGCTCTGCGCGAACGGTCTCAGATTCTCCTTTAAGCTTGAGGTTCAGCTCTGCGCGACCGACTTCCAGCTCGTGGTCGAGTGTTTGCTTAGCATCTGCGCAGGCTTTTGCTTGAGCCAGCCCCAGCAGGTTTTGGTAGGCCTTGTGGGCGCCTCTGTGGTGTTGCTTTGTCGAGCTGCCGTCATTGGCGCTTTCCAGTTTGTGATGCTTGCGTGCCATCTTTGAGTGCGCGACTGGATCGAGCCGCTGAAGTAGGAGCCGTCGGGCACGGAGCTGCTGACAGACTACTCGTTGAACGCGAGTCGAAGCGGCGTGATGTGATCTGTAGCTCTCGTTGAAGTAGGAGCCGTCGGGCACGGAGCTGCTGACAGACTACTCGTTGAACGCGAGTCGAAGGCGTGTGATGTGATCTGTAGATCTCGAGGGAAGCTGAAGATGTGTTGAACAAGCGAGAGCGAGCTGAGGATGTGTTGCAGAGGAACGAGCGAGCTGATGATGGTGTCGACAGTCGCGGATGATGGTGTCCCAAGGCGCGGGTGAGGGCTAGCGGAGATGCGCTACCAGGCCTTGCACGCGGCGCACGCCTTTCCACACCCATCCAGAGCGTTGGTCATGCGATGCGAGGGCCCAGTAGAGCAGCAGCAGTCAGCATCGTGATTGGTTCTGAGTGCTGAGTGCTGAGTTGCGATCGTGAGAAGCGCCCGTTAGCGTCGAGTCCGTTGAGAGTTGCATGGTCATGCACGATGCCCCGCCGCTGGTGGTGGCACGCCAGCGCGGCAGTAGTTGGAGACAGCGCGCGAAATAGAGGCGTGTGTGAGTCTTCTCAGTGGAGCTGGCAATGCACAAGAGTTCGTGATTGGAATGAGCGTCGAGTCAGCACGCTTCTCATTACATCTTGGGTCATTTGGCTCGGAGTCGGGAATGTGCAGGATTGTAAAAGTCTCGAATCAAGAATCTTGTGTGGCTGCCGTAGGCTTCTTCACGCGAGAAAGCTCATCATGCGATCGAAAGTCGTGATCACATGCTTTTGCACTTTCGACGAAATAAAAACGTGATTTTGCGATCCAATCGTCAATTTTGAATTTTCATTCAACGTCTCGATCAAATCAAGAACATCAGCATTCAAGTCATGAATTATGAATCAATCATTAATTTACAACCAATTGACTTACGATCTACAATTTGAACTCACATTGTAGTCTTTACCCAGCGCCGGTCTTTTCATACTCTTGACTCACGACTTCAGACGAGGCACGGCTAGACGCTTCAGAAGACATACAAGATATAGGTGATTGAATTCAGAATCGTGACTCACAAATCCAAATTGCCATTAAGGCGCGAGGCGCTTCACGTGACCCGAAAGCGCAGCGCCCGCGCCGCGTCATATTCACGTTGTGCCTCGCCTGCGCCTGACCACCGGCGGTCCTCCTCGTCATCAACGAATCGTGAGGGTGAATATGAACGGATCACTGACCATCATCCCTCCGATGTCAAAGCCCCGAGGTCACTTCATTCGTCCATTTGACAACTCGACACAAGTGAAATGCCGGCATCATCGAGCCAATTGAGCCGGGGAGACAGCGAAGCAGCAAACGAGCTAGACTCTACGCGTCTCGTCGGAGATGTACACGACTCCGAGCACCTGCAATGATTGTCGGAGTTGGAATCATCTCTGGATGCGCATCCAAGTGGGAACTACGCCTGCAATGCCTCCAACATCTCCTTGCATCCAACACGCTCACGCGGACGCTAAAATCGCCAGAAAATAGGTGCATATATACCCATGTATGCCCTCTTTGCATCACTACTCCTATGGTCTAGTTGTTAGCGCATGTGCGCTAGTGGCAGTCGCTTCTCCCTAAGTGGTTACAGGTTGTCGGTTCGATTCCGGCAAGGAGAAGCAGCTGCGAAACTATGAGGATCCAAGGCTGATCTCGAGCGGTTCATTGGTCGTCTTAGTCCCTTCGGGTGGGCCAAGGTTCAATCGTTGGCGCGAGGACAGGGAAGCCTCCAACATTAGTTTTGCCACTCATTCCCCCATTTTTTTTTTTTCCTTCGTCAGAGCCCCGCTGTCAAGCGAAGCGGCTCTTGTGGTGAGCACATGTTGTGTTGCACTGCACATCGACGCTTCCAATTGGCAGTGACGACCTTGGATTGAGAAGAGGGGAGTCTGGTCACGCCATTTTGCACGGGTTCAGCTCAAGCTCGATGTGAGTAGCAAGCAAGTGCCTGAAGCTGCCTCTTCCTGCTCGTCTGACGACCACCTTTGCCGACGGTCCTCACTAGCAACGCTCATTCACAATTCTGAACTGAAGGCTCTCTCCATCTCCTTTCACCTCTTCTATAGTGGTGACGGTCAGCTTATTCGGGATGTGGAGGCGCAGAGTAAGGGACTGGAAAAGGTCATGCCAGGCCATCACTTTCATGCGCCGCGTCACCTGAGCACAGCGCTCCGCTTCACTTCTCTACGGCGTGCTTTTCGATCTTCTCAAGAGAGAGGCTATCAAGACTCATTCGCCCTTGCTGTGCCATCTCAAACAAGCGTCAACACACACAAGACCTACGTATCGGGGCGCGGTCGGGATCGCCATCACTGAGCGTCGCTCAACATATGTCAGTCGAGTGCAGCAGCTGGGAATATGATGGATTGCTATGATGATCGTAGTGAAGAAGGAAGAGAAGGCGCTAGTCAAGCGTTGTATGAAGCTAAGATAAAGCGCATGTCGCGTGCCAGCAGCGACAATGCTACTCGATGCTAGACCACTCTCAATCTCCTTCTCGACGGCGATATAGCGCTCGTGTAAGGTGTCCCGTATTGAGCGCACAGTCCCCTTCTCTGCATGAGGTACCCAAACGGTCTGAGTAAGCGCATCGGCCCCCATTGTATGCATGTATATAAGTCTCTCCCAGTTCCTTCAGTCGGATCCCCGCTCGATGCGAATTTGATCCCTTCTCACAACACCCCGAACCCCTTCGTCAGCCTTGAATGAGCCAATCACTCTTCTTGAGAATCGTGCCTCTTCCACTGCTTCTGCTCCTGACCCAGTGATACTGTCGCGTGACCAATGTTCGAACTGACAACAGGACCAGAATCGGTGAAAGCAACGTCGTCATTCGGACTGGAGCCAGGAGCAGGAACGGTGGTAGCGACGATCTCCCTCGGACTAAAGACGGAAGCAGAAGAGGTGGAAGTGACGCCAGCTCGTGTCGTCACTTCCACCTCTTCTGCTGCCGTCTTGGTCTGCGGTGCGTTCGTGCTGTGATCCGAAGAAGCCGGTGCGAGTCCCAGGCGCAGAGAGAGCATGTAATTCGTCGAGGACAGAGGAAGACCTGTGCTTTGCACGGTTCGAGTGTGCTTGTTAGGCGCACTATTCCCTGAAGGACCGGCAACTTGATGAGCATCAGGTTGATCCGACGCTTTGCGTTTCACGCCAGTCGGTGCGAGAAAGCTGCCCGACTCGCTCAACTGCGAGGAAAGGGGAGAGGGGCCGACGAGTATGGCGCTGCCGGTAGAGGACTGAGAGCCACCCGATCGACCTAGACTTTGACTCAAGCTCCTGCTGACCGCTGGCGTAGACCCGCGCCGGACGAGATGCCACAAATAGGGGTTGAGCCTAGTGACAGGCCCGTGCAAGGCCGCCTGCTGGAGATGAGGGTGGTCGTACTCCCGTTTCTCAAGATCGGTGTTTCTGGTCCACTTGTAGCTCCAGGGCTTCCATCGGGGCACAAGGTTCTCCAGCCACGTCTTAGGCTTTTGGGTTTCGAATTTTCTGCTTGCCTCGCGTAACTCGTTCTTGGCTACCAAAAGCTGTAGTTGTAGATGCTGGATTTTGACCAGACGATCATAGGCGATTCTGCTTTCGGATGCGCAGCGCAATGAACCGACACCGACAGTGACTTTGCTTCGGGCGAGGTCCAGCGCCGGTTTCCAAAGCGTGGCTCGAGTTGTTGTCTTATTCCTGAGGCGGGAGATCTCGCTGGCTATGTCTTGTATCAAGTACACGGTCCCTTTTAGGCAGCTGAGCGGTCCGAGGAGCGCACAGGCCTCTATTCTATGCATGTATATAAGTCGCTTCCTTGAGTCGAGCTCCGAATTGAAGCGAATTTGATGGGATCTTCCAACATGTTGTTCGTCGTTCATGAGAGGGCCAAGAACGCCCATTCGCGTTGTCACGTCCTCAGAGATTGCCAACTTCGCCTGAAACACCACCAGCGCGAATGCAGGTTCGGCGTCGGAAGGCTCACAATCGTTCAAATTGGCGTCATCGATGAAATGCTGCTTGGCAGCCTGGTCGAAGCGCTCCCAAAGTAGTGAGGCTAGCTCAGCTTGGCAATATAACTCTAGTGACGTTCGAAACCATACGTCTGCCGCAGCAGCAATGGGTTTGGATAGTCGCATCTTGTCGAGGCGACGAAACGTATGAGCTAGATTGTGATCAGCATGGTTGGGGCTTTGAGGGAGGAGTATTGAGGTGGTTGAGGGAGCGACGCTCGCTTCTCTCAAAGCGATAGAGAAGTCTTTCTCTCAAGATGTCGAATGCGGCTCTGACGATCTGGAGTTGTGGGGAATACAGTTACAAGTAATAGTCAGCGGGGATTGGCAAGAGAGTAGCCGGCATGGCAACAATCAATAGCCGAATTGTGAGTGTGAGAGACTCATCAGGCTGCCGTCCAGCAGGTATTGTGCGATGCATAGCATATATGCAGGCCGAGTCGTGAGAGGCGCAGTCATGAGTGAAGCGCGCCACGTGGCTGGGCCGCGCACCCAGAATTGCGTCATGGCGGACCAATCGCATTCATGATTGAGTCATGAGTCACTTTGACTCACGACTCATGACTCGTGAGTGAATCTGGATCACGAATTACGAATGTTCGGCTTCCATCACAAACTCTCCACACATCAGCTGCCGGCCATACGTCCACTCGATCGCACCTGATTTGGTCAGTCTTCGCCCTTCCGCGCATCAGTTGCTCATCGACCTGCAAGCTACACTTGCTTTCATCGATACGTACTCTACCAGCAGACATGAGAATTACTTAAGTTCCTGGTGAGTAGCCAGTCATTGTGCAACTGTTCAAGTGCACATACATGGCTGACATGAAGAGAGTCACAATTCTGTTCTTACTACAGCAGCTCCAACCCAACACGACCATACTTGACTCTCAACGTGCTACTCACAGGTCGGGCAATCGCACTCGGAACCTTTGGCGGAAACGTGCTCGCAAACCTTCCTGGCCCGGAATCGTTCTGCTGATTTTGGAACGCTGGAGCAGTCTGGAAGGTACTCGTCAGCTTACTGGTGAGTACGTGCTCGGCAACGGCAACATGTACGCTGCTTCTTTTGACGCAGGCATCGATCTCTTTCTCTTGGTCTGACTGGAACAGGCCAAAAGAGTCCTCTGCTGCCTAGAGCATCGCTCTACCCACGTCACGAGACCTCAGTGCTACAATGGCGCGCAACAAACGCCGCAACCGTCCGGCCAACGAGCACGATCTCGCAGAAATACAACGCGAGTTCGATCGCGCTGCTCCCAGTGAGATGGAGATTGATGAGGAGTTCAAAGCTGTCCGCGAGGCTATGCCGGAGCCTTTGACGGACCAACAAGAACGCATGGCGGAGAAAAATTTTCGCAAAGCTATCTCTGGCCTTCAAAAGGCTGGTGCTTCTTTCGTCCAGCAGAGGAGAATGGTGAAGATCTTCGAGCGCGAGAAGAAGGTGCAGAAGCAGGAGGAAGCCGTAGCCAAGAGGGAGGAAGAGGTCAAGGCCAGGGAGGAGAAGGCAGATGCCCGGGATGCGGCCTTCACCAAATCCCGCCTCCAAGCCATTGCTGGCGCAGATACGCCTTCGGCTGTTGCCGCCGCCATGAGCGGCATGCAAGTCTGAACGGTAAGTCGAGAGCAGGCACTACCTTACCTGACAACGAGGAAGATAAAATTGGCCTCAGGTCATCAGGTTTCTCGAAAGTCGTGTTCACAAGGTCATCAGTTCACAAGGTCACTCCGTCCGCACAGTCAGTCATCCCCTCTTCCTCCATTCGCACCTCTCGACACCCAACTCGAGGATCTGGCTAGTTCTCTACTCGCTGACTGTAGAACATGTATCCCAGCATTGTTGTCGAATCTATCAAGTACTCAACGTCGCGCATTTGGTCACGGTCCACTCTCGAGGTCAGGCTGTGACCGTCTGAGTCACACTGCCCACCGCCCGAGAACCGTGTCTTCTTTACGCTTTCTCTGCAGCGAAGGTTGCGATACTCGGTGATTTTTGGCATGGTCACTCACATTGAGTATTGACCTCGCATGAAAGCTCCAGGTTCATTCTTCCCGTGAGCACTGCGCGCGGATAAGATACATGTATTTTGCAACGGTCAAGAGAAAAAGTCACAAGGATGCTGCTCGGGAACGCTTCAATTAGAAGAAGGCAAACACTTCTGGCTCCTATGGACTGACTACGTCAACACCGATGGTCTTGAACAACGTCGAATGGCCGACGCGCTTACCTCGGACCTTTTGGCCGAGATCAGAGAGTTTCGCGTGGTCGCCCCGATTTGTCTCACGACGCTCGGACCTAATCTTCGGGAATGGCCTCCTGAGAAGCAGAAGAATCGTTTTCGGCCTCGCTGCCCGAGTTCTGAAGGCCGAAACCTCCCGCCAGTGCTTCTGTGAGCTCATCCACTCTGTTGATGCAGCACTGGGCGTGCATCGCTTGCAGGTCCAAATTCTCCTTCCTAGCGAAGTCAAGCCACTCGCGGTCACTCCGAGCTTTATGACCCAATCGGCAGTAGTGGTCTTGAAGCTCCGCGAGCGCTCGAGAGACCGGGGAGCGATTGTGCCAGAGTTGTGTGCGCAAAGCGTCGCACTCTTCCTCCCTCTCCTCCAGACAAGCCCGGAGGCGCTTCTCCTCCGAGCCTGGGCTGCTCGACTGCGGTTGCTCGGATTCTTGCCTCACATGTACCCCCGTCATGTCGTCCACTTCGACTTTGACGCGTGGATCGGGGCCGTCGGTCTGTGGTGCTGTATGAGGCTCCACGATTTCGAAGTCCAGATCTTCTTCAACTTTGACGCGAGGAACGTCGGCCTCCACGCGAGGGGCACGACGCACCTCCACAATCTCAAAGTCAGGCACCATATCAGCTTCGATGATGTCCGTTCTTGACTCCGCAGTGGGCGGGGAGCGGTGCTGGGCAGCCTGTCGCTCGCGTTCGGCAAGCTGGCGCTCACGCTCGTCAAGCTCATGGTCCCGCTGACGTACGAGAGGCTCAGCGCCGAGAACGCGATTGTACTCCGCCTCTCGACCTTCGAGAGCCATTTGTCGTGAGCGGAGGCTCGTCTCCCATTCCCTCGCTTGCTGGTCCAGAGCTTGCCGAAAGTTGTTGGCGAGCTGCTGCTGCAAGCTGGTGGCGGCGTTGAGTTCCTGATCGCGCGTCGCAAGGCTTTGCTCGCAGTGGGCTTGATGCTCAGCGCAGGCGGCCTGCTGCTGAGCAAGCCTTTGCTCTGCGTCACAGAGTTGTTGGCGCTGCTGATCAAGGTAGCCCTGCTTCGCATTCGCCTCCTTCACCTGCGTCTCTAGACTCTGGTGGAGAGCGCGCTTTTGAGTGTCTTCGTAGGCATTGAGCTCCTCTCGAAGCTTAGCCCACTCGTTCTTCTTGACTGCGGCAAGCTCCTCGTCCAACGCTTCACGTCGAGCCTGCGCCTCTTTCGCCAAGTCGCTCTCGAGCTCGGCCCATGCTTTGACTCTCTCGCTGCCCGTCTCTTCTTCGAGCTTTCGCTGGTTTGCCTGGCGGCGAGATGCGAGACCATGCTGAGAAGCGATCTTCTGAATGCGCGTGTATGCTGCTTCAGCGGCTTTGCGGTCGCTTGCGTTTTGCTTTGAGCGCTGCTTCGAAGTGACCGAGCTACTGGACCCCGCAACTTGGTCCGTCTCCTCTGCCTCGGGGCTTGTCTCGCCTAGCGCCGCTCGCTGATGCTTCTTGGCTCTCCATTCCTTGCGCATCCTTACGATAAGTACGGTGAGACGATACGTAGGAAGAGAAAGTCAGAAGCTGGCGTGGAGACAAGACAATCGAGTGTCAGCAAGCGCATCGTCTTTTCCGCAAGAAGCCGATGTCAGCTACTCACATAGAGGAAGCTGGTTTCCGACCTTCGATCAGAATGGGTCGACCGCGAATGTGGTTCAGCAGTGATGCGTACTGAGCACCGAGCCTGACCGAGATTGAATGGCGAAGGACACTGAGGATGAGCAGAGACTGGTGCCTAGCGGGGACTGGTGGCGAGTGGGGACTGATGGCGAGCGGGGACTAATGGAGAGCGGACAGCGAGGACGAATGGAGACTGATGCTGGACGGGGACTGATGCTGGACGGAAACTGATGCTGGTCGGGGACTGATGCTGATCGGGAACTGACACTCGTCGGAGAGTGAGGCTGATGGGAGACTGATGATGATCGACAATGATGGTGACGCAAGAGTTCTAATGAAAGCGCGACGGTGGTGAACCCGGGATGATAGTGAACGGACACAGAGTACCGACACTCTTCTGTACAAGTGGTTGCGCTTCTCGGTGCTTATGGTCTACAGCGAAGAAAAGGTTAGGCAGCAAAGGTTTGAGGCTTCGCGTAAGCTTTGACTTCGTCAATATGACGCTCAGGGCTTTTTGACTCTGTGCTTTGGAGTCGAGGTGAGGACAGAAATGAGAAAGATGCAGAATCATAAGAGTTGTGGATAGGCCTCAAGTATCGAAGCTCAAAACAGTCATGAATCTGCAGCCGTAAGTGACAGATTTGAAGGCATGGCGGACCCTCAGTCACGAGTGCGACTAGACGTGACACGATCGAGCCAAACACTCACGCTTCGATCGGGAGTGCTGGGTGTCGAGCATGGCGTGAACCCCTCGCATGGAGGGCAGCCGCTCGGTGCCGCTGCCGCGGCTAGCTCGCGCGCCGCGCACCCTGCCTGCACCGCCTCGTGTGCACTTGGCGGTTTGGCCGCCCGCTCGGTAGAGAAGCGCTCAGCGCTCGTGCCTTCACTCACGGCTGCTGGCAGCAGCCTGACATGCCATGACCGCTAGGTCTGAGGAGCTTCATGCTCGGATAGCTTGATAGGCAGCCAGAAGAAGACCAGGACAATCTTTGCCAAGCCAGCACATCCAAGAGGACGCTGATGTTGCTTGGCCTTGAAATGCGCCCTGAACGCATATAAGCGATGTGAATGAATGTCCGCCTCGCTGGAGCAAGACGCTACAGTTTAGCCCGAAGCGCTCTTCTTAGTGCGTGAGCCAGAGGACAATTTATCGTAATTCCTTTCAAGTAAAGCATCATTTCTAGACGTCACGTTTGATTGGTGGCTGTTGCTTTATTTTGAAGAGACGATTTCAGGACCTCGGTGTCCTCTGTTCACGTGATCGGTGCTTGCTGTGAGAGCAGATAAGATTCGTGCCGACTGGGGGTCCACGTAAAGGGTTTGGCAGGAGTATATATATATATACACGTATGAGAACGGGTCCGTTCCTCGCTTAGACTGCTCAGCTGTCTCGAGCACCAGCGCACGGGGCGCTCATGCATCCTTATTTGAAGACAAACCTTTGCATGCTCTGCCGAGTCGTTGAAAGATGGGCCGCGCTTATATGCCGAGAGTGGCCGAATCAAAATGACACACACACCCCGCGCTGGAACCTCGACGTTAATTTGCTTTTCATTCCCTTTCCAATTTGAGCCGCTTAGCCCCGCAAGTCTCGTCATCGTCATGTGTTTAGAACGCCGCATCGGAAAAGCAGGCGGTACATATACTGGTTTCACTTGTCCGTGCCTGAATCTACCTGTAAGTTGACTGAACCGCGCCAAGGCGTCTCTACCCGCAGACGGCGCTGAAGGAAGCCCCCCGAGGGCGCGAGGAGTGTGCAAGTCGACGGATTACCGAGACTCAGACCTCGACAATTGCTCAGTTCCGTTACTGCTCACAAACGAGAGGCGTGCATTCAAGATTTCGGCAACCTAATCCAAATGCGGACAAAGTGAGCGGCGGTCCCGCCTTCCAGCCGCAAATTCAACGCCAGATCTTGTCTCTCAAGATTGACGAACGTTGCGCGCGCGGATTCTTGCAGCTTCTATTGCGCGCACCACTTTGAGACATATCTCGCCGCAAAATCTGCCCTCGTGAGCCTGCACTCGTAGCCGAGCATTCTCCTCCGCATCCCATATTACACGTTCGAGCACAAGCAACAACGGCATCTTGCCGCGAATGTCGAGTATATGGCTGTTCTGCGCCCGCTTCGAGCACTCCTACCTCTCCATGATGCATCTTCTGCCCGCAATGGTCCCGCATCATTCTGGTTCACACGCAGACAGCGTTCAAGTAAGCAGATCGCCACAAAAGCTGCGCAGAGCAAACACAAGTTTTGATGGAGAGATCGCGCGCGCAAAGGCGCGCGGCATAGGGCGGTAGTAGCCCTACCGCACACCCGACTCGATGGTTCACGAAGGAGACGTATCCATATTTGGATGGTGGGCGCGCTTTTCGCGCGTGTGCTCGTACATGAACTTGTAAGTATCGAATGAGTCACTCTGCGGTGAGAGCGAGTTTGTGGAGTCAGAGACAAAGGTCGGGTCGCAAGTAACGACCGCGCGCGCCGGGAAGGAGGGGGGAAAGTAGGGCAATAGGGTCCGCGTCACATTGGCGAGGAGTGACAGAGACGGAGCGGTCCTCAGAAGATATTCTACGAAAGTGTGTGGATGGCGACTGCGGACGATGGGTCGGTAGTAAACTTGGTACGGAAGACGTTCGGGTGGCTGAGACTTGACGGATCCTGACGCGCACGTCACGGACGAAGCACCACGGGTGCGGACGGACCGAGACCGTGATTGCTCAGAACAGCGGCGCTTGGGAGTACGACTCGGAAGCAGTGCAGACCTAGTTGAAAGGTGGATGCTGACATGATGCCAGATCTTGAGGCGAAGCGCCTTGTAGATCTAGATCGCGAAGGCGATTATTTCTCAGCGACGAAGGTCGTGCACTTGCTATGAGCATTGCACATGGACGGAGCACTCACTCAGCTTATGGCGAGGATGGGGCCTCAGCTGGAGGCTGTGGAGTCCCGACTTCGGTGTCGGCGGAGACTTGGCGCCCGTGAGCAGATGCTGGAGCGTTGTGCGCCACGACCAACGCAGTGCCGATGTCCTCGAGGTCGAAAGTTGGCGTCTCGGGAGCGTGAGGAATTTGGCGGAATTGCGGGGTCGGCGAGTACCGTGGACTCCCCATCTCACTGGGGTCCTCCATGAGGAGCCGGCCGCCATACGCCGCTTGCGGCTGATCAACCGTGGTACCCGGCGCCGCATCCACCGTGCTCCTCTGAAACCTCGCTCGCCACTCAGGGTTCACCCACTCTTCTGCATCCGCTTCTGTCTCCACCTCCATCTCTTGACCAGCCTCTTGCGCTCCCGCCGGTTGTGCACGGCCATTCATGAGCCACCAAGCAGGGAGAATGGGCACTGTGTCCTGCGCTCGCTGTTCTGAAAGCTCCTCCTCCGCTTCCTCCATGCGAAGCTCCAGCTGGCGAGCAAGCTCGTCATCGACCCTCTCGCACTCTTGGGTCCAACGCTGGGCCAGAGCTGTTTCGACCTCCTCCTTCCTTTGCTGACTGTAGGCGTTGAGCTGCTGGTCCAGCTCATGTCTGTGCTGGGCGAATTCGCGATTGATGCGACTGTTCTCGCGCGCGCGGGTCTCTGCTACCTCGCCAGCCAAAGTCGCTTCGGCCTGCTGACGTCGCTCCGCAACGTCTTGATCGATCCGCTGACGGATGTCAGCAGCCTCTTCCTGAATCCGCTGCCGAGATCCAGCAGCCTCTTCCTGAATCCGCTGCCGAGATCCAGCAGCCTCTTCCTGAATCCGCTGACGGAGGTCAGCAGCCTCTTCCTGAATCCGCTGACGGAGGTCAGCAGCCTCTTCCTCCATCCGCTGACGGAGGTCACGAGCCTCTTTCTCCATCCGCTGACGGAGGTCAGCGGCCTCTTCCTCAATCCGCTGACGTAGGTCAGAAGCCTCTTGATCCATCCGCTGACGGAGTCCAGCAGCCTCCTCGGCGATCTGCTGACGACCATCAGCAGCTTCACGTTCCAGGATGGCCTGGATTTCCTCGCGACCAGCTTGGAGAAGGCGCTCCAATTGAGCAGTGGCGCGCTCCTTCGCATTTTGATCCGCGAGCTTCTGTGCGTCGGCCAAGCGGTTCTGATAAGCTACCTGAATTCCAGCCCTTTGTTGGGGGGTCAGGCGCGGTTCGGTGGAGGCGATGGTGTCACTGGTGACTCGGTTGTCTCCAGACTCGCGCTCGCCCTCGTCGATGGGTGCTTGAGACTTTCTGTGACGTGAACGCGCCATCGTTGCGGATCTGTGTGTAAGAAAGGCGGCAGAATCTTCATCAGCTCCGGTGCCTTGCGTTCGCTCTACCCGACATCTAACATTCAACCACCAGCTTTGAGCACATCACTCACCTGTCGCGGAGGGTGCTTGTATCTGTTGGCAGAGTGATCTTGCTCTATGTCCAGAAGCCTGGTACGTCGTTGGCGTATATACGGGCCGCGCTCGACCTAGTAGGCCTACAGTCGATGTGACCGAGTCGAAAGATGCTTGGTTTAGGAATGTGAGCGGTGATGATCGGCCGGACAAATGCTTTCGGAGAGAAGCAGGTGAAGCTGGCTCGTAGCTGGTAAGAGTGCTTGGCAATGTCCCGCAAGGGTGTTCAAAGACTCATACGGACAGAGCAACGACGTAGTGGTGTGAGTTTCCGAAGGTCGAGACATAGCGAGATGTTGTAGAATGTCATACATGGCGATTCACGATTGCTGGGCCTACTACTGGGCCATGACCTTGAAGGCACGCCGCTGTGCGGTGTGGTGCTGAGCGGCACGACCCCTTGCATGGCGAGCATCTGTCGCCAGTAAAAGTGGTAGCAGCGTAGGTGCATGCACGCAAGCGCGATCGATGAGCCACGGCGAACGTTGATCGCGGCGCGTGGCCCTTCCGCTATCCTCGCATCCCGCAAACGAGCTGTGCGTTGCATTTGAGCTTTGTTGCTGGTGTGGAAGCAGCGTACATATTTTAGACGAGCCTTGAATGTGTCGTGGTCTTGCTCTCAGCATCAACGAGGGACAGCGTGCAGTCCCCGGCGAGCTAGTGACTATTGGGTCAAGCTCCTAGCGGCACTCTTGACTCGTGACTTGCGGAATCGTCCATCGTGGGTGTGCTATCCCCGCGCAGGAGTGACTCTTCCCAATCACGTGAATGTGTGAGCAACGAGAAAGCTTGGTAGGAGAAGAAGAAGGCGCTGGCGCGCATGCGTCATCGCGGCGTGGCGCCGGCACCGTCGCGTGGATCACGTGGGTGTCGCTCGGCACGAGCCATCCCTCACTTCGCGAAGTCGAGTGAGTCGTGCGCGCAGCCTAGCTGAAGCCAGCAGAGTGGGTCTTGAGTCACGAGTCTTGGGTCATGGAAGTTTGAGTGGTGAGTGGGGATCGTATCGCGTTGCAGCTTGAGATGATGTTCTCGTGCGAGTCAGCAAGCCACGCATCGCCATGGGGCGCGCAGTGTGCCCGAAGGCGAGAGTCACGAGTGGCACGGGAAGCAAGTAAGTTGCCCATTTCGCAGTGAGCTCAACTTCTTCATGATGCTGTCCATCGTACCTTCCGCTTCGGCTTACGGAACACCTACTGTCCTGTGATGATAGCATTCATCTTCTCCTTTGCCTCGGTCTTCTCTTGACTTCAACTCCGGCATGTCAGCAGTCTTGCGCCTTCGTGTGACACGCTCAGCACGTGCAGTAGCTCAAGCTTCCTCGACGCTCTCAGCTTCAACCCTCGCTCGAGTTTCTTGCCGCCAGAACGATATTGACGTCTCTTGAAGCCGAGGGGGAGTCGATCTTGACTTAGAACCGCGGACCTTGCGGGATCTGCGTAGGCATCGAGAGGCAAGTGCTTCCATCCGGAGTCCGGAAAAAAACGCGTATTGTACTTGAAAAGCGGCACGCGTCCTACCACGCATACCGCACCGATAGCCTAGGGGGCTTAGCGCACAAGCGCTAGTAGTAGCCTGTTGTAGTCTGAACAACAGAACCTGCTCGGTTCGATTCCGAGCAGAGTCGCTACGCCAAAGACCGTCCAGACATTCCCGAACACGTCGGAGAGCATGCCAGAGGAGAGTTCGCAACAGATCCCGCGGCAAGACGCTCCTGCACCCGCGAAGGAAGAGCCTGGACAACCATTGGTTTTTGCTTCGCATTTCTTTTTTGCCTTACAGCCGTGCATCCGACCATTCACGAATGCATCCGCGTCGCTTCCTTTCCATTGGAGGTGCGAGAGGCACGTGAGCATGCAGGCATTTGGCGACATCGAGGATGCAGGTGTTCTTCTGCTTTGGATGTCATCGAGCAGTAATTCACTGGTGATCACCAGCCAGCTAGCCAGCACTGCCTCTGCCGTCGTCAGCACCACTGCGTCCGCACTCTTGCGCAAACCAACCTCGCCATCCTCCAAAGTTCGAGCCGTCCCAAGTCGGCACAAGTGCAAGACGCAAGACGCCAAAGCCGCCACACTGACTCGAGACTTGGGGTTGAGGTGATAGGCAGCGCCCGGCTCGCCTCGCTGTAAGTGCTGACTCTTCACGGCTACGGTGCTAATTCTAGCTTACACTTCGTGCTATCTTCGGTCGTGGTTGAGTTGGATTTCCAGCTCGATGACACCGCCCCACCAAATTGGCATCCAGCATCGCGGCTACATGTTTAGCACTTTGCTCCTCGCCCAGCGTAGGAGCATCCATGACGCCATTCGGCGACGGGCATCGAGAGAAAGATTGGAAGCGGCATGGCCCGCGGCCGGGCCTATGAATGTCACTCTGTGGCCAAAGGCGCGAGGAAATTGCCGTAGGTTTGGCCTTACATGCGCACGCGTCCAGTGAGCGTTCTTGAGGGAGAAGCATCCTATGTCTCCCACACTCGTAGGCTCTCCTCGACACTTGAGGCGGTGAAGAGCTTCGACCAGCGGAGCAGGAGCGTGCTTGAGGGGCTGCCAGCAGGGGAATTTGGCCGCCCTCTCAGCCACATCAGCGCTGGCTGGGAAGAACGCGGTATGTGTCCAGTGTCCCCTGGCGGGGCAGCGTAGGTGTCTTGATGCTCACATCGACCTTATGCTCGCTGCTGTATCCCCACATCGGACGCAGGGGTTGCCTAGGCGATGGGCAGATGGAAACACTGTGCGAGAAAGAGGCGCATCGAGCACGCGCGGATGGATCACAGTGGCCCAACCTACCCACAAGTGAGGCACTCGATCGACCGACTTGGCAATGTCGGGCAGCGTGCGCTCACACATGCCGGGCTGGACACACCTTCAGGATGCGTAAAGGGCAGGGATGTTTCGGCAGCCGAATGGAGGGTGGTAGTCCTTGCAATGTGGTGGAAGAGTGGGGAGAGCGGGAAAGAAGCAAAAGTGGCAGGATAAAGTTTGGATGCAATCCGCAATCTTGCTGCAATCCGGTCGAAAGCGTGGGAGATACCCCTTGAACGCTCTCAAAGAACGAGTCCCGGATCAACGGCACCGGACCAGCGCAAGGGCTAGGTCAGGGGTACTGCACGAAAGTTGCAGGAGCAGGAGAAACAACGCCGGCGCTGCGGTCTTGGATTTGTGGACTGCTGATATCTGGCCGGTGAAGAGTCTTAGACTAGCAGAAAAGCATGCAAAAAAGGCAGGAGGAACCAGAAGGCTCATGGGATTCTCAGCTCCGTTGCTGCTGCCCAGAGCTGCCGTTTTAAGTGGCGTGATGCCGGCGTGCTGCGAGCCCACAGTAGTCGCACGCACCTCTTTGCACCGACTAGGGCATCTGAATCTATTGACTGTGCGGGCGACTAGTGCCGGGACGGCGAGGTGCGTCTGCGGCACCGGCCTGTGCTTCTGCATTGCACCGAGGCAGCCTAGCTCCTATTCAGCTTGTCAGCACGCGCTGGTGCTTCAGAGGACTTCGCTTGCATGGTCAGACAGGCTGCAGATGCGTGGGGCCGCACCGGTCGGAGGAGGCGGGGCTGCGAAGAGGAGCTCGTAAGCAAGGCGGATGGACCGCGCGCCTCGCTTCGCAAGGAAGGTCGGAAGCGCGCCTCCATCAGAGCACGCATCCACGTGCACGACTACACATCCGATTACCTTGCTGCTGCGTGCGTCGCGGATCCGGACCGCAGATTTCAAACAGGACTAACATGATCATCCACTAGCACACCATGAGCACAGCGGGGACACGAACGAAGCGCTGCAAGGAAACTGTACAAACGCGGGGGCTCGGGCCAGCGGAACGCGATTCCCGCTATTGCCGTGTGTGCTCGCACTCAAGACTGCGAAATCCCGGCGCGTGAAGCACGTGACGCGTTCAAACCTGCAGCCTTCTTCCTTGTTCGACCTGCTGAGTGAACGCGTCGCGTCGGACATCAATTAACGCGTCATGACACGCGTCATCCGCGCCGACGACGCGTCTTAGCAAACCAAGCCGACCATTCTCCTTCTCGACCCCTCTATCTCGAGACCACGTTCCCTACTCCTACGATGGGTTGGCGTCCAGGGGCAGAGTAGTCCGACCCAAATCTCAACGTGATCAGCACCACGTCGCTACTTGGCCCTCGCGAGGAAGCTCATGCTGCATTCGCATTGCCTATGGGAGACGTGAATCAGCCGGTCTGACCACCTCTCGCAGCGTATTGTGCTTGCGATTGAGATCAGTGCACCATGCCGTACAATATGGCCTGGGTGTGTGAGTGATTGTTTGGGCGTGTGAGGTTTGATTGGAGTCTACGTGTACCTATGCGCATGCTGCCAACGATCTTGAGCGGCAGCAGCGTGACGATGCGGGCCATTTTGACTGTTGTGGTGCCTCGCGTGCGTGTAGCGAGTTTGCAGCAGCAAGCAGCAGCAGCAGCAGCAGCAGCTAGCCGCAAAGAAGTTTCGCCCCGCGCTGCTGCGCTGCGTTGATGCGCGCCCAAAGTTGGTCACAATCACACCTCATGCGCGCGCGCGCGTCGGGCAGGGTACACCTTCACTCACGTCCATCACATCACACTCATCACCCCGGTCCAACATCGCCGAACTCGCCCCTCCGTCTCTTCACGGAACCACCTCTGTGGCTGTCCGATACAACGCCACACATAGAAGATCGCTATCGTGATTGCTCAGGTTGACTCATTCCTCAGACCACTCGCAGCGCGCGCACCTCTCCCACCAACTCGCGGCACTCAGCACGCTGCCTGTGCTGAGCGAGAGCATCCGCGCCGACTTCCCCCAGCGCGCACTGTCTGCTATAAGCTGCTTCCAACATTCGCTTCTACCACTGCCCTCCGCCTCACTTTCGGTTTGCACTGCTGCTTACTCCTTTGGCTACCCGACCATGCGCAGCTACGAGATTGAACAGGTGAGTGCACAGCACTTCGAAGGGCAGCTCTGTCACATCGGACGCACGCCTAGCGCAGTGACCTGATCCACCTTTTCCTACATTGCCATTCACTTAGGCTGCGCATGCGTTCCGCGCTCGGCTGGAGCTGGCCTCGCTGAAAGCGGCGCGAGGTTGGGCTGCACTTAGCGTAGAGGAGCTGGATGGCTCCACGCCCACCACATCGTCCTTCGCGCAGATCTCGGGATCATCGGCGGGAAGCCGCGCATCGTCGAAGGCAGATGAGGAGCTTGATATGAGTGCAAGTGCTGGGACTGGCGCTCGGGATTCAGGACCTGAGAGAGGTGGGAGGGTTGGGCTGGGAATCGGACCTAATGCACCGCATAGTGTCCACATCAACTCACCCTCGCGAGACCAGTCGACTTCTGGCCAATCACAATGTAATCTCGGTGCAAAGGCACCTGCAACGCCCCACGATAACACCCTGACATCGTCTCCCAAGCAGCGCTCCGTCGCATCCACTACTACTGCTGCATCGCCGGACTTGTTCGCCATGGTGCTGGGAGACGCCAACCTCACCATCAATGCGACTAAGCCCGAGTCTCCCTCGACTCCCGCCACGCCTACAAAGTCTTTCCCGGTCAAAGGGACCTCTCGGGCCCTGCACATGCTCGCTTCGTCCCCACAGCTGGGCTCCACTGCAAGGACTGGCGGTACCGGTCGGATTCCACCACACTTTGATCCCCACAACAGCACCGAATCACATCCCCGCACTCCAGCTCACGGCTCTTCTTCCAGACGCCAGACCCTTGCCAGTCCTGCCCTCGATTCTCACAAACGGGCTCCTTCTGGAACAGCACCCAACACGCCAAGTCGCGGTACGCTCCCCAATGGTCATGCAGCCAGCTCTTTAGCCTATGATCTCGGACTGGCACGGGAATCAGGAACACCTAAGCGGACTGCTACTCTCAACAGCGAGGACTTTGGCAACCTCAGCGTTCGTGCCAAGCAGCAAGGTCGCGTTAGCGCCAGAAAGGAGGGATTGGTCAACCAAACCCAGTCAGAGACGGATAGGGTGGCAGCAGTGTTGGCGTCTATGGCAGACAAGAGGGCGGACTCGTCGATGAGCCCACCTAGCAAGCCAAGAGAGATGACGCCCGGCAGAGCTCCATTCGGCGGCTCGGGCGGTGCGATTACTCGAGCAAATGGGTCTTTTGCCGATCCCAACAGCTTCACGCTGCGAGGAAGGACGCCAAGTGGCGATCCACATACACCATCTATGCGGTCCAAGGGCGGCGCTGTCATCGGCAAAAGTCCGAGTGGCCCACACTCGGTCAAACATTCAGAGAGTCCTCGCAGCCGTTACCGCTCGCACGAACACGAAGATGGAGAAACAGCTGCTCAACTGATGCTTTATCTCGCACACTCCCCGAGCCCAGCCCAGGAAGCCAAGTTTAAAGGCGCCACACCGAGCCTTCGGAACGATCTCAGGCCTTCTGCTACCTCGCAAAGACTTGCGCATGCAGTCGTCAATCGGTCGAGCGGAAGCAGCGGAGAGGGCGCGGTCAGAGCTAGGAGCACCATTGGACGAGCTCTATGGTCAGATAGCGAAGACGAGCCCAACTCGGATGGCATGTATGCTAGCGAGCCTTCTTCACAGGAGAGCACTGCCAGCCGTCTGGCACCTGCGGCCCCACTCAGCTTCGACGCTTTGCCTCGCAGCCGAAACGGTATTGACCACATTGCCACTGGTCAGATGGCAGAGGCAGCATTCCAGGATGGTGACAAGCTATCTCAAGGTGTCGGAGGTGCGGATGGTGATCATGACATGAGCGAGCCAGAGCGCCGCTCATCGACCGCGAGCATGTCGACTTCGCCAGACCGGTCTTCGAGCTCTCAGAGAGCGCCCACCACACCACCTCGCGTACTGGAAGCGCCGACCACGCCTGGTGCGCCTGGACCTAAGCGAGCAGTGGACTTGACCAATCCATCCGACTTTTCGTTGCAAGACTTCCTCAACGTTAGCCCTTCGCCCAAGCCTCGGTCCAGGCTGCACTCGGGGCAATTCACGCCATCCAGTACCCAGCTCGAAGGCGGTGTCTGGCTCGATGCTCCCACTTCGAGCTGGAATCTCGGTCACGCGGACGAGGCTGTGCAGGGCGGACCCGATAGCCTTGCTACCATGCTCAACACGCAACTCCAAAACGGAGTACCCTTGCATGCGCATGCTACACCTCCCAGACCCCTTCGGTCGCGCTTCTCCACCCTCGATCACTCTCAAGACGGATTCAGGAGCCTGTTGGACTCGGGCTTCTCGATGAGCGGTGCTGGACACCTGCACAAGAGTCCTCGTCTAAGGGAGATGGGCGAAGAGGAAGATACCCCGTCGAAGAAGAGACGCAGGATCGGACTGTTCCCGTTGAACGAGGAAGCGTCCGAGTGAAGGCGACTCGCTCCATCTACGGCTCATTGCTGCGTCCACGTCCTGCAAATTCTACCATGCTCGGTGTCTGTTCTAAACGTCTTCTTCGCGCTCGAGACTTTCCTCGCGCCTTCGTCACTATCCCCCTCAAAGACTTTTCTCGACTAAGCTCTGTAGCAAGATTTCTCTTACCCCACCGATCGTCTTCTCTCTCTCTCTTCGAAACTTCATCGCGTCATGCCACGTCTAGAGCTCTCTACGAACCCAAATCTGCTCTTTGCTTGCTTTTGCTTCACCTTTCTTTTTTTTTTTTTTGTCCCCTTCTTCCCCTTCTTGTATCGCTTCTTGCTACTCTTGTACCCCTAGATGTGCCGTGCTTTCCTGCGCCGTTTCCCATCGGTGACTCAATACGAGATGTGCCGCTAAGGAAGGATGGTATCGACTGACTGCGTGCTGGGGAATTTCTCTTCTCAACGAGGCATCAGGTAGGTAGAGGATCATGCTGCGGTTCGTGCATGGCCGTGCACTCGCACCGCAATACAAGTCGATGATTCACGCTGGGGAGTATCAGCGAAGACGGTGACAGACATGAATTGATAAAGACGATGGAATCTCGCTATGGCGGGATGCCTCACTAGATGAACAAGACGAGAGAGAGTGTGTCGGTGAGATTGTGAGGAGCGGACGTGTGATTCGGTGAACAGGCGATGTGGAGGGTGAGAGATGGAAGGCTAGTGGAGACTTGAGCATTCGGGTCTTTACGTCGATGAAGATATCTGCAAAAGAGAAATGTAGCGGGGCGCCTGAACTGCGGATACAGCGCCACGCGGAAGGTGCCGGAGAATGGCGGGCCGGACTAGGTAGCAGTCATGCTCAAGTAGCAGCGTAAGCCCACCTCTGACCGCTCGAGACGTGCTTAGCTTCGATGTTTCCAAGCTGACTCTCCACTCCCACATCTTCCTCTCCGATTTCTTCTCCCGTAAGGTCTTCCCAAGCGTGCCAGCTGTCCCTCTTGCCAGGTGCTCGGACGGCGTAGTCCTTGTCGATGAGCTTCCTGCTAAGGTGCAGCAGCTCGCTCGGGTTGCGACCATGGCCCATACCCCAGCGAGATTCCGAAGCTTGTGAAGCACGCCTCTTCTCGCCACCTGCACCGTCCGTGAGGCGCTCCATGGGAATCTCCTTGTCTGACGAAGTGCCCGAGCCGCCGGATGCGATCCGCTGCGAGGTGCTGCTGTAAGAGTCCTGGTGCGCTTTGGAGCGCGCCTCCCGCAAGGCTTCCGCTCGCTCGTGGTCGTACACTCTACCCACTGCGCCGAGCTTGCCAAAGGTCTCGGTGAATACCTGGATGACGAGCAAGGCGGCGTATGTGCCGAGGAAGCCAACGCTAGTCCAGCCTTCGTGCAAAGGAAAGAGAGCGAATGCGATGGCGAGACCAAAGCGCTGGGCGATACGCCACCAGTGGGGAACGAGCGACGAGCCGTAGACGTCGAGCGAGCCATGGAGCAGGCCGAGCAGACCAAAGCAGACCTATTGACGCAGCGCACTACGGATCAGCGACGAACGCGGGGTGGGGGGCCATAGCAACAACGCGAGCACTCACCATGACGGTAGACATTGATCCAGCAAAGAACCACAAGAAGCCCTGCTCGACTTCGTGCTCGCCTACCAGCTTGGCCAGCGCCGAAGCCAGCAAGATCAGAGCAGCGCAAAGAGGGAAGTGCACATGAGTCCAAGAAATGGAGTGCAGCCAATGCCGCCTGAGGGCGTGGACGAAGGTGCGACTGGCATCCGCATCAAAGTAGAGCCAGATGATGCTGAAAGCGATGGTGATTGCAAGAGCGGATCGCCAGAATTTGTCATGTGGTCCAATGTCTCCGCCCGATGCCGTGTATGAGGAGACGATGAGGATCTCTCCGGTGACCAAAATGACGAAGAGTGTCATGCGCTCCATTAGATGCTCGAGCGATAGCGCGGGCTACATGTATGGTGATGAATAGCGTCAGCCAGGAGCTTCGGGTGGATAAAGCAGCAATTTCGACTCACGATGAAGGTCTTCTTGCCGGCGTGTTTGGCCTTGCCGTGCGCCATCTGTAGCGCAGCAGCAACGACATATCGACTGCTGAGTTCTGCTACGACACCGGCGCACGAGAAGCCGAGGATAAGGCGTGGCGAGGTGACGAACATCAGAGGCAAGTAGATGAAGGCGATAAAGACGAGAGAGATGGTGTTGAGCCACATTGCCTTTCTGAAGCGAGGCAGCAGCAGACCGTAGACGAAGAGCAAAGCAAGACGGAAGAGCTTTGCGACGAGGTAGAAGCCGATGGCTGCTTGAAGAGCCTTGTGATAGCCTTCTGCAAACCAGTACTGGGAATTGCCGATCTGTCTCACGACTTCGAGTTCGGGCCCTTCACCACCACCAGCTCGAGCGAGCAAAGTGATGCCGCCACGAACTGCAAAATCGACCACCCGCCTTTCGACTGAGTGCGTCTCGCCTCCATCGCCACCTGCCGAGCCTGGCGCCTCGATGACCACGCCGCTTCCTTCGCTTTGCCCATCATGACTCGCTTCACCGCCAGTGGCTGACTCTCCATGACCAGCTTCGGCTCCGTGATATGGTTCGATCTTGACACCAGTAGCGTTGGCAGCGTAGCCTGACAACAGGATCATGATGAGCAAAATGTAGACTCGCTGCCAGACGTCATCGGTACCACTCGTGTTGATGTATGCTCGCGTGTCGGTCCAGATGCTCCAGGCTGGAAAGAATGCTAGCACGAACTGCGCGATGGAGATCACAAGGTGAGTCTATAAAATCATATGCGGCGCAGGCAGTACGCTCACCTTTAGGACATTGAGACCATTGGCGTGCTCAGCAGCGCCATCAGCGAGCGCATGGCACACGCCAACAAAGACAAGATCGAAGAAAAGCTCGAAGCGAGAGGGCTGAGGTGGAGGTCAGAGTTCCCAAAACCGTCAGCTTCAGAGTAGAACGGGACGCTTCGCAGGCCTGGACGCACCTCACGTTCATCGCACTCGCGATACAGCTGACCATCATAGAGCCACTGGCGGACGAGAGGTCGCTTGAACAAGTGACTCATTCGAATGGGTACCTTTTCATTGATATCGTCCTGCATCGGGAGCAAGGTGTTGCAAAGCGGATCAGCCCCAATGTCAACAGATTGCCTTTGACGCTAATCTTCACTGGCACTGCGCGACTCACAATGTGGTCCTTGGCATCTCCGTCCTTCTTTCCGTGCGCCATGTCAAAGACGGACTGCTTGCTCTGATCCACAGTCATTTGTTGGGCGGGACCATGACGCGCGCCCGAGCCGACCAGGTGCTGCTGACTCGATGCAGCCTCGCCTCCGTATGCAAATTGGGTGTTGTGACTTCCAACGCTGGGTCTGTAACCATGGCTGGTAGCAGCAGAGGCTGGGACTCCACTGTGCTCAGTGTAATGTTGTCCCTCCATCAAAGGACTCTTCTGCGCCTGAGTATCACCTGCTTCTACCGCTTCCTCTTCTTGTTCCTGCATCACTTCGTTCTGAACGGGTAGCTGTGTAGGTCTCCTGAGACCGCCCGACTGCTGTTGCTGTTGAGCCGAGGCACCATGAGAGGATCTGTGCGTGGGAGAGCGGCCAAGGTTGACATGGTGCCATCCACCGCTCGCCCTACGATTGTGACCATCGTCGTCGTAGTTGGGATGATGATGATGAGAGGAGCGATGCGAAGCGTGGTGCCCACCATGACCAGATGCCTCGGCTGGATTCTCCTCGTCCGGCTCTTGGGCCATGGCTCCACCATGAGCCCAGAGTCCATACGACTGATTGGGATCCTCGATGATCGGGCTCTCCGGTTGGGATTCGCCGGTCGCTTGCCGCGTCGGCTGCCTTAAAGTCGATCGTCTTCTGTACGCCGACATGCTGGATGTATGCGTTTACTGCAGATGGTGTGAGGGTGCGGATGATCGCGCGAGACCTGGTCAACAGGCTCGATATGTAGTCTTTGGACGGAATGCTCAAAGAGCTTGTGCGCAGGGTGGATGAGAGCCCCTGACTTCTAGCCAGGAAGATCGATTGTCACCCAGTGGTTGCGGACGAGTTCCGCAGACCGGTGGACAATAGAATGAGTGCAGCGCTGCTTTATCGACGCCAGGTGCTGGGTGTGATTGCACCAGCTGACTATATAAGAGCAGTCTATGCTGAAGAGCGGGCGGAGGGGCGCAAGGAAGCGCTCTCCGACAATTCGAGCTGAATTGTGATCGAGGTTTCGAATACCTGGGGTAGAAGGCGTTATAAAAGTGACGCTTTCCAGCTCTTGTCGCTTGATGATGATTTCGAAGCGTTTGCGTGCGCAAAAGTTGGGTGAGATGACGCAGCCGAACGTGCAACGCCCTGACCGCCGCCGGTGGCTGTTGGCGTAGACAAGCAGGAGGGCGGGCGGCGAACCTGACTCGAGCTTGAGGAGGACGATGGAGCGAAGCGTGTGTGGACAATTGGCTGGCGTGGCTTGGAGGTATGTGGTGGAGTTGAGAGAGGCAATGTGCGCTGATGAGGACAATGAGCTGAGGCTGCTGTGTCACGCGAAGAGCGATGTGCTTGCTGCGTGTTGAGTCGCTGGATATCTGCTGCACAAACTCGTGACTGAAGAAATCCTGAGCATGCACATTCACGCCCTGATCGTCATGAGCGGTCCATGCGTCGCGAGGGGTGTTTGTGGCTGGGGTATATATGTGACTGTGACGTCCTCAGCTGGAGCACCATGCTGCAGACACCTTGCGCGCATGAGAGCAATAAGCTCTTCCTCACTCATGCAAGCCATGGCCCGCGCGTATCTGCATTTAGAAATCATCATACTCGTGAATGTATCAGCTAGCATCGATCGAGGCGAGATTCGTGATTCGTGATTCGCGATCGCAAAAGTGAAGCGCATGAACGAGAAAGCGCATGCACGCGCATCATCCACCCCATGCATGGCAGCAGTCCAACACTCGAACACTCGCGCGATTGTGACTCAAGACTCGGCATTCACATTGGAGCGGTGCGTGCACTGTGAGCGTGTTCGCTCGCTTGGAACACGCGAGGCAGAAACGCAGAGAATTCCTCGCAGGGCCTTTTGGAACACACAGCGCGACTTGGCTGGGTTTGGTGCTGCGTGCATGATTTGACGCCCTTCAGCCCCGCCATCCGCTGCACGCGGTCCCTGATGATGATGGGGGCGCGGCGCGGCGCGGCGCAGCTGTGAGCAATATAGGGCGTGATGCAAACAGCTCACGCGCGCGGTATGCAGCAGCAGCACGCATCATGCAGCAGCTATATAGGAGCGAGCGCGCAGCGCGGTCCCAATTAATAATCTCCTTTCAAATTTCACGTACAATGCGAACCCCCCAGCTAGAGAATCTTTGAATTTTGAATGCGGCGCACGTCCCGCATGGCAGTGCATGGTGCTCCGATACATGCAGTCAAAGTATTCAAGCCCGATTCAAGATTGGGAGGAATAAGCCGCAAAGGGCTACACCAGCACGGTCGTAAAAGTCTTGGGCCAAGCTGGGCGTGCTTAGATCTGCGGTACTGTAGTTAGCGATAAAAGTGGAGTCGAAGGAGAGGATCCGCGGCGTGCAAGATGAAGGACAGACTCTGTCCTGTCCCCCTCATGCCGACATCGAGCAGGCGAGCCTTCGCGACTGCATGCCATCACAGCATCAGAACCAGCAAGCGTTCTTGCGGACTTGCGGGTGCGTCCTGGCGCCCTTCCATTCACGCTCCGCCCATCTTGGAACGTGAGCTAATTCGGCAAATAATACACTTGCGCACATATCGACCTACAAATGCGAGACACAGCGCACAAATTCTTCCGTCACATATCTGCTCAGCAGACGACGTTGAAGGCCTTTGTATAGCCGTAAGCGACCTTTTGTGCTAAACTGCAAGCTGCGCGCGCAGCCCGCACTAGTCCAAGCTTTCTTTCTTCCCGCCTACTCCGCCCGCATTGAAGCTCTTGGCGGTGCGTTATCGCCCTACAGTGCGCACGCAGAGCAAAGGCAAGGCAAAGCAGTCTGCCAGATTTCTTAAGCATACAGAGGTGCGTTCACGATTGGTCATCAATGCGATCACAATCTGCTTGTGGGTGTTGACCTCATGCACAAAGAGCCTGGTCCACAAGGCAGCTAGCTGTGTGTGTGTGTGTGGGCTTCGAGCTCGCGCTGATGTAGCTGATGCTGATTGCTGCATGGATGGATGGGCCTTGGGCGCAAGTTTTCGGCGTCGGGCGCTCCAACGTGACGCGCCACAAGCGCCGCGCGTGGTCGGGCTGGGCTGAGAGCCGAGCTCGGCATGCGCCATGCATGGTGCCGGACGGCGCACGCCCGTAGCCTGAATCACAAGTCACGTGAACTTTGCGATTGTTGGATGGGGACGATGATTCTTCTCGTCTTCGCTTCCAACCTTGCACGCTTGACTCGACTCGGACACCCTCATCTCGGGACTGTGCTCTGTATCGGCTAGAGAAATCCAGATTGGAGCATGTCCGTGTATATTTGTGATTCTCTGAGGCTTGGAGGCCGCAAGTCATGGAGTGCAGGGCACTTGAACTCAAAACTCAAGACTCTCAAGACTCAAATCCTTGATTTGATTCAAGACTCGAATCTTGAATCAAGAATCAAGAATCCGAACTTCAAATTTGCATCATGTGTGGTGGTGGCCACCAGGCGACCGGAATCTCAGGTCTTGATGAGCTCGAGGGCCGTATAGCTGGAACCGTGATGATGAAGAATGCATGTCTCCAAAGAGAGAGAAGCGCACGCCGACACTCATCAACTCTTTAGCACGCTCCTCCGCCCGCCTTTTGCTTCGAAGATCCTGCTTCTGGTTGTTGAACTCGAGGTGCGGCAAGCAGCTAGGTATCAGGACACAGGCCGATCAAGCCGACGCGAAGTGACGCGTGCGCGAAAGGTCACAAGCATGCTGCACCCGCTGGTACGTACAGTCACGAGCCGTGAGTACTTGGTTGCCACGCAGCAGCGATCATGCAGCAGCAGCAGCAGCAGCCGGTCAAGTCACGCGTAGTCGTGAGTGGAGGGTCCAGCGAGCCCAGCAGCGGGCGGGGGCAAGCAAGGCATGCCATGCCGATGCTCGGTCGCAAGGAACGCACGCAGCACGCCCGCGCACCGCCCCGCCGCTGCACCCACGCTGCAATCGAGGGCAAGCCACCGAATGCGAAATTGCGCACGACCCGGCGGAAGGAAGGTCCGGCCGAGCTATAGGCCCTCCCATCAGCTAGACAGTTAAGCGAGCGCTACGTAGCGCTCATGTCGCTCATTTTCACTCCACCACGCTCGCATTCTTCTTTTTCTGCCGAGTATCGCGGGAGGCGCAGGGTGAAGAGATTCGTTAAGGAATCCTTGCCTTTGTTGGTGACTTGGATCGATCTGGAGGTGCGTGCTCATTCTCCGCACCAAACGCCTGCGACGCTTCACAAGGAAGGAGCGTCACACTTCACGCCCATCCCTCACCCAATTCTTCAGCTTCATCTGCTATTCTCATCGCCTACGCGCAAGATGCTTCCCAGCAATTGTGCCCTCGCTGGGCCTCGGACATTGGTCTCCACCCTATCAAGACCGGCGAGATTTGCCCTTCCCACTCGCTCGCCTTTGCCCGCTGCCAGACTCCTCGTTCGATGCCGCTCACCCTCCACCATCCGCCTGGCATCCACAGAAGTGCCGGGAGCATCCACACCCAAAAGCAATACCAAGCGATCTTTTCCCGTCCGAGCATTCAGGTTCACAGTCTTTACAGCGGGCAGCGTGGTGTTCGGCCTGACCACCGTGCTGGGAGTCATCTTGGCTCATGATGCGCTGACATACAGAGAGAGTCATCTGGATGGTGTACCGACCAGTCCACTGGCGCTCCATCCCTTGCCTGGTGGACCGAAAGGACTGCCCGTCGTCTCGCACTGGGTCGAGGGAGAGGAGGACGAGCGAGCGAAGCGCATCTCCCAGAAGGAGAGGCTGGTCGTTGTTGGCGGAGGCTGGGGAGGTGAGTGGCCGTGGGACGTGGAGGACCACTGCGCATGATATCTGCGTCGATCATCTAACGCCTCATTGCCTCTTGTGGGACTTGCAGCTGTGTCGCTGCTCAGCACGCTGGATCCAGAAAAGTATCAAGTGACGGTGGTCGCACCGTCCAATTTCTACCTCTTCACTCCGCTGCTGCCTTCAGCTACAGTCGGCACAGTCGAGCCGAGATCTCTGGTAGAGCCTCTCAGAAAGGTCATTGCTCGTCACCATGGTCATTACGTTCAGGGAAGGGCAGTGGATGCGGTGATGGGCGAGGCTATGCCTGCAGACAGGGGCGGCTCAGACAGATTGCTGGAGGTGGAAGTCATCAACGATCACACTGCGCTCGAGGGACCGGGAGAGCAAGGCGCGGGTGGAAAGAGGGTGTACATACCCTATGACAGGCTTGTAGTGGCGGTGGGTAGCGTCACAAACACGCACGGCGTGCCTGGTTTGGAACACTGCTTCCACCTCAAGACTGTGCAAGACGCCAGGCGCATCCGTAGCCACATCATGGGTGAGTTGGCTGTGCCTCGGAGAGCAGTGCATCAATGGAGCATTCTATATCCTCTCAATCAAAACGACCTCAATATTTTTGCATTGCAGACAATCTCGAGATCGCGAGTCTGCCCACGACGACACAGGAAGAGCGCGATCGCCTGCTCAGCTTCGTCATTTCGGGTGGTGGGCCAACTGGAGTCGAGACAGCTGCAGAGATCTACGACATGCTGAACGAGGATGTGTTGGACTACTTTCCCAAACTCTTGCGGGCTTCAGCCAAGGTGCACTTGATCCAAAGTCGAGAGCACATTCTGAACACCTACTCCGAAGCTATCTCTCAATTTGCAGAGAAGAAGTTTGCGAGGGATGAAGTCGACATCATCACTTCTGCGCGCGTCAAGAGGGTGGAGAAGGACAAGGTCGTGTACACCAAGAAGGACCCCGAGACTGGGAAAGTCACCGAGTACGAAGTGCCCTCCGGATTCACGCTGTGGAGCACTGGCATTGCCATGTCCCCCTTCACCAAGCGATTGACGGAATTGCTACCGAACCAAAGCCACCTGAAGGCTCTGCAGATAGACAGCCATCTTAGAGTCAAGGGCGCGCCGCTCGGTTCGGTGTATGCGCTTGGAGACGCGAGCACCATTGACACTAGGCTCATCGACTATCTCTACGAGTTCGTCGACAAATGCGACACGGATCGTAAGTGTCGCAATGTACAGCATGCGGTGGTCGGTAGCAGGTTCAGCTGACCATCGACTCCTCTGTTGCTAGACGACGGCAAGCTCACCATGCCCGAATTCCAGGCGCTTGCGAACGAAGTTGGTGTGAGTACGCACTGATCGCACACTCAAGCTGGCTAGCGCACGCTTATCCACGCTTTGCCGCTCGAATACCGCTCAGCGCAAATTCCCGATTGCGTCCAAGCACTTTCAAAAGCTTCAGGACATGTTTGAGAAGTACGATGTGGACCACGATGGAAAGCTGAACCTCAACGAGATTGCGAGCATGTTCTTGGAGACGCAAAACAAGATGACGGCGCTGCCCGCCACTGCTCAGGTCGCCTCTCAGCAAGGAGCGTATCTAGCACGGAAGCTGAACAAGTTGGCGAGGAAGCGAGATGCTGGAGAGGATATGAATCCTCACGATGCGGAAGACGTGTTCGATGTCGACGAAACTTATTACAAGCCCTTCAAGTACACCAACCTTGGAAGCTTGGCCTATGTGGGCAACGCGGCAGCTTTCGATCTGCCCCTGCCCGAACCCTTGGGAAGCCTTGCTGGTGGTCTCCTCGCCATGTACGCTTGGCGCAGCTTCTACCTCTCGTGAGTGCGAAAGTTGCACAGTGCGGCTGGCTGTGTTGGGCTTCCTGACCGACATTCCGCTGCGATGATCCAACAGAGAGCAAGTGAGCACCAGAACACGCCTGCTGCTTCTGATGGACTACGTTGTGAGTTTTGATCCCGAGCGTGCAGTCTCGACTCGAGAATCTTGGTGTATGCGCTCCCGTGTGCGCTCCCCATACGATTTGCTGACATCTGATGCATCCGACTTGCTCGTACTTCCAAAAGCGACGCGGTCTTTACGGAAGAGATCTGTCTCGTCTCTAGATGCTTCTTCCGTCCGAACACTTTATGCACGTCCGCTCGTCTCCAAAGCGCTCATGGCATTCGAATTCCCATTTGCGGTGGATGTAAATTACGTAGAAATTACACGCAGTGGTCCACAGAACTCGCGTATTTCTGTGGATCGAGATTGCAGTGATGACCTCAGTCTCGTCCTCGAGCCTCCTCACTCCTCGCAAAGCAGCGTCCACTCCCTCTCGCTCGCTCCGAACTTGATCGTGTCGCCCGAAAGGAGCTCGTAGTATCTGGCAGGCTGCAACTCTGTCCCATTGAGCGTCGTTCCGTTTGCTGATTCCAAGTCGAGCAGAAAGGGGCTGGATTGGGCAAACAAGCGAATGTGCGCGTCAGCGTTCGTTCGTATGCTGTGACACACCGCTTTGTGCAGGCTTTGCGAGAACTTGGCACGCGTAACCTCCCCTTTGCGGGACTTCCTTGCGCCCCGTCCCGATGCCAAACCCCAGACCTGGCGCGGACCTGAGTCGATCAAAGATAGACGAAATGCTCACTTGATGTTCTTGCTCTCGTCTCCGAATTCGTTGCGCTTGATGACGAGCCTGTACTGCAGCACTGCGTGCTGCTTGGAGACGCTGGGGTGCTCCACTGGTATGTCTGCTACGGCTCGATCTCTGCCTAGTAGGTAGACGGACTGACGAGAGATGTGGAGAAGATCTGGGATGAGGATGACGGGAGCGGACAACGACGATTGTGGTGTGAGCACGGGCAGCCAAACATGTGCGCATGTGTTCTAGCACACCGATTTGTCCTCGTGCAGCTACTCTCAGCTTGAGCATTCCTCATTTGTGTACTGTGCAGCCGCGGTGCAGACTCACCAATCTCCTTGCCATCCTTGTAGACGTAGCACCTCCACTTTTTCTTCGGTTTCCTAGCCTCGGGAGGTTCGTGGTACTTGAGAGCCACGCCATTCACATTGTTACTGGCTGCAGCCAACAATCCGGAGCTTTCAAAGTTGGGCTGCGAGTCCTTGTCCTTGTCAATGTGACTGTCTCCAGCGCTGCTAACTGCCTGGCCCTGCGCATTTCGCGAATCGTACGCTCGTCGTTCGCGCGCTCGGTCTCGCTCCCAGTAGCCAGGCGAGCGAGAGCGGGACCGAGAGCGAGGAGGAGGTCGCGCTCTGCTTTCTCTATAGCTGGATGAAGGACCGCTTCGAAAAGCTTCTTCTCCTTCTCGATCTCGATCGGAACGTCTGCTCCTGCCATCGCCGTGACCCTCTGGCTGTCTGCTGGTGGATCCTTCGCCGGTGTCCCATCTGCTCTCTTTTCCCCTCCCGTGCGCATCTCTGCTCCTCCCATTCGCGCGATCCGTATGTTGACCGCTCTGCACAGGTACGGTGTGGCGATCCTGACCTCGCTCATGCCTGCGAGAAGGGCTCTGACGCAAAGGTCTGTATGCTTCTTCTTCCTCCCATCGAGACTTGCGCCTGGCTTGGTCGCGGGAGAAGGACATGCTCAAAGGTCTGATGGAGAAGGAACAATGTGAAACGGGTTTGATCGACTTGTCTGGAAAGATGTACCGCGATGTTGAGCGCAGCTGCCGAGAAGCCCCTGTCGTGGGTAGATTGGGTCTGTGTGACCTTGATGTGCGCGAGAGCGGGACAAGAAGCTTCCTTTCGAGGTTTGCAGCTTCGGTCGCCAAGCCGATCATCCACCCAAGGTAGAACGCACGCGGTGCAGCACGTGATCATGGTTAGGTGTGCACAGCGCGTGAGCTGCGCGACGCGTAAATCGCGAATGTGAATGCGAATGGCGTGAAATCAGCAGGAATGCGCAGACTTGACCGCGTTCTCCATGCGTGCATACACGCTGCCTTTTGCAACGCAGAAGAGCAGCGCCACACGCCTTTGGACAAGATCACCCTCATCCCGCACACCACACTCGGACCGTCGCTCTCCTCCTCGAGCTTCTGGCACTCTCGCTGTTTCATTGGCTGATCTCCGACTCGCCCTCAGCTCCTCTTGACCGCCCGCTCAGTCGGATCGTCTCCGTTCCTTAGCGGCGACGCTCCACCTGACCAACTCACACCTCGCTCTTCCGCTGTGGTTCTTGCCTGCAGACACTCCCATCGTCCCTGCTGCGCCACAATGTCTGTAGCTCTGGCACCAAACATCTCACATCTGGACATCTAGCTCACTCACGCCAGGCGCTCGACTATAAGCCATGGTCGAAGATAGGATGCTTGCTCCGCGCACCCCAGGAGCGTTTCCAAGCGCGCCCATCAGCATGCAGTCGCCCGCATCTTTCTTTGGGAATAGCATGATGGAGCTGGCAGCTATGCCCAGTCTCGCCTCTTCGTCCTCCGCTGCTGCTGTGAGCCCCAGACCGGATCGATCCATGCCACCTCCAAACAGCGTCAGCAGTCGTAGAGCAACCCCTTCGAATTCTAACAAGGGCACGCCCGAATGGAGGGGCGATGACCTTCAAAAACTGCGCAATATGGCCTCGGGCGCTTCGGTCACTTCTGTGGAGGGCGATGAAGACGATGATGACGACGAAGATGAAGATGAAGAGGAGGAGGAAGAGGAGGAGGATGAAGGCGAGGAGGGGGACGAAGGAGAGCCAATGCCAGAAGGGGTCAATACGGGAGGGCCCATGTCCTCGCCTGTTGATGAAGAGGCAGGAAGCGAAGGGGAGGCTGAAGATGTGCCAGAAGTGATGACCTACCTGGACGATCCCAATTTCTTGCAGAGTCTCTTGCAACCTACGCCCATGGATGATGGATCTGGTCTGACCCCAGGCGGAACACATGCAGCGCCCACACCCGGTGCGCAAGCTATCGACAAGGCTATAGCTGTGATTTCCAATGTGATGGGTGCACTCACCTCCACTGCGGCATCGGAGGAAGCTCAAGCGGAGAATGAGGTGCAATCTAGGAAACGCACACGTCGCACCACTGCCGGTCACTCTTCCGATCCTAATCAGACTCAAGAGGCCATTCCTGCCTACTTGCAGGTGAGTAGCACCTCTCTCGTCGGACTGGACCATCAAGCGTAGTGTTCTGATCTTTCGTGCTGGTTTCGCTTGCAGCCGATCGTCTTGGAGCAAATGAAGGTGGTGGCCAACCTCACAGGTCAACCCATGTCTGCTAGTGGTGACATTCGGTGGCAAGATGCTGTCAATGTCCTCAACACCTTGCTCGACTTGTGCGGAAAGAGGGGCCAAACTACCGGGTCTGCGCTCGGAAACCGCGCAAGCGTGACGTCTTCTTCCGCCGCACCGTGGCAAGCTTCAATGCCCGGCCCTTTGGGATGTGTGCAATGGTCCAGCAACCAGGGCATGGGCCCTTCTTTGGCAGGTACATCGAGTAACGCGACTCAATTTCAGGAGCACACTGCATTCGATCCCACATTCTCATTCTTGGATGTACCCTATGGCGACGAGGATGACCCTATGGACCCAGATTGGAGCGCTGCCGTGCATGAGTATGTCTCCAAGAATATTCCTAGTACCTCTGCGGCGCGAAGCACATCCCTGTCCAGGCCTCTGACCCCATCTCAGCTGCAGAATCAGGCCACGCCATTTCCTATTTCGCACGATGCCACTGCGCAGTCGCAAAAGGACCATTATGCTCTGGAGGCCCGCACAATGTACACTCCAGCTAGCGGCCACAGTGCGACGCCTCGCAGTAATCATGCTCCGGCTCCTCAAGAAGGCAACCCAGCCGCAGGCATGTCTACTGCTGCCCAGAATACGCACTCTTTGCCGCGAGATCTTCAGCGTGTGGTCGATGGGTCAGCAAATATGAACATGCTTGGATGTATGCAACCAGATCGATCTGATCAAGCTGGACGCGAGAACGGGGCTACGGAGACCGCAGCATCGGTCTTGAACATCGCCACTGATTTTACACAACGGCCGAAAGCCGGCCTCCGGCCGCGCGTCGTGGAGAGAAGCGCATCTCCCGAAACGAGCAGGAAAGGCAAAGCTCGCGAAACGACTTCCGAGTCGCAAGACTTTCCTGTGCTCATGGACGAGGAGGAGCTCACAATTGCTCTCAGGGCTAGAGAAGCGGAGAGAAAGAGGCTGGGAAGAGAGCGCGCCAGAGCACGATTACAAGCAGAAGCGCCAGAGTCCCAGGTGCAAGTTCGAGGGAGACCTGCATTGTCTCCTGAGATCAAGCAAGCTAGGAAGAGGGAGCGGAACAGATTGCAGGCGCAGAGAAGGAGAGAAAAGGCACAAGAGGACGAAAGGAGGCTGTTGCGCATAGCCAGAGGAGAGGTGGACATGCCTAATTTGGGCACGAGGGACGATGTGGCGGAGTTGAGAGCGGAGAACAGGATGTTGAGGGCGGAGATGGAGAGGCTTCGAGAAGAGAATGCTAGACTCAGAGCGGATCTGGTCGCGAATCAAGCGCCGCCAACTCGATTTGCGGAAAGTGCGAGGAGCCGCTGGACCGACTATGAGCGTTCTAGGGTGCCTGCTCGTCGAGCACCACCGCAGCACGACTGGCAGAGAGACGTGCGAAGCAGGTCGGGCTACGCTTACAATGACGCGTACGACCGACGAGACGCGCGAGAGGATTCGTACTATGCACCAGGAGCTTATGATGATGAGGCGGATGATGGACGGAGCTTCTACGATGAAGAGGATGAGGACGAAGAGCAGGAGGAGGAGGATGAAGAAGGAGAAGAAGAAGAAGAAGGAGAAGGAGGAGAGAGAGGGGAGAGATATCTGCATGGTGATGCTTCTTCGCTTGTTGCAAGGGCTCATCACGCCGATCAGCTCTTCTTGGACGATCGATCGCGCTTACGACCACCGAGACCATCCAATGGCTATCGTGCTAAAGTGACCGCTGGCGAACTTCGTTCGGCAGGCCGACAAGTCGGCTCTTCTAGGAGAGCACCACCGGCCAAGCGTCTCAGGAGAGCTGCCTAGTTCGCGCCTGCTTTTCCAACTCCGACGCACACCTTTCCCATCTCCGTCACTCTCCTCTTGCCCTTCCCCCTCCCAACCCGGAATTTGGTGTTTGCTACACGTCGCAATTTCGTCTACCCCTTCTCCACAATGCGTCACCCATACCTACTGTAGCATCCACGAACCCTTGTCTCAATCATACCCTTTGAGCCCTTGTGACTAGTATGCGTCGATGAGTCGATGTTGACTGCCTTTGGTCGTTCGTCTGCTCACGCGGCACACAACTCGCATGGTCTGACAGCGACGGGTGCTTCGCATGGGTGACAAGATCGTATTTATAGCTCAAGAATTTTGGCCTTTTTTGTTTCGTGAGTGAGTGGTGGAAGGCAGATCTGCAGCGTCGATTCCAAAACTTCAAATCGTACAAGACTGCAATGCGAAAGAGGATGCTAGAGCAGAGCATCTAGGCTTCGAGGGTGGAAAAGCGCAGTGTGGGAGGCTTTCTGCATAGCAACCGCATACAGCCCATCTACATCATACCGCCCATTCCTCCCATACCGCCCATGCCTCCCATTCCAGGCATACCGCCACCGGCTGCACTTTCCTTCTGTGGCGCCTCGACGATGGCGCATTCGGAGGTGAAGAGCAGACTAGACACACCAGCAGCATCCTGCAAAGCCGTTCGGACCACCTTGAGAGGATCCAAGATGCCAGCAGCGATCATATCCTTGTACTCTCCCACGCTGGCATCGTATCCGTACGAAAAGTCTCCAGGGCTCTCCAACAGACGTCCAACGACCACCGATCCTTCTTCGCCCGCATTCTCCACGATCTGTCGAGTGGGACGCGTGAGAGCTGCTCGGATGATGGATACGCCCAATTGCTGGTCAAAGTTGGCCGGCTTGAGTGCTTCGAGAGCTGCCGTTGCTTTCAAAAGTGCGATGCCTCCGCCCGGAACGATGCCCTCTTCGACAGCCGCACGAGTAGCGTTGAGCGCGTCGTCGTACCGATCCTTCTTCTCTCCCACCTCGACCTCTGAGCTTCCTCCAACCTTGATTACGGCCACACCTCCGCTCAGCTTGGCAAGTCTCTCTTGCAACTTGGTTCGGTCATACTCTCCAGTAGAAGGGTCATTGATGGCCGATCGGATCTGCTCGCAGCGAGCCTCGATCTGCTGCTTGTTGCCCTCACCATTCAAGAAGATGGTGTCTTCCTTGGTTACGGTCACACTACCAGTGCTGCCGAGCATATCGATGCTGGACCTGTCCAGCTTCGTCTCCAGTTCGTCAGAGAAGACTTGACCACCTGTGAGGATGCTAAGGTCGCCCAGAATGCTCTTTCTGTTGTCACCGAATCCTGGCGCCTTGACAGCGCAGACTTGCAGCTGGCCACGGAGCTTGTTGAGAATGCATGCGGCAAGAGCCTCGCCATCAATGTCCTCTGCGATGATCAAGAGTGGCCTTCTCGCTTGCGCGGCAGCTTCGAGCGAAGGAAGAATGTCTTGGAGAAGGCTAATCTTCTTCTCCGAAAGCAAGACGAGCGGCCTGTCAAATTCGGTCTTTTGCGTCTTGACGTCGGTGATGAAGTAAGGGCTGATGTAGCCTCGGTCGAAGCGCATACCCTCTGTGATTTCGATTTCATCCTCCAGAGTCTTTCCTTCGCGGACAGTGATGACGCCCTCCTTGCCCACCTTCTCCATCGCAGTGGCCAAGAGTTGCCCGACGTGGCGGTCTCCGTTCGCCGAGATGGTAGCGACCTGCAGGATCGATGTGGGTCGAGTAAGCTGACTGACCTGGAAGAATCTCGAGAGACTCATCTCGCCTGCTTACCTGCGCGATCTCCTCGCTAGTGGTCACAGCGCGCTTGTTCGCTTCAAGGTGAGCAATGACGGCCTCCACGGCGGCCTGCGTGCCTCTTCTGAGGTCCATGGGGTTGCATCCGGCAGCAACATTCTTGACACCTTCAGCATAGATGGCACGAGCAAGCACAGTGGCAGTCGTCGTTCCATCTCCCGCAAGCTCGTTTGTCTTTTCTGCGACGTCCAGCACGAGACGAGCACCCAAGTTCTCGAACTTGTCCTCTAGGGAGATGGCCTTGGCAACCGTGACACCATCTGAGCGAGGAGCAAGCAGCAGAGCAGGTGAAACGGAGTTTCAGTGGGCCGCCGGGGAGAAGGTGTACGAGGCCACTTGATCGGAGCGCCGCGTCCGTCGTACTCACCCTTTGTGATCTTGGGACCACCGAAGGCCTGCTCGATGATGACGTTACGGCCTGTGACATGACGGGGGTTGGAATCAGCAACGCTTCTCTCCGCACCGCCTACCACGCTGCCAAGCTTTGCAGCTCATGGATGCGATTGTGCTGACCACTCACCCTTGGGACCGAGGGTGACGCTGACGGCGTTGGCGAGCAAGTTGACACCCTTGAGCATCGAAGCTCTCGTCTCGTTCGAGAATCTGACCTCTTTGTGCTGAGCGGCAGAAGAGGTGCTAAAGTTTGCATTGATGCCGTTGGAGGCTGAAACGGAGCCCGCCACGCCTCGAGGAAGCAGCTTGCTACCTCGTACGGCGTTGCGTGTCAAAGACGCGTTAACACTGAGCAGCGACATGTTTGCAGCAGAGCGTGGGCGAGTGAATGCGATTAGGACACTCGAATTTGTTTGGTGGATGTGGTGGCGATACGGGAGCGCTTGCGAGTGCGAAAGAAACAGCTTCCCAATCGACTCTCTCCGCCTCGTCAGCATCCTCCGCGCTGACTCGTGACTGACTGATTCAATTATTGATGCTCGACAAAGTCAAAAAATTGGCCCAGGCCCGCCTGCGCCAAAGTCAAAACTATGTATAGTCGAGTCTCCACATCGTGCAGATTTGTTTTAATACGTTCGATCGCAGTTGTATTGATCAATTTCAAGCTTCTGAGTCAACTTCTTCCGCCTTGCTCGAAGCGCTTAGAAGCTTCCAGCCGCGCGCGCGTGTGCCTGTCTGCGCGCCCGCGCGCTTGCAAAGCTGCTTATTGTGGCTTGGCATTTTTTCTCTATCGGCCGAAAGAAATGCAGAAATGCAGATGGCGTGCAAGCATCCGCGCCACGCGATAGAAGCCGCACTTGCCCATCAAGAGCATGCGCAAGCCTGGTCTCAGATGCACCGCATTCACCCTGACCTTTACTCATCCTACAAGGTAGGAAACAAGCACCTCTTCACCTTTCACCACCCCTAACCAGCCCGCTCTGGACTTGCCACTCGTATTTTGAGCTCCGCAACTACTTCGTCCATCATGGCGACTGTGAGTGCGGCTCCGCCTGCCAGCTACGGCCGGCCTGCTCTGCCGCATCAATCCCACTGACCTTGCCCATCTTGCCACCTATCGACGCTCCATAGACCTCGACGATTCGCTCCATCAAATCCGTCGTCCCTCTGCTGGATCGCGTGCTGGTGCAGCGTTTCAAGCCCGAGACCAAGACGGCATCCGGATTGTTCCTTCCTTCCAGCTCTGCCAGCTCTCCATTGCCCGAAGCTAGCGTGATCGCTGCTGGACCTGGCGCGCCGGACAAGGATGGTAAGCTGATTCCAACCAGCGTCAAGAGCGGCGACAAGGTGCTGATTCCTGGATGGGGTGGAAACACTATCAAGGTTGGAGAAGATGTGAGTACGATGTGGGCAAGGCTTCGCGATGTGCAAGGGAGGGATCAGCACGCATACACTGCGCGCGTGAAGCCGATTCTGAGAGCGGCAATGGAGATCGTGGCAGCGCTGGTACCGAGAATGTGGGATGCGCACCTTATCCAGTCGGACGGCGTGGCGCGGGAAATGTCATTGAGCTGGCCGTCGTGCATACGACAAGCTCCTCTGCCCCTTCGCGCGCCCAGACCGGGACGAGATGCCTGCTATCACTCGATGCTTGCAAGGGCGCTCTCATTTGCCTACCTGGCGCGACTAGACTCTCGATCTCATGTTTTCGGCCTCGAGAGGTCTTCAGCAGCAGCACCTCGCTCGTGCGCACCAGACTTCACTGGCATTTCTTATTGCTGACCCAACGATCTACATTTGCGACTCCTTTTTCGCAGGAGTACCTGCTGATTCGCGAATCAGAAATCCTTGCCAAAATCACCGAGTAGGCTGGTCCAATCCTGACTCTGACCGAATCGAGTGGAGCGATCGAGAAGAAGCGAAGCAAGTCATCAGGCAGTAAGGCAGGGACAGTGTGGAAGGTAGGACGTCACGAGCACGTAGTTGTGGATCGATCGCAATTCAATCCTGCATCACCTCTCTATGCGCATTTGCAAGATGAGAAGTTCCAAGGGTTCGTGGGTGCTTGTGAAATTATGGAGAAGCTACCGACCAATGTCGGGCGCTCATTTGCGCCACTGCAAGGATGGAAGCCTAGCAAGGGTCAGCTTGAAACGTGGCACGAGTCTCGCTAGAAAGGCACTGACCGAGATGAGAGGCGCATCGGTCCTGAATCGCTGAGTGATGGTGCTCTTTTCCAAGCTGGTGCTGATGCCCATTCGATGAGCGAGCAGACCGGCATGAGCAATCATGATTCCATTGTCGATGCAGAAGCTTTCGAGTTAGGGGGAAAGAGGATGAAAGAGCATCAGCGCGTCGGCTATCGAGTGCTAGCGGTCCCGGATGGCCAAACAAAGTTTCGCGGAACATCTATCTGGTCTGTCCGCTCGCTCACTCACCGCTCATCCGTCGCAAAGACGCTGCCACCTCGCTCGGAAGCCATGATGCCCATCATCTCTTGCAACCTGGCATTGCATCCCACACCACCGACAATGAGCACCTCCCTACTTCCCACGTGCGCCATAGCTCTCTCGGTAATCTCGACCAACATAGCAAAGACGTGTTCTTGCAGACTGAAACACAGATCCTGTGGAGTGAACTCCTTCAAGCCTCGAATGGAAGTAGATGTGAAAGCTTGCACATTTTCGAACATGTCTTGACCTGTCAGATCCGTGGAGGGTGCTAGTTCGGAAGCTGTCGAATGACCAGCATGTCGCCCGTCAGAGGACCAATTTTGCCCGTTGGCTAATGCTCCCCAATCCTGTGAAGCGTCCTGCTTCGGCGCGCGTGACGAAGGGTCAGATTTGAAACGGGCATCCCGCGTGTATGCTTCGGTCGCAGCGAGGATTCCGCCCAGAGCCACATCCATGCCTTTGGTGGAGTAGGGCAATGGCAGCAATCGTTTGCCTCTGAGTGCGACGAGGGAGATGGTGTCAACGCATTTTCGCCTGGAGAGAGAGAGCTGCAAGGTGCGGAGGTGGTAGGTGAGCCAGCGACTCACTTGCGTGCTTCAATCTCGATGTTCTGCCCGGGACTAGGATCATTGCTGAGACCAATGACTCGAGCGAATCTGTCCAGGCAATTGCCTACCGCAATGTCCAGCGTCTCCCCAAAGATCCGGTACCTCTGCGAAGAGTACGCAATGACCTGCGTATTGCCTCCAGATACATACAGCACGATGGGATTTTTGGCTCCCGTTATCGTCCTTCCCATCTCTATATGGCCGACGCAATGGTTGACACCGACGAGAGGCAGCTTGTAAAGCGAAGAAAGGGTCCGCGCGACGAGCGACACGACATGCAAAGGTCCTCCCATGCCCGGTCCCTTTGTGAAGCACACGCAAGAACAGTTCGTAATCTTCACGCCTGCCCTACGAACCGCTTCCTCCGCAACTCGAACCAACCACGCTCTGTGATGTTTTTCCGTGTCAGAAGGCAAAAAGCCGGTGCCAGGTTGGGTCACGTAGGTGTGTCGCACGTTGGAAAGAATGTCCACGCTGCCATCCACATTGTGTCGCACTACCCCACATCCGAGCTTGTTTGCGCTGCCTTCAAGTCCGAGCGCCAAAATGGGCTTGTCGAGTGCTGGAAGGGGAGAGCTTCTGAGCTTGTCGACTCGACGCCTGTCACGCGCGCAGGGGAGAAACGCATACATTGCAGGCTGGGTCAGGAGCCTCATCATACATCCGCTCGAACTACTCGAGTACAGCTTGGGAACATCGATTCACCTTTTGCTACCATTCACCTCTGGCGCTTCCGCCGAAGCACCAGTGCTAGTCGAAGCTGGCGGTGCAAGAGCCTTGTCATCCACTCGATGATCGGTATCGATGGCTGCGTTAGGCGAAGAATCATTTGCAGCCGTGTCTGACTTGGTCGCCTCATTACCGTGATCGCTTGCCAAACTAGCACTCTGATCTGCAGGCTGCTCCTGCACGGTGCTGGAGCTGGTCATGACACCCTTGCCCAGCTGGCTGCCACCCACGTCCGTTCGAGGAAGAGCCGCCTTCAATGCCTCGTCTATCTTTTCAAGCGCATCGATAAGTTCTTCCTCGTGCCACTTGCGTCCCAAAAGCTGTAGGCACAGCGGCGCGCCATCGAAGGTCGATCGATTTTGCGTGTCTATGTGAGCCAATACGCACGCAAAGAGACGTCAGCCCTCTGCGCTATCGTGCCTTCCCTACGAAGACGACTCCATTCAAGGCACGCACACTCTTGATCCGCAAACGCTTGCCAACGATTGTCGTAGTCCGCTTCTTCGGGGAGAGGGATTTCGGACGTTTGTTGCTCGTACGCAATGTCCGTCTGCGCATCCGCAACAAGTCCGGTCGGGAATACAGCCCCTGGAGCGTCCCACAAATTGAAATGTGAGGTGTAACTGAAGAAACATAGCAAAAGAGATCGATCAGTACGGAAGTACGCTGCGAGGATGTGTGCAGCGAGCTCTCACCCCCAGTACGTGACCTGACGATGTTCGGTACGTTTATGTGATCACAGATTGCATGAGCGATCTGGGCGAGAGCAAAATGAGAGCAGTTGTCCAGCTCGGACGCGGACTCACTTTTCCAGGCCTCGGCGCCGTGCCAGTCTGCGCAGGAGCAAGCACGAAGTCGACGTCCGCCTCGTCCCACCTGTTCCAGAATGCCCTTCTGCTAGCCTCCCTCTGCGCATTCAAAGCCCACATCTCAGTGGCCGTCTTTGAAGCCTTTGGGATCAGCGCTGGTGCAGTGGAGGCTGACGGAGGTAGAGGCGAGCTGGTCTGGAGAGGAGCTGCGGCTGCCGCGCTAGAGCCGCTCGAGGAGGAGGTTGTCAGGAAAGGCTCGAGGATCGTCTGGGTCAACGGCAAGAGAGGCTCGGTGGTGCTCGTGATGAGAGTGTGCGCCACCGCTCCAGAATCCGGGAAGCTGTGCATTCGTGCATCAGCCTTGAGTCATCTGCTCTTGTGACTAGACGTTGCACGCATGTCAACTCACTATAGATCTCTTGTCAAGTTCCAAGCATCCCTAGCGGTCCCTTTGGGTCCCAAAGAGAAGGGCACGATCTCGAATTGAGCTGCTGGATCTTGTTCGAGTACGCTTTGAGCGTGCCGCAAAGCTCTTCGGATCGGTGTCCAAGGTCTGACAAGGTCGTCGCTTTGAAGCACTCCGATGCGAATCTTGCGTTTGAGGGAGAGGTCGACTCTCCAAGGTAGGCGAGGGCAAGTATGGTCCAGCTCCCACGTCGCTTGAACCCTGTGGTCATCTCGCTCTTGCTCAGCGGACGTCTCGGAGGACAAGAGCGTGCTAAGCGCCAGACGTAGATCGCGAACACTGTTGGTGAAAGGCCCTACTGTGCCTAGGATGCCTTCATTACCTGGCATCGTTCCTCGAGAACCAGAAATGGACAAGCGACCAGTAGTGCTTCTGATGGTGTACAAGCCAACACAAGCGGCGGGCTGTCTGACCGAACCACCTATTTGCCGTGGACAGAGAAGCAGTGAGAAGCCTTGAAGAACACCTACAAGTGTATGCGGCCAGTCAAGTGTTTGGGCACTCACCTATGTCCGTGCCCCATCCAATCGCCGAACCTCCGCTAGCTACCAGAGCTGCCTCGCCTCCTGAGCTCCCACCAGGACTCAGCTTGAGATTGACTGGGTTCAGCGTTTGGCCATGCAGATGCGAGCGGGTATCAAGAGCCATGACGGTCTGAGGCATTGTAGTCTGCGATTTGCACAGGAAGCCTCATTGCATCAGTGCTTACACGCCGGACAGCCTTCGCCAGAACCACGAATGTCTCGAAGAGCTCTGCTCACCTTCGCAAGAATGACACAGCCTGCCTGCTTGAGTTGTCTGACCAGCACCGCGTCCGCCTGCATGACATGCGTTCCCTGCTTTCGAACGAGTTCGAGCACGCTCAAATCCGTGCCCTGCGCCTTGAGCCTGCTCTCAATTTCTCCCCCGCTTCGAGTCAAGTTTTGCGTCGCAGTGGGATTGAGCACGTCAAAGATGATTCCTCTATCGCTTCGCGTGCCTCTCAAGCCCAAGTGTGCCTTGATGCTGACTGGCAGGCCGAAGAGTCTGGGAAGGTGCGAGATGGCAGATGCCTCGCCGTGCGCTTCGACTAGTCGAGCGCGCAGATCGTCCAGTTCTCGTGCGCGTGCTCGAGCTTGATCCACCAGAAGCGAGGTGAGGCACCCGGTGGCGTAGTGCGACAGTGCAGACCGAGACAAGAAAGTCTCTGTGCTCTCTCGAACCGACACCTTACCGGTCTTGAGCGCATACAAGAGATCTGTCGCATCTGCTGCCTTGATCCCCGTCAAGCGGTCCAGCGGAGGTTGTTGCTCATCGTTGGGGAGCAGATCGAAGAAGTTGAACGACTGCGTGTTGGTCTGCTGCGATGAATCTACCGAGGTGTCTTGGATCGCTTGGTCGCCCATGGCAGGCCAAGCCGGGGGCTCATCGTGCCTGATCAAGCTCGCATTGGTCTTTTGCAGCACTCTCCTGAGCCTCTCGCTCGACTTGGGCAGCTCAGCATAGTTTGTCTGTCCATCTGCAAGGGCATCTTGCTCGGTGGAGATGTCGGAAGGTATGGCGGGTGCGCTTGACAGGTACGAAGCGAGGGTGGTGCGCCAGTCCGAGGTGCAGTCTACTCCCAGGGAGTGCTCGGCCACTAGCGTAGGAGGAGCTGATGCCTGAGCACGAGCAGAGGAGGGAGTCAAAGGTGCTGTGGACATGGTGTATGGACACACTGTTCGTGCCTCGCCGCCAGAGGCCCTGGTGTCGGCAACGGCACTACCGCAAGCCGCAAGTAGCTCGCAGTGACTTTGTCTGATGCACTCAAAAGATTCCGGACAGGCCTGACAGCTTGCTCGGTCAATGCAGATCAGCGCCAACACGAGCCTGGCTATGTATGCTGACAGCGAGCCACGCTGGTGTCAACAGATCCTCTGCCGCGTATCCGATGGTATGATGGGTGGGTGGTGGATAGGATAGGCATGCGTGTGGCCGACGACCGCACCCGAGATCGATGGAGCCATGCTGCACGCACACTCTGACTCGTGACTCACGACTCACGATCCGACTTGGACGCCCTGCAGCGCACAGATGAGAATCATAACACGTGACTCGCACCAACTTTTTTCGCAGGCTGTGCCAAATTTCCACGACGCGTTCTCTCTCCTCCACCAAAGAGAACAAGCACACCTGGAGGGTATTGTGGACGCGGGCTGGCTGCTGGCATTGTTGATTGTTGATCATGATTGCAGCATCTCAAATCGTGATTCGCGCATCAGGATCGTCATTCACTGTTCACTTTCTTTCCCACCGCACTTTCGTCAGGCTTCCGACCCAGCGTAACCTCTAGCGCTGTTGGAGACATTGAGCACACTCTTCCCGAGCCGTGACTGCCCACGCTCTGAGCTTTGTTCACGCATAGCCTCCTGTCCAGCCGTTCCGATCGAACATCATCCGCGAAACCGAGACAGGCACTCAAATCGGTTCAGCACTGCTTCACCTTGGCAGCAGTGCAGCAGCTCGGCCTTGCACTTTATCCAAGACACTCTCACTGCCAGACTCGTTTCCCTTGCACCTTCGTCGGCATCCAGACGGGAAGGATCAACACGATGAACAGACCATGGGGCCGCTCATCCCAAGGCTCGGGCTACGGTCCGCCCGCAGCCGGTCCTTCGTCCTACTCGAACGCATACAGCCATCAGTCGTACAATCAATCTCCATACCACCACGAACACGCTCACCGCGGCGGTCGAGGTGGGCAAGGGCATGGGCACGGGCGCATTTTTGGACGAAGTAGGGGTATGGGTATGGCAGGAACGGGTGCTCGAGGACGAGGACGAGAAGCGAGCAGAGGAGGCTCCGGGCGTGCAGCACCGATGGAGACGGATGTGCTTGGACTAGAAGGACATCTCGAGTGCGGACACGTAGATCAACCAGCGCGCGAGCTATCCACCTCCTCCCTCGCTGCAGATGCACCCGCAAGTACCTCGCAGCAGACCGCTCCAAAGGCGGGAGCAGAAGCAACAACTGATGGCAAGTGTCCCTACAGAACAAGAGATCCCACCTCTCTCGCTCTACACAAGTACGATCGACATCTCATCTTGCCTGAGGGAGGACTAGCAGAGCTGGATCGTATAGACCCGATCAGACGATGGGAGTTGGCGGAGGAGCGCAAGCAGGCAGTTCGAGCTGCCAAGCGGCAGGCTCTGGAAGGGCCTTCACAGGAAGAAGACAGTGATAGCGCCAGCGATGAAGAAAGTGATGCTGGTAGCTCGAGCTCACATAGCTCCATCGAGTCCCCACGCGCCTCTGCCAGCTCGGCCACGAAGGTCTCGGGTCAGACGGTAGATCCAACGCAGACCATTTCAGGTCTCAACATCACCCTGTCAACGCCTCAACTCATAGAGCAGTGGCGCAACGAGAGACGCAAAAGATTTCCTACGCAGGTGAATGTGGAAAAGAAATTGAGAGAAGCTTGGAATGATGAGAAAAGCAGAGAACGGAGTGTGGGAAGAGGCGCCGAAGAGAGATCGAGCAAGAAGCAGAGGGTATGGGGACCTCGAGAGAAAGAAGGTGAAAAGAGTGAAGCTGCGCAAGATGCAGAGAGTAGGCAACCTGAGATTGTCACAGGTAGGCGGGAGGACGAGAGACCGAGCGCTGCTCACAACACCCTCAGTCGGCAAGAGGAGGGTGGCGATAGTGACAGCGACAGCGATGGTCCTCCCGAGGAAGTCAGCACCAAGCAGAAGACTTTGGAAGGGGCAGTCGAAGAGAAGAAGAGGTCATCAAGCACCTCACGACAAGAAAATGTTGATGCGAGCGACTCAAGCGACTCCGAATCGTCTTCGGGCTCACATATTTCTCAAGGCTCCACCTCTGAGACTCGAAGAAATCAAGGTGAGCCGTTGGCAGATGAGCCCAGTCCGGCAAAGGACCCGTCCAAACAACACGGAGAAGCGGCGACGCAGAATGACCCTGGTACGACGAGTGCTTCGGGTGCTAATGCGAGGTCCGAGCAGACCCTAGCGGGACCCAACGCTCGAGTCTGCCAGCATTGGCTTAGAGGTAAATGTAGCTACGGCTCTCAATGCCGATCTAAGCACGTCCTGGCTTCCCAGCCCTCTCGACCAGTCAAGCAGCATCGTCCTCGACCCAGAGCCCCGCCGTCCAATCCCTTTGCTCAGCCGAATTTGCTCCGAGCGCTGCTAGAAAAGGAGATTGGTCAGCATGTCTCGTATGTAGCGCAATTCGTGAGATTCCTGGTCAGGAATAACGTATTGGAGGGCGTGGAGCGGCAAGTTGGAGATGCCTCTTTGCAGAGGGAGAAGCGACGGTTAATTGAGGAGGTAGTAGCGTCAGACGCTACGGACCAGCCTAGCCAGCAGGCAAGCAGCTCCTCGCTAGCCGCAGGAACGATGCCGCAAATCGATGGAGAGTTAGCGACTCTACCAGCTGAAGACGGTAAAGCTCGAGCTCTGTACCGACCGCCATCACCGCTCCTGCAACCGCTTTCGGAGCTGAATTACCCTCCCGAGCCCGATCCTTTCATCTTTCTGGACCCGCTGCGAGCCAACGATGCGATGCCCTTGACGCACGCCCAGCTCGTATCGCTTTCGGTGCATCCGGACATCAGGGACCTTCTTCATGCTCCCACTAGCGCTCCCTCCCGAACCGCCCAAGCGCTGGGCCAACATCTTCCAACTCCACCAGCACTGCAAAGAGCTCTGAAGACGTTGGACGCGCTACCTTCTTTCCGACACAGACAATCAGCAATCGAGATCATCCTGGGCGTGTCGGAGCAGAGTGCGCAGCATGCTCATCAGCTCGCGCCCACTTTTGTTCGGAGGACGCCGAATCAGGAAAAGGACAGGGTCATTTCGGAGAGCGAGTTGTTCAGACTAGGACTCAGAGTGGGCACGGAGGAGGTCAAGATCATACAGCAGCTGGCTGCAGTGGTCGCTACGGTGGTGGGCAACATCGACTTTCAACCAGATTCTAGTAACCTCGCAGCACTTGCGGAAGGGAAAACCTTGCGGACTGAGTCGATGACGGCGGAGCAAGAGAGGCAAGCTTTCGAAAAGAGACAGGCTGAGAGAATGCTGCGTTGGGAACGGGAAGCCGAGAAGAGGGATATGCTCAGGTCGCTAGGCATCGACGTTGACTGAGAGATTCGTCGATTATGTTTGCACTCGTGTTAATGCGTCATCTTTGTTACCCAAATATCGCAACTTCGTGCCATTGCTAGAGGTGTCCTGTGCTGTGATGCTCACACGATATGACAGTGAAAGCGTTTCGTATAAGGCTGTCACAGTGTAGCACACCAATCACGAATGAGCGAAGGCTCTCAAGCCTCAAGCTTGGGAAACGGGCCACATTCATTGATTCGAGACAACAGAAGACACGATTCGAGGCAACAGAAGACACGATTCGAGACAACAGAAGCCACGCGCGAAACCGAGGAGGGACAAACTTTGAAGGGGGCTACTGAGACTAGGGCTTGCGAGCGCCTGACGGGTGCAGAGATCATTGAATGGAGCAGTGTCACCATCTGAGGTAAGATTCAATCGTCCATGAGCCAATCAAGCCATGTAGATCGAGAGGTGTCTTTGCTAGCGCGCAAATGCTGCGATGACGACGGGGGAGCAGACTTGTCCTGCTAAAGACAACGTTGAACGGAGCGCCGTGCACAAACGTGTCCAAGGGCTGGTTGCAGCTGATGCGCGATGGCTTTGCGACGCGGGGCTCAGCCACGGTGAATTCGTCGAGACCGTATTGCTTTAGAAGGGCTGAGGATAGCGCATCGTTTGGGAAAGATGGCTAGGACGACGATGACGATGAAGACGACGAATGATAATGATGACGAATGATAATGATGACGATGACGATGATGATGATAATTGGTATAATGCAGATGACAACCAGAGAGGACGAGACCGAGGGTCAAGGGCCAAGGCCGAGAGTAGGGTGTTGCGCGTCTTTCCATGCAGAACGCTCTTTGAAAGCGGGCGGGACGAGAGAGTCCGACGTGAGGCTGAGGCTGAGCGAGAGGCCGAGAAAGCGGAACCAGGATGGAGAATCGAACTTTCTTTGGCAGGGCGGAATGGACGCGATGAAACGAGCATTCAAGGGCGAAAACCGAGATAAGAGCGAGCGAGTCATTCGGGTCTTGATCAAGGTCGCGATGACCAGGGTCGCGATGATCAAATTGGCGTGGGCGTCGAGGACGACGTGCGAGGTGCCAGACCCAGGAGCCATTGCGCTGACTTGGCTGTGGATATCAAGCCCCGATCGACAGCATCTCCAAAGACGACGCTGCGGTTGCGACGAGAGTCTCGACCTGGGCGTCGCAGACTCGAGCGTGCGCATTTTGGTAGGCCATTTCTCCCGCCGATTCCATCTCAACCTCGGTGGAGACGCTGTCGCTACGGACGCGCGTCTCCGTCCTGATGAAGCTGGGCTCCCAGCTAGGAATCGGCGAGCTTTGAGGGGGGCTGGAGGGCGCGGCTCGTGGCACCAAGAGCTGGAAGAGCGTGTCTTGCGACACAAGGATGTCGCCAGCAAGGCAACAACGCTTTGCCATGTTGCACTCGAGAGGCACGTCCTTGTCGTCTGCGCAATGCTTGAGCTTCATGCGTCATTCCATGTCTTCCTTTTGGCCATGGAGACAACGCATGCAAATCCACATTGGGACCTCTCTCTGTGGCTGCAGCACCTTCTTGGGCGCTACCGTTGGGCGCAGACGCTTGGCAGCACAATCTTTGGCGTTGGTGTTGTCGTCGGAGATACGCTTTACCCCTTGGTGAGTCTAGGGGTCCACAAGAAGAGCGGAAAGTACCTTTGCGACTCCGCAAACACTGGGGCGAGTTGGAAGCGATTTGATGCATCTGACATCGTCTTTTGCATCTACCGAGCTGCTCTCAACCAAGACGTTGGTCTGAGCAGTTGAGACCAAGGGCCAATTGCTGATGCTCAGCAATTGCTCAAAAGACCCTAAGCTCTCATCGTACTTGTCCAGCTCAGGTAGGTTGCACCAGACGTTGTAGATGGCTGGCAGATGCAGCCCCTGGTAAGCAGAGGCAATTTCTTGTTGAAGCCAAATCTTGGCCTGCAGGCAGCAAAGACAATGCAAACAGATCCAGATGGAAACCTCCTTCTGCGCCTGCTGTGAATGTCAAGGCTCCAGAAGCCAGGTGCTGTAGCAATGCTTTGCTGGAAGCTTGCAATGTCGGTGCTCCTTGGGAATGTGGCAAGCAGCGTGATGTTGCCATCGAACGACACCATTCCCCAAGACAGCACCGAAATTCCGAGGAGAATGTCGACTTGGATGTCGCAGACTCGAGCGCAAGGGCAGTGCCGCTCTGTGGTGCCCCTAACGGGCTTGGGCTAGAAAGAGCCAGTGATTGGAAGATTTGCCATTGCTGTTTTCGTCACTGTGCACAAATGTATTCCTGGGCTGGTTGCAGCTGATTAGCGACGACTTTGCAATGCAGAGAAGGTCGAGATGACTCAAAGCCATGGTGAAGCTGTCACAGCTTGGTTGCTTTGGAAGGGCCAAGGATGATGCGGTGTTGGAGAAAGGAAGATGATGAGAATGATGTTGATGACACGTACACCGCAGGGAGTGGATCAGGAAAATAAGAGCAGAAACAAGAACAAGAAGTGGGATCAAACACCCTGGCCAAGACCAAGAGTGAAGAGTGAAGCGTTGCTCAGTCAAGGCAGGCCTCTTGGGCCTACCGTCTGCTTGTTGAGTTGAGGGGCAAGGACATGGCAGACATGGAGGCCTGGCACAGGAAGCAGAGTGGTGCCCTCCATGAAGCCACCACCATGAGACCCCTGCATGAGTAAAGACTTTTGCAGAGACCTTACACAGCTCTGGTAGAGCCCAATCAAATGCTTCAAGCTTCAAGCAAAAACATATGCAGCTGCATTGCGCTTGTCGTTGGCTGGACCAGGGAGCATGGAGGTAGGCATGTGTGACTGAGGGACATTGGAGGTATGGCAGAAGTGAAGAAGACAGTACTGGCTCTGATGGGCCTCAAATTATTCTGCCAGATGTGAGGACACTTTCTGCACATCCGCTCTACCATCATAAGCATGGGCAGACAACTGAAATGCTCTCGAGCTGAAGTGACTGTATCTGTCTGTATCTGTGGTCTTTTGGCAAGTGTAGTGAGTGGGCGCGCTTGGTTTTTGAGAGGGGTTCTGTGCTTGTGGAGGATTTGTGATCTGTGCAAAGTGTGTGTTTGCAAGACACATCTGGGTGTGACAAAGCATGAATTGGGTGCAGAGGCAAGCAGCACAGAAGCCCATCTTTCTGCTTGAAGCAGATGCTTTGGCTCTGCCAGACCTCTGCAGGGCGTTTGCAGCACTTCACACCCATGTGTAGAGCTTATGGAGGTCTTGTGAAGTGGTCACTCTGTCTTCAGCCACACCTCCAGACCTACTACCTCTTTGCTCCCCAAGCTTGCACTGGAAGGCTGGCCTTGAATGGAAGCAGCAAGACCAGGACCACCAATGAGGAACACAACGCACACTACAGGACGTGTTGGTACAAATTTGCGGCAGAGAGAGTGTGTTGCGCGTGAGCAGCGTCGAGGCTGAGGACAAGACTGAGAGCCAAATTCAGACGCAGAACCCAGAGCTACTCAACCATTGCAAAAGTCACCAATCCAATGAGACGACGGGACGGATTGAGGAAGCTTGATTTGGGGCTGTGACCGGACGAGATCAAGACCAAGACCAAGGCCGAGGATTGAGGATCAAGAAGCGTGTGTTGCTTCCATCACAGAACGGGATGAAGTTAGGATAAGCTTTTGGATGGGTATACGGCCAACAGTGAGAGCGAGCGAGCAATCGTCGCGACCTCGAGGTTGCAATCAGCAGCTGGGTGAGCGTCGAGGACAAAGCGGGGACGGGATGCTGGGCAGTCTTTATAGCCGCCAGATTTCATGGCGCCGCTCTGCCCAAAGGCAGGAAGGTCGAGTTGAGGGTCGAAGTTTTTCAGAGTCTCGTCGCCTGCCATGATCCGGATGGCTCCACCGTACGATCCAAGTCCTACGCGATGGACATGGTCTCAAGGGACGCAACGGTGCAGCCAACTAGACGCTCGAGCTTGCCGCGCTTGATGATTGGGGCTCCCTGAGCAATCTGGCCCATTGCCATGTTGGTCAAAAAGCTGTCCCTACGGACGCGCGTCTCTGTCCTGATGTAGCTGCTAAGAATCGGCGAGTTTGGAGGGCTTGTGCTGGACGCAGCTCTTGGTACCAAGAGCTGGAATAGGGTGTCCTGAGACACAAGGATGTTGCCAGCAAGGCAACAACGCTTCGTCTTGCTGCGCTTGAGGGGCACGTCTTTGTCCGCGCGACGCTTGAGCTTCATGCGTCGCTCTATGTCCTCTTGATGGCGACGGAGACGACGCATGCAAATCCACATTGGGACCTCTCTCTGCACCTTCTTGAGTGCTACCGTCGGGCGCAGACGCTTGGCACCAGAGTCTTCCTCGTTATCCGAGAAACGCTTTGTTCCGTGGCTAAAGGGGGGCAAAAGAAGCACGTTATCCAGCATGCGAACGCTGGGACGAGTGGGGAGCGATTTGATGCTCCTGCCCAGTTGTACCTGCGTGTCGTCATGCGCTACGCTCTTGAAATCTGCCGAGCTCTCAATCGAGACGTTGGTCTGAGCAGTTGAGACCAAGAGCAAATCGCTCATGCTCAGCGATTGCTCGAAAGACTCTGAGCTCTCGTACTTTCTCAGATCGTAAAGGTAGCCGTCGATGATGTCCATGCCTGGTGGATACATGCCTTCGAAAGCGGAGGTGATCTCTCGTCGAAGCCAAATGTCGGCCTTGTCACCAGCAGAGACGGTTCCGGGAACGGCCGCATCCGCTTCCTCATTGCGTTGATCTAGCAATTTGGTGCGCAATTCAGCGCTAGCTTGCACCCCCTTCTTGATCTTTCTCAGCTCCTTCTTGGTGCGTGATTTGGCGCTAGCTTGCACCTCCTTCCTGACCTTTCTCAGCTCCTTCTTGATCTCGTCGTACTGCTTGCTGGCAGCTTTCAGAGCTGGATCATCCACGTCGAGAATGGAGGAGTCGCGATCACCGGTACTGATATAGCCGCCGCATGCATGAAAAGCTCTGAAGTTTAGCCTACTTATGGCTGAGCTAAAGGTTGCAAAGGTCGGCTACGGGCCTGTACCAAGCAAGCGACTGTCCTGCACTGTTCTTTCAACACCTCAAAGTGCAACCCAAGGGACGAATGGATGGATCTTTGTGCGGGTGGATGACTGCTACATGGTCAGGCTGATTCCTGTTGCGCTTGCTCGTCGCACATTGCCGACGCACAGGCTTTGCCTGCTGCCATTGAGATGAGCTTTGGTAGTGGTGTGAGTTGCCAAGGTCAATCTTGCAGAGCAAGAACCTTCTGACTCTCAGCAATGCCTTGACTCTGTTTCCAGCAACGCCAGATTGCCAATGTCCTAGGGTATAATTGAAAGACTTGCTTCATGCACCAGCACAATCTTCACCATGAATGAACACTGCGCATCAGAAGGACACCTGTTGAAAATTGCATTCTGCAAACAAAAGCAGGTGCCTGTCCCTCTTTGCTCAGCCTGGTAGAATCTCATCATGCAGCTCAATTGTGCTGTGACAGCAGTTTGCAGTGGCTTCTGTTGTGACACATCTGCAAGGACTCAGAACATTCTCTCAAGCCTTGAGTTTTGACCACTCTAAGTGTGAGCAATTGCGTAGCATAATCTCGTGGAGGTCCTCGAGGAGTGGCTTCTGACGACAGCCAGTACATGGTGGTGCCATCAACTTGAAGTAGAGGGACGGCAAGCTCTTCCTTTCCCATCAGGGGACGTGCAAAAGTTCTCGGTACAAGTAAAAGAAGGAAGGGTGGGGTGCAAATTGCCAGCTGCATAGGAGACTGCCCCTGCAGCTTCTGGGCTCCTCTTGTCCTTGTGGTCTGGGTCATAGTATCTTATCCTTGCAGCTCTATCCCGCTCTCTATTCCTGCAAGCCATGGGTGTACCTGTAGAGCTTCTCAGTACTAGGGACAGAAGGTGAGGTTCAGGATTTCAGCTTCTCAGGGAGTCATCACTGCAGCATCTACCTTCCCTTCTTGTCCCTGCAGCTTGAGTCATCATCTTCATCCTTACAGCTCTATCCCTCTTTTCTTCTTTGCAAGCCTGAGGTGCTTCAACGCAGCGCTAACACCTGCGGATGCAACACAAAGACAGTACAGAAGACTCTCAGCTTACATGCAGCAGTGTGTCCTCACTTCCATCAGAAGAAAGCCCATCTATACAGAGAAACATTCTAGAGCTTCTGTAGGGTGCACAGCCTCCAACGCGCTTTGTCTCTTGCTAGAGGTCCTTCAACCCATCACGAAGTGTGCTGCAGGGCTGCTCCCCTTGATGTCTTTTGAGCTTAGCTTTGGAAGACTGCCAAGACATACTCATTGAAGGGGTATATGGATGGTGAGAAAATCCTCAATTTTAGTCTGAAAATGAACAATGAGTGGTTCTGCTTGCCAACATTTCTTTTTGAGAATTGAGCTTGACGAGCTGTCACCATCGCTGCCTGTTGCGGTGCACCACACCCTGAGCACACCAAGGCTATGAAAGCGTTCTGTAAGGTGCTGGAAACTAAATTTGCGAGTCATAGTGCTGAGGTCCACACTGACTGTCCTTCCACCAGGAAGAGGTGTTTTTGTAGGAACAGCCGCTCTCTGGGTAGTGCCATCTCAATGGACACGTCACTGTCCATGATTCCACCACGAAGAAGGAAAGCATGGCCCGGGGTTGCCCGTGGCACTACGAAATTCGAGTCGCAACCAATCTCAAGAGCGACGTGATCGAGACAAGAGGCGTGATGGGCTTGGCACGGCACACCTTGTATTTGATCTTGCACATCACCATTGGACTATACTGCTCCGGAGTCATACTTTACACAGACGGATCTAATAATATCATCGGATTTTCCTCTTCTTTTCTTTCCGTGTTCCTCTTGGCGAGTAACCCCCGGCAGGGCGAGAGCGGTCCAACGAAACCTCACTCAAGAGGAAGTGCGAACCACGAAATCTGAGCAGCCCTTCGAGCGTGAGCGGAAACACAATCTGCGCCAGATTGTTCGGCAGCACCTTCGAGGGCTGTGAAATGTCTTTGTCGAGTTTCACGTAGAAAATGCGATCGATATATTCTTATTATGCGCGTAGCAGACGAACATGAGGCTCCAGGGTGGATAGCAAATAAGTCGCAAGGGAGCTGTGCCAGGATCGCGCAATGTTGCAATGCGTGATGCAGGAAAGGGAGGCATCACGAATGGAGATGGCAAAAAAGAGAGATCTTGACTACGTACGTATGGAGGGCGACAATGAGGTCCGGATCGTGAAAACATGTGAGAGGAACATCGTTCGAACGGCAATTAAAAGTGGTATAAAGAGACGAGCGAGCTCTTCGGTCGCCCGGGGAAGGTGTGCTAGAGCTTGGTTGTCGGCGGCTATCTCCACTGCGCATCTCTATCGTCACCGTACCGCTCCTGACTATGAGCGCTATGCCACGATCCCTGGGTCATGGCCGAGTCATCGCGAGGATGTGTCCCTGGCAAAGGAAAGTCGCTCTGCCGTGGTGTGCCGTCGTGCGGTGCAGCTTGCGCGGGAGGCGAGGTTGTGTTGAATCGATTGTGATACCGATCTGCAGGCGAAGCTGACTGCGGGGAGGTCACGTTCACGGTGGGGATCGTTAATGGTTGTCTCAACGGCGAAGGCGCATGATGTTGTTGTTGCTGCTGCTGAGAACGCTGATTGTCGCCAAACGCCGTCTCAAAATGCTGCTCGAAGGAGTCGGTCGATTGGGCGGCGAGCGCTGTCCGACTGTTGGCTTGGCTGTTGGGTTGCGCATAAGCGAATGGTCTATCCACAGTGGCCCTCTGCACTCTGATCTGGGGCATGTCATCTCCCTCATGTGCCTCGTCATCGTCGACATAGGGTGAATGCGTACCGTCATCTCTGTTCGCATAGTCTGCACGCCGCCCGGTAGGACTGTTTGGCTCAGGGGTATGAGACGTGGACGGCAGCTGGTCGGGATCGTAGAAGCTCATCGCTGTACCGCTGCGACCGCCCCACGGCATCAGCGAGTCGCGCGTCCTGGACGTTCGCGCTTTAGGATCCGGCTGTCGTGCCTCATTTCCTGCTCGATCTCCGTACCGTTGCTCGTAGTTGGTAGGAAGGGGCGAGAGCGAGGAGTCCGAAGCTGTGCCACCCGAGAATTCACGCGAACGACCTTGGGGCGAGGTCGAGTGATGCGTGCTGTAATCGCTTTTACCGAGCTCGGCCGCGCCAAGATTGACATCGGGCGAGTCGGTGTACGATGCCTTCTCTCCGTGTCTGCCATTTCCTTTGCGCGCTTTGTGGGACTTGATGCCAAGCCGTTGCTTCATATTTCCAGCGATCCAGCCTTGTCGAACAATGTCGATCTCGGTGGGATGGAAGGAGGACTGCCATGCGTTCCAAGTGTAACGCGGCAGCAAACAGACGAGCACGGACAGCAGGACGATTGCCCAGAACTGGATGGTCTGGAACAAGATGAAAGCGGTCGGGCTGAAAGTGTTGCCCCACGCCGGCGCACTGTAGATGGCGATCCAAATGAAGAAGGCGAGATTCGACAAGGCCTGCGCGTGGAATAGCATTTCTAGACGTCAGCCAAAAGAAGCGAAGGAATGAGCCACCGGCCGATACTCACAATGACGACCCAGATTATGATGGACCAATTCTTGAGCGCAAGTCCGCAGTACAAGTTTGCAGCGATAACGCAAGATGTTCCGACCGTCGTTCCCATGGCGGTCAGAGCGTCGAGACTTTTACCGTCCGCCATGACGGCAGGGAAGTAGAACCAGGCTGCCCATGCGACGAAGAAGCACGCTGCGGCTTGGTACATGCCGTCGATGCATGCGGTCCAAAATTGGGTGCGGGTGTACAGTTTGCCTTCTCGACCGGGTCGGTACGTCTGGGGAAAGGCCATCAATGCTGGAGCTCGGACATCCTGATCCAGTGCGCCGAGCATGATGACGGGCAAAGAAGTGAAGACGAGATTGTAGAGCAGAATGAGTCCATAGTCGAAGAGGTACGTCGCGTCCGCTTGGCAGAAGATCTGGAAGAGCAGCAAAGCGCCGGTCCAGATGAGGTTCTTGTAGAAGAAGACTTGATGAAGCACCCCGATACGATAAGTGTTCCAGTGACCGTGCACGAGCAAAAGCTTGGCGAGATATCTGAATTGACCGATGGCGTAGTCTGCGCTCATCGAAGCCTGAGCCCCCTCGAGACCAGCAATACCGACACCAATATGCGCCTCTTGGATCATGCTGACGTCGTTGGCGCCGTCTCCGATCGACAAAGTCATGGCCTTCTTGCCGTCCTTGACGAGCTTGACAGTCAAGGCCTTCTGAGCAGGGCTGACACGACAGCAGACGACTGTCTCGCAGAGTGTTGTCAGGGCCAAAAACATGGGCTTCAGCGCAGGGTCGAGAGCGTACCGGAGCGTTTCACCATCGATGACTACTGCAAAGCCGCCGCTTGGAGCGTTACCAGTGCGAGCGATGTCAAGGCGGTGCTTGCTCTTCTTCAGGATACCGCCTCGCCTTTCCGTCTTTTCGATGACCACAGGTCGACCTGCAGCGGCAATTTTGTTGCAAGCAGCTTCCAGCATAGTCCTCGTACCTGCCTCGTGATCAGCCGAGATGATCATGATTTCCATGTCGGTCGACAAGAGGTTGCAGCTGAAGCCAATCTCGATGGCCGTCTGCAGCTTGTCTCCCGTCAAGATCCACAGCTTGATGCCGGCTTGATGCAGCTTCTCGATCGTCTCTGGCACACCCACTTGCAGCTTGTCTTCCAAAGCGGTAGCACCCAGCAACGTGAGACCGTACTCGATCTTTTCGCAGGCCTCGTCGATCTTGTCGTCGCGGTCAGTCAAGCTAGCTGCAGCTTCATCGTGAATGCGGGCCCACTCTGCATATTCGCGCTCTTCCAGGTATCGATAGGCAATGCACAGCGTGCGAAGACCAGCATTGGCGAATTCTTCGAGATGCGCTTGGGTTTGCGCCTTCAGCTGCGCATCGTGATCGCCCCTAAGACGTTGGTAAATGACCGAGTCGGCACCCTTGGTGATCATGAGAATCCTTCCGTCCGGCTCTCTGACAATGACGCTCATTCGCTTCCGCGTGCTGTTGAACTCGAGCACTTTGAGGGGAGTGTACCGCTCAGGCTGACCAGCCACTTCGATGTCCACCGACGTATTGTTCTTGTTGATGAATACAGCACCGACGTCACGCGCAGCGCTCACAAGCGCAGCCTCATCAGGACTCTGCGCCTTGTACTCCAGGACGAAGGGATTCGCGGCTTCCGGTCTGTCGGCAAGGGCAGTATGGCAAAGTGCTAGGGCACGGAAGAAGGCAATGATATTGCGGCGCTGCTCCGGGCCAGCAGGCGAAGACGGTCCGAGTTCGTCCGCAAGCTGTGGAGAAATCAGCGTTGTCTGGTCAGGCCGCAAGTATCGATTCTTGAACGTCCTGTTGAGCTTGTCGATCATGTCTGTCTTTAAGCCTTCCAGTTTCGCCTCTTGCTCATCCGCGCTCAGACCAGAAGTGTCCTTTCCATCGCGCTTCATCGCCCCGATCATGGCTTCTGTGATCCCTTCTCCGTACGCACTGCCGTTGATGGAGCACTTTTTGAACTCCATCACGTTCTGGGTGAGCGTTCCCGTCTTGTCGGAGAAGATGTATTCGATTTGACCCAGGTCGTCCACAATGCCCCAAGTCTTGGGTACGCAGGGATGATCCAAGGGCTCGTAGTACATGTCGACATCCTGGTAGATGAAGAAGGCTGAAATCGTCTTGGTCAATTCGATAGAAATGTAGAGCGAAATGGGTACGATGTTCTGGAAGAGGACCAAGCAAGTGCCAAAGACGAACAGCGCATTGATGATGTTGGAAGAACTGTCCAAGGCGCCCGGCTCGTAAAACCTCCTGCTCGTATTCGTTTGGTTGAGGATGATGCCACCGACGGTAGCACAAGCAGAGCACATGAGAAGCAGCAGGACGAAATTGACAGCGACGTTGACATTAGTCTCCTTTTCGATCTTTGAACGCTTGGAAGGCGTTTCTCCTCCGTTGAGCATGATTTTGGTGTCTGCGCCGGTGAACACCACGATGCCGATGACCCATTCGGTGTTTCGCAGAGCGCACCCTCTCAAGAGCAGCTCGTTCGCAGTGACGGGTTCCACCTTGCTGACCATTCGCTCCTGGCCTGGCGCTCCGCGACCTCCAGGACCGGCAGCTGCATCAGTATATTCATCGCCCGGACCGGCTGGCGCGAGATACTTGAGGAGTGCGTTGTACGAATAGAGGTTGGCGTGAGGCGGTTCAGAGTCGATGATGAAACGCGCGTGCTCAATGTCCTCCTCCGTTTGTATGCCCATCGTGGCCTTGAGACACTTTCGCGCTTTCAGATTCGTCTCTCCATCCAAGTTCTTCGTCTCGATGAACGCATTGCCGTCCGGATCGGAAGAATTGAGCAGGACGAGATCTGCAGGCACCTGGTCGTTTTCGCGTAGCAGCACGATGTCACCGACCTCGAGCTTCTTCCACAGTGTTCGCTCCCACCTTGCAGAGCCAGAAGTCGACCTTCTATAGTCCACAACACCATTAGGTCCAGCGCCATACTGGGCAGCAGCGCCACCCGTTGATGTTCCAAAGGACATGGCAGATCCACCAGCTTGCGGGAGATTGCCGGCAGCTGGTCCCTTCGCAGATTTGTGGCCCCACTCGCTCTCGGAAGCGATCGTCTCCAGCTGGTTGTTGAAGCCTTGTCCGCTGTTCAGGCTGTCGCTGCGGAATGTCCGTTGGGTCTGGTCCCTGGTCATGCTCTGCGCACCGCTCGACTCTCCCTTGACGATTCGCATGCCAATCGCGTCTTCCTTCTCGCGCAGCTTGCGCACACCCTTTGACACCTTGTCGCGACCGCCCATTCCAAAGAGCTTCCCAAAGAAACTGCGCCCGTCTTTGGGCAGGTTGACATTGTGCCAACCTCCGAGCCTCGTGACCGCACTATTGTTGACTGTGTTGTCCAGCACATGCCGCCTATAGTCTTCGATGCTGTCCTTGATGGCAGTGATGGTCAGAATGGCCACAAGGGGAAGCATTGCGATCTGCGGGATGGTCGCACCAAACTGGGGAAAGATTCTGTTCGCAGAGGCGCGGGCAGGACTGTCAGCTGCGGGCCCTACAACAACTAGCCACCGCATACACTCACTGGATGACGACTAGAAGCAAAAAGTAGACATTTGCCAGCCTTCTGAACTGCTCCGTCAAGAAGCGCGGCAGAAAAGTGACGAATGTGTATTTGGACGTGCGGACTTTATTTCTCGCGTATTTCGCTTTCGGCTCGCCGTTCTTTGCAGCGTCTTGTGGTAGCAGCGGAGTGTTGAGGTAGACATTTCTGCGCTGCAGAGGTTTCTTCGATTTGCTCTTCTTCATGCCGGTGTCGAGCTTCCCTGAGCTCTCCTCCGTCGCCTCGCCGTGCGCTTCCTGAGCTTCTTGGAAAGCTTCCTGCTCTGCTCTCCTAGCTGCATCTTGCGTGGGGTAGTCTGGCGTCTGGCCTTGCTGCGCAGAGTCAAATGGCACCCCCACTCCTTCCCCACCAGTCCCAGTCGCCCCTGTTCCACCAGGTCCATGATGCCCAAATTCGTTCTCTAGCAAGCCTTTGAGCGCTCCTCCTTGCTTGGTGCTCGCTCCGCGTCTCAACAGTGTCCTGCCTCTGCCAAGCTTTCCCAGCAAGCTACCTTTTCTGGCCTTGTTGCGTGCATCTCGCCGCGCCTCTGATCTGTGACTCTCAGCTATTGATTCTGCTGCTGTCCGCACTGTGCGCAATTGCAGATTCGGATCAACGGCAGGGTCATAGTCGGGATGAGTGGGATCTGACAGGTAGTCTCTGCCCGATGGCCCGTGCTGATAGGGACCTGGCGAGTGTGGGTCGTAGTTGTGGTCATCCAAGTGAGGTGCAGGATGTTGAGCGCCGAAAAGCGGCATTGTTGCGTAGCGATGTCTGCGAAGCGCGCAGCTTGATCGAGGTCGATGCCAGGAGGGTAGGCTGCTGCGCGTTTCGTGCTCGAGTGTAGAGCGATTCGTGCGCGAACGTGGAAGCGATATGAAAAGCCTGGATGCTCCAAAAGCCGAGCAATGCGATCAACGGCAAATGTGAACAATCGTAGAGCTCCTTGCGCTGCGAATCGGAAATGTGCGGGCAGCAAATGGCGCGAGAATCAGACCAAGTTCAAGGCGTGAATGTGAATGCGCACGTCGGGTCAGGGCGCATCCAAGATCAGTGCGTGCTGGTTGTATGCGAAGCTGCTGGCGGATGCGCGAAGGCGCGCTGTTCCCGAGCACAGCGACGATGACGGTCGAAAGGATCGCGTGCACTACTGCGGCCTTGCGATTTCACCGAGGAGGCGTAGGGAATGAAGAAAGACGAAGGACTGGGATACAAGGAGATGGAGAGGAATGAATGGAGGGGCTTCACAGCAACGAGGCGAGGAGTGTATAGCCCCTGTTCGACCGAATGCATGTGAAGCCTCCGTAGCAGGTGCTGGGAAGCTGGGCGGGCTAGCTTAAATTCACGATTGTAGCTCGTCCGTCTTGCTGCTACAGCATGCAGTCACCATCCAGTGGTATAGCTGACGGCGCGCCCGCCCGTGGAGAGTCGCTGCACAGCATATATTATGCTGCATGCATGCATGCAGGCAGGCAGCATGGCATGCACGCATCACCCTCGCCGCTTGGCTTTACACGCCCGCGCACTCATGACGCAGGTGAAGCAGTCTGAGTAGTACTCCTGCACACTCGCGGCAGCGCAAGGGCTACACCATTCACGAGTCACTCCGACCGAGACATGACAGAGCGCCGTGATGCATCAACACCAGGACAGCGAGACATGAACATGCGTCACATCTGTCTACGTGACTTCTGGCGCGGCTGAAACCTTGACGGCTGGAAGCGCATATGCAGCCGATGCCTATACCTACTGCTCCAGCCAGGCAGTTCTGATCAATCACGCTCAATACGTAGGAGGGCGGTGAGACGTCAAGCAGTTCTGCACGGCGTCGCGCGCTGTTGCCGCATATCTTTGGACGACATCAGCTTGTGTGTCGCGGCGAGCTCGCATCGGATCTAACGTTGCGCGTGCAGCTCGCCGGAATCTGTGCGCTGCCCAGTCAGCACGGGCAAAGAGCACACTTGCGCTGTGCTGTTCCACGAGCATGTCGGGCTGTGCAGACAAAAGTGAGTGTGCACAGCAATTCATACCTCATGTGCGCGTCAGGCTGTGCGAGCACGAGCTGCTACCATCCAGCACGCGCGCCGCGACGCACGGCGGATGCTTGCAGCTTAACTCAGGGGAGGTACCGGACCTGTCTCTGCATCGCTCCTCAATTTAAGTCACGTCGCGCCAAACGCGCCTCGCGGCACCGGGCTGCAGTGCTTCCATGCGCGCGCGCCAATGACGGGCGCCCAACCGCCCGCCGCTTCTCGCTGCGCTTTCTTTACAAGGCGCTTGAGCAGTGTACACGCCATTGATGCGCTTGGGTTTCGCAGCGTGGAGTCGACGCACGTCCTACCTCAGATCGCGGATCTGCGACAGACACGTCAATGATCAACGCATCTGAAACGAAGTCGTGAGTCACATGAATCAAAAATCGAGATTGACGGTGCAACGACCACAATGCCCAGCAGCAGTCAGGGCAACCGCCGATCATCCGGCGCCGTGATTCGTGGCCGGCGGGCGCACCTCCGGACCAGGAGACAGAGCAGCCGGATCAATCTCTCCCAAGTCTAGCGCCTACGTCGAGCTCTTGGAATAAAGGGTTGTACGATTGGAAGACAGGGAACAGTAGTAGGGTCGCGGGTCTTGATTTCAGGGGCCATGTGCATCCACGGAACGCACTCTTGCACGAACCTTTGAGAATCGCATGCCTTGGAGAAGGAGAGATGGCTTGGCGCTCGCGTCAAGCATCTCTTCTGCAGCGAGTGTTAATGAGCGTCCTCGCAGCGCTTCATGTGCACAGACAGCGCGCCTGCGTTCATGTTCGATGCCAAGCTCTTACTTGTGGGGCTTGCAGAGCCAAACTCTGATTCAGACGACTTCTTTACAATCAGAATTATCGTTCTCGTGATTAATAAGTCTTAATCCATGATTGCTTACAGAAGGTGTCATTCATGATTCACATTGTTAGCGCAATGTACACGCCCCTGGCAATCTCGCATCGTTCTGCAAGTCGGGCGGAGATTGGTGTTCAATTGTCCAAGAATTCTGTTTTAGTCGTGAGTACAAGTCCATCTGTTAATTGGTGGCCAGAACGTCTTATTAAACTTAATTGGGTCAAACATCACGGATCTTGTATCACGTGGAACGAATAGGGATCCAAGGCAGGCACAACCAGGCACGTGATGCGATCCGCCGCGGGCCAGCACAAACGCACGCGCGATCGCGTTTAGCGTAACAGCAGCATCGCCGCCGCCGCTTTCGCGGAGGTGGAGCAACTCACGCCTTTGGCACGGCAACAGAGAGCACAGCGCACAGCATCATGCGAAGAAGGTCCGGTCCTTTGCTCAAGGAAGGCACCGTCGAGTTCAGACGCGAACAGCTACATTCGAGAAGTGCGCTGTCTTCTCCACAAGCACAGCGCTCCCTTTCTCTGCGGCACGAATCGACAGACAATCAACACGTTTATCGGTCTATATTTGAAGCGTCGCGGACACCTCAGCAAGGCGATACGCGGGGCTCTGCAGAGTACCCGAGCAGAAATCAGTGCGGAGACGCGCCTCGTCTCCTCTGCCTTGCCGCTCCTTCGCCGCTTCCTCTCCGCTACGATGGCAGCGTATCCCGCGGACGATGCTTTGGGTATCGGAGAGGGCAGATCCAGCGCTGAGATCTGGGGAGGGGAAAGGTCGCAGGTGATCGAAAGCGCTGTAACAGATACGGCAGAGGAAGTGGAACAGACACCAACAGCTTCGACTTCGATGCAGACGCTCAGACCGGCTACTCCTACAACGGCGAGGGCTGTGCAGCTGTCCCCTACCGCAGAGACGAAGCTCACTCTGCCAGAAGCAGTGCATGCCGCAATTGGAGCCGACTCGGAGGGGAGTGCATCTTTACCAGTCGTGCTAGGTATCGCAGTGGTCGACTTCGTGAGTGGTGTTGCGCGCGAGCATACAGCCAGCTCAGATGTCTTGTGCTGGGCTTTTCTGATCTCTGTGAGCATCGCCAAAGCCTTGTGATCCGCTCACATTTGTAGCCCTCCTTTGCAGAATCATCTGGTTGGTCCGCAGATCGAGTATGCGCATCCGCCCGAGATTGCGCAAGACGAAGACATTTCCAACTCGCTACCCTTCCTCGCTCTTCCGGATGGCTCGCACTTGGTGAGTCATGATGATCAGTCATGCGATCTGTGCAGCAATCATGGCATCAATGCTTATCGTCGGCTCTGCAATACCTTCCTCTATCTCCACACAGTCAGACGAGGATTTCTGCTACTTCCATCTTCTGTCTCGGCGCATCTTACCAGAAAGCACCATATTCGGCATTTCTTGCAATAGGCAAATAGCCAGCGATAAGCTAGCTGTGAAAGGGAAAGAAGTGACACGCGGAACGGTTCAAAAGGCGGTCGTGGTCTTGGCGCGAGAGGTGAGCATGGATCCCGATAGCGCATGTGCGCAGAGGGCGACGTCGTCTTGCCAAATGTTGCTTGCACGGTGCTGACGTGTGCGATTTACTCAGCCCGTGTTCGGCCCTATAAGGGAAAAGCTCGGAGTGGTGACGCGCGCCTTCTTTGCCCAAGGCGATCTGCAAGACACGCACATCCTGGTAGACTTTCACGCCACGCTCGAGAGCGGTCTGAGCGTAGCCAGAGGAGCACCAATGAATAGAAGACGACCGAGTGGGTCCGTCGATGGGCATTCTACTGCGGACAGTGTTCCAGCTAGCGGTACAGTCACACCGGATCCCGCCCAAGCCGCATTGGATCACGCAGCAGAGGTGGAGAAGGAGGCGGTGATGTACATGGGCACATCACTGAGAGAGCTGGTCTTCAAGTGGCGCTTCAAGACTTTGATGTTGCTCAAGCTGCTCCTCTTGCAGCGCAAAGTCATGTTCTTTGGATATCCGGTCGAGAGGCTATGCACCTATCAATACTCTCTCGTCTCAATGGTGCCTGGCCTTCTTCTCGCGCTCGACGATGCAGGCTCACCGGACATGAGAACTCACAGCGGGCCGCGTCCCAAAGCGGAAAGTTTGCGAACCTCTGACCGCAAAAGCTTGCTGAGATTCATGGGCCTGCCGCTTACGCTCTTCGGATCGGGCGCATTCTTTCAACCTTATCTGCCGCTGCAGCAACTGGACATGGCCAGCAAAGCGAGCAGCTTTTTGGTGGGCACCACCAACAGCATCTTCCGCCAGCAGAAAGAGTGCAGAATTGATGTCATTGTCGACCTGGAGCAGTCTAATCTGGAGTTCTTGGATCCAAAGTTGCAACAGATTGTCAATCTCACCGCCGCCGACAGGAAATGGATGGACGAGCTCGTGCATGTCGTGACGGAGAGCTGGAATCCAGCAGACCCCAGCAGGCCTATCACGATGCAGTACGTCGGCAGCGACGACTACCTCCGAGCTAAATTCGAGGACTACATCTGTTCGATGTTATCCACAGTCAAATACACCGACTTTCTTGTCAAGGGCGAGAAGCAAGGTGTCTCCATTTCAGCTCCGGATGCTGCGGTCGTAGCTTCCTTCGGAACAGACTTCATCAGTGGATTCAAGCAGACTAGCGCATATGCACTGTGGGATGCAGCCACCGATCCAATGATATTTGACCTGTTCGAGCACAAACATCCATGCGAAGGCAAAGTATCGGCATTGGAAGATGTCGGCCTGAGGGTGCAAGCTGGTCTGCACGATCTACATTTGGAGGAACAGTTGGCTCCTACGAGGGAAGCGATAGGCAATGCTTTGCAGTCAGGGGGCGCTACTGCATGGAGAATCGCAAACAAGTTCGGAAACGACCTGGCCAAATTCAGGAGAGAGCAAATGGCCAAGGCAGAAGCGGCTGCTGCCGCAAAAGCCGCTGGTAGCCCGAGCGCCACCTCCACTTCTCGGACCAGCGCTGAGACCGCACGCACCGACGACGGCAAGCATCAGAGCGTCGACTGGTCCAAGTCTGGTGAGACGACGTCTACTGCAGCGGCAAGTGCACCCCCGACCAGTCCTCGATCTCAAGAGATTCAGGCCCAGGCTGCAGCAGCTGCAGCTTCGGCAGGCGAGACTGTACGGGCGGCATGGGGATCATTTGGATCATTTCTCTCATCTAGACAAAAAGCTTGGAGTGCGGCGTCTCCCTCTGACGGGCCTGCTCCCACCGCAAACAAGTCGGAAGTCCCGCGAAGCGGCGCCGCACCCTCTTCAGGATCGACGTATCCGCCCACGAGCGCCGCGGCCTTGGCGGAGGTATCAAGAGACTCGACCGCGAGAGACTCGGCGACTTCTTTGAGGTCTTCGTCGAGCAAAAGAGACTCGGTTGCCGAGCTGGCTGCAGCACCCACTCTCAGATCAGGACCCATGGCTCGTCGGATAGCTTCCAATCTAGCCGAGTCCACTTCAGGCTCTTCGACGCCTAGCTCTTCGTCGCCTCAAGGAATTGATGCGTCGCGCAGGAACTCTTCGGCTGTTGGCTCTTCACTAGTGGGGGGCAGTGTGATACCCATCGGCTCCAGCTCACGACCCGCTTCAGCTTCTTTTGCGAGCCCAAGCGCCCATAGCACTTCCGCGTCGGTTGTTGGAGGCGCACCAGGCGGCAGAGCCTCTCTGTTGAATATGCACCCTAGCTCGCCAGCCGCGAGGAGAGATGCGGCACGAGCCGCTGCTGCCGCTTCGTCCGACACATCATCCATCACCTCTAGTCCGCTCGCCGCGAGTAGTACTGCAGCAAGTCGAACGAATACACCTAGAAGCTACGTCAAGTCGAGCGGTACTGGGACTGGGTACATCACACCTCCCATCACGAGCAACAAGGAGGAACCAAGGGCAGACAGTCTGAGTGGCGATGGACAGCATTCGACGCGACCCTCTTCAGTCGAAGAGGCAAGGATGCCGGCAGAGACCTTCACGACGCAAGAGCAAAAAGCGGACGATGCTGCAGCAGATTCTCATGAGGGCTCCAAGTTGCCCAGTCTGACAGACCAAGAATGAGCGCGCAGCTAGTCGGCAATTTTGGAGGCCCCTCCACCTTTCCCCACCTCAACCTTCGTCTTACCCTGTATTCATTGCCCATGTTTAGTGCATTGCGCGTCACTAATCTCGATGGTCTACGCCAAGTGACATCAGGACTGACCATACCGCTCGAGCTGACTACCCGGCCTGACGCCCCGCTCCGGCCGAGTCAGTCCGATGCAGACATGTCATCGCGATCTAGGGAAGTGAGAGACGATCTATTCGAGGAGTGTCGGAGGTCCGAATGCGTGACCATGCTGCGACGTGCTGGTTCCGGTAGCCAGAGATGCCCTCCCAGACCAATCTACGACCAAATCTTCGATGTTTTCCCTGGCGAATCTCCACCTCAAGGGTCTCTCACAGCCATGCTGAGCTCACCAACATCTGCCCTGGCTTCTTTCTTGGCATCTCCCAACCTCTCTCCGCGCGACAGAGCGAGCAAAGAGTCTCTGACGTCCTCGATGAGATCATTGATATCTTCCAGTCCTACCGAGATGCGAACAAGACCCGGCTGAGGTGGATAGGAGCCGAGAGGAACAGAACCAAAGAAAGGGGAATGATGGAGCGCTCAGCGTTGCAGACGAAGAGGCGTCAAAGATTCAGACGCGAGCAGGACAAACGCACCTCTTCCGTGGATTCGGCAGCTTTGCGCCACTCCATCAAAGACTCGACACCTCCTAGCGAAGTGGCGGGCTAGGTACGGGTCACGAATTGAAGTGTGAGCTGGTCCGGCTCCACAGCGCCGCCGTACTACGGTACTACGCTCGAAGGCGCACTCACGATGAAGTATTGAGTGGCGTGCGGCAAGTAGCGTGCGTACTTTTCTTCCGAGAGCTACAAATCGAAGTGACCGCAAGTCCGAATCACGAATGCGGTGACGTCTTGTCAGCTCTCGCTTTAGCGAGTCAATAGTATGCAATGATGCGAGTGAACGTACCCGGATGCTGAAGCAAGGATTCCAGCCTCCGCTCATTTGCTCTTTCGGGTCAAAGTTCTGTCCACCTTCCACCTTCCTTCCGAGCTCATCCTTGTCTTGTCTAGGCTGCAGCGATCCATGCCAAACGCGCCTCACAATGCCGCTCTCCCTGATCTCCTTGTCCGCTTGCAAGCCTTCGGAGGTTTGTGCAGCCTCGGCGCTGGACGAGAGGATGACGTGAGAAGCGTTGTGAGAAGGCGATACGAGGGTTGTGAGGTACCGCACGAGCTCGGTAGCGGTCGAAGATTGTTGAGCAACGCGAACTTTGAGCGTGCGAAGGGAACGAAGTAGCAGCCAGCTCTCCAGAGAGCCGGGCGGTACGCCAACATATGTGCGGTCGTGCCAGAGCTGAAGGGCGAGGTGTGAGAAAAGAGGGGGATGCTCTATCAGAAGAAGTTCATAGACGGGCTGCTCGAGAAGTTTCCTCACCGCCAGCCACTCTTGTTTGCTCTTCACGCTGAGCACACCCGCCAACACGTCACTATGACCTCCAAGGTACTTGGTCGCTGATCAGAGGCATCACATATCAGCGTCCAGCAACTGCCCCGGGCAAGAATCAACACGAAGCGCGCTCACCCGAATGAAGGACCATGTCTGCACCTTGCTTGAACGGATCCTGCAGCCCAGGAGGTCCAAAAGTGGAGTCTACAATCATGTGTCCTCCAGCAGCATGAGTCTGCCCAGCGCAAATGACAGCAAACATTTAGCATACGTCGCCTCGAGCATTGCGAGCCCTTACATGCACCTCGCCATGGGCACACAAGGCTCACCTTATCAGCATAGTGTTTCAGATCCCGACTCTCTCCAGTTGGGTTGAGCGGGCTCTCAACCCAGACGAGCAGCCCACCACTCCAAGGCCTCTTCTCGTCCTTGCTCCTTTCAGCTTGAGGATAAACATCGTCCAAGTCTATAATCTTGACATCGTGGGAGCGCAGGTAGACTTCCGTAGAGACGTGCACGCCAAAGTAGCCACCTCGACGGGCAATTACGCGAGGAGCATAATGGAGGACTGATGCGTAGGCAGCTGAGAGACTATCGAACGGAAGCGTGCGCATTTCGTGAGCATAAAGCCTCAAAAGGGAAGCAGAACGCTATTCATTGAGTTGTGACACACTCACCCGGACGCGTAAGTCAGCGCGTTGCCATTCTGCAAGACGAGAGCAGCACGACAAAGCGAGCATGAGCGAGGTACCACATGGTCGGTGATGATATGAAGCGCAGGCGGTCGAGACTCACCGTGATCGCACTGAGCACCTTCTCCACTCTAGTCCTGGTCTCATCCGTGTACCTCGAGTAAATGTGGAGCGGAGGATCTTGAAGATCGGCTTTTCCCTCTTCAAAGTCTTGCTCTGCATTGGCCAAGGCGGACTGAGGATGAGGCGTGCGGTAGGTCGAGCTGCTGGTGAGTGGAGGAGCTACGCTGTGGTTTGGATGGGTAGAGTGAGGTAGGTCGTCGGTGTGGAGGGACAGGGTGGACAGCCGGGCGTTGGGGAGAGGCATCTTGATTGGCTGCGAGGTGAGGCGCTGGCTTGGTGTGGAGAGAATCTACACCTGGACAGAGGCGTGCAGGATGAACCCAATCGAGTGGAGGATTCCGACAGGACGTGGTGCTCAGGACGTTGGGTCACGGACAACTGAGATGAAGAGTGTGAGTGCGAGTGTGAGTGGGGAAGGGTGCATATATGAAGCAAGGCAGCCGAGGGCAGTCAAGAGTGTAGTGTACTGTAGATGCTATGGCGTGACTCGACGTGGAGCGTGCACGGACGTGAATTCACGAATTTGCAGAAATCCAAATTATCACGACTAAGCAGCTGCTGCACGCTCACTCGCGCGAGAGGATTTTGCCCGCCAAAGAGAATCATTCTGATTTTTGAGGTTCATCTCGACGGCATGACATGCATGTATGCGCTCCTCCTACAGCGACATCCCTCCCTTGTGCCTCTTCGTGATGCCACATTTGGCCACAATTTGAATTTGACCAGCGCTACACTTGAAGTTCAGCCCGATCGCGCTTGCCAATCCCGCTGTGCAAAGATGCCGCGCGGTCGTCATCGACAGAGCAAGCCTCATCCAAGCGCTGCTGCTCCTTCCACCTCCGCATCTGGAGTCGGCACCAGCGGTCCTTCGAGAGTCGCCGGTGGAGCAGGCAACCCTAGTGCGGGCGTATCAGGCAAAGCTCGGTCCTCATTCAAGAATCAGGTCTACTCCCAAGCTTTGCCTGTACATGTATCTCCGCACGATGAGAATGGGAAGCGGGCAGGACGCACAAGACCGCATGAGAGTGAGGGATGGTGGGAATACATTGCGGCTTTGGTTGGGGCGAAGAGCGATAAAGGCAAGGGTCGAGCTAGTCAGCATGAACCACCGACTGCCGAGGACCCGCAGAGGAGCGGAGCGAGCAAGGTGAAAGGAACTTGGGACCCGCTCACTCGGTCAGTCTGGATCCACGTCACTCCCACCGCGCCCATCGCGCCTCTCTTGGACCTGCATTCTTTCCAGGACTCGAGCGCGGCCGATCCCTCGAGCGCAAGAACAAGACCTCACAGAGATTCCCAAGGGAGAATAATCACAGGCAGAAAAGCTCAGACGTATGCTTCGAGGAAATTGTGGGAGCGGGGCTTCTTTGGCAAGGGAACGCTAAGCAGAAGCGAGCCTACTTGGAGGGATCGAAAGGTGGGAGAGGTCAGGGTAGAGAGGGAGCGAGCGCGCGGCAAATTTGGTGAGAGTGTGCTTCTGGTCGCGTATTCAGAAAGGGCCCGGTGTTCCGCGCGGACTCTGAGCATCTTGCGTCGCTTTACTCAAATGCCGTCCCCTCCTGGGCCTGCTCATCCTGTAGTCAGCACGCCGGAGGAATTGACAGCTCAACGTCGACGAGAGCGCAAAGCAGCCAAGATCGCCCGTGCTCGTTTGGCAGTTCGAGCAGGCACACAGCTGCCAGACGGCATCGTGGCGCTAGGAGGCGAGCTCAATTCGGAAGATGAGAGGGTGCTAGAACGCATCGCTGAGAGGGAACTGGATCGAGAAGACGTCGAGGGTCCACAAGATGAGTTGGAAGCGGAAGAAGAGTATGGGAAGCATATTCCTGGACTTATCTACTTGAGACCCAAGGACGAAGAAGACCGGTCAGAGCAGCGAGATGCACCAAGCAACGGCGAAGGAAGCCAAGCATTGCACACAGGCGAGCATGTGGAGGAGCATGGAGAGGAAGAATGGATAGAAGTGCAAGATATGGAGGTCCTTCAATTGAACGTGTACGAGGTCTTCTTTCTGGCAGGAATGCTCGACGTGATTGAAGTGTCGGACGAGCGAGGTGGCACGCTTGCCATTTTTGATCTATACGCCCTGCTCTGCAGCACGACTCTGAAGCCTGTACACCTGCCGCTCGCGCAACTTGAGATGCCAAGCATTCAAGATTTGGAGAACACGGCTCACCTGTGGGCAAGACCGGACAACCCCTTCTTGGTGCAGTATGTTGCTTATCACCATTTCAGATCTTTGGGATGGGTAGTGAAGAGCGGAATCAAATTCTGTGTCGACTTTTTGCTGTACAAGAAGGGACCTGTCTTCAGCCATGCCGAGTGAGTCACAAGTTCGGAAGAGAACAATGTGCTGCGCTTGGCGCAGTCTGGCATAGACACGGATGGAAGAGCAGCGCAGCTGATTTGTCTCGCTTTTCACCGTCGCCGCCCTCAACAGATTTGCGATTCTCGTCATCCCATCTTACGTGGACTCGGCCGACTCGCAAGGAATCAAAACGGATGAGTTTACCACTTTTGACGGTTCCTCTGCTCCTTCTACTCCATTCATCCCGCATACAACATCCGGCGAGAAGTCCTGGGTGTGGTTCAGCACGATGAACCGGGTTCAGACTCAAGTGCTCAAGACGCTAGTGCTAGCTTACGTCACGGTACCCAGGCGCTGCGACGTTGACCCGCAAGATCTCAGAGATCCACAACGCTTCGTGCAGAGGTTGAAAGCGGGCGATCTGTACTCTGTCAGAGAGATCGCTATTAGACGTTGGGTGCCGGCTAGGATGAGAGCGTAGCGCTTTACAATCACTGCTCAATGCGATGCAGATATGATGTCAATCTTGATGGATGCTTGGTCATGCGTGAAGAAGTCAGGACATCAGGCTGCAGAGGTTCGCAATTCGCGCCTGATTAGAGTTAGGTGCAAACATGCCACCATGAACCGGGTGAAAGCATGACGCATTGCAAAGAGGCTCGAGGAGGCAACGGCAAGTGATGCAGGGCCGAAAAGTTTAGAACGAGGGATGGTCATCGATGTGCACAGAGCGCGGACGTTGTCAAGAATGTACTATGACGGAGTGCTTCGTCCCTCTCTTCGGCATGCTCAATCCTATCCCTGCACTTGTGTCTGGACCTGAACGCGAGCCTGTGCCCTTGATCGACCACTTGAGCTCGAGTGGGGCGGGGAGGCACTCAGACTGGCGTGACAAGCTGGACACTTGGCCTGAGCTGTGAGATGTCTGACGAGACAGACGCTATGCAGCGCATGCCCACAATCTAGCACGCAAGCGATCTCATCCAAGTCCACTTCCGAGTCGAGGCGTGTCTGCGAATGATTCAGAGTAGGATCGGCTCCCTCTTCTGTCTTGCCATGGCTGAGGCAGGAGGATGCGTACGTAGGCAGGACAGACTCAAAGCAGACGCTGCAGGTTTGATCTAGCACCTCTTCCTCCGACTTGTTGCTCCAGGCCCACTTTGCCGTTTCTTTGGCAGCTTGATTTCTCTTCCTCGTCGCTCGTTCCCTAAGCGACTTGATAGTCTCCCTGTTGGTCTTCTGCTCTTCGTGTTGCGCAGACTCGCGTTCCGCCTTCTGCGCAGCGTTCTCGGCGTTCCGCGCAGAGGTTTGAGCGGCGGCGACGACTGCTTTCGCCCTTGCCATACATTTCCTGGCTCCCCACCTCCTCCGCACAAATTCCAAACACTCGGCAGCAGATCTAGCGCCGGACCACGCGTCCACGAGTCTACCGAGCTCGGATCGGAGAGCTAGAAGGGCTAAGAGAGGCGCTAGACTGGCCGGCGAAAGCGTGGGCAAGGATAGGACCAGGACGGCATAGATCAGAGCGCCGGTGAATCGATCCCAGAGAGAGATGAATGTATCTCCTACCCATGCCGTGGACACAAGCACCTTTTGATGCGAAAGCCGCAATGCTTTCGAGCGTGCTGTGGGCCCAAGAGAGGCCGTCGTGTCGCTCGTTGCCTGCGACGCCCTAGGGCTCGACGATTCAGAGGTCATCGATCGGTTGTGCGTTGACGACGCACCAGGCTGATCTGGCAAGGCGCCGGCGGCGACAGCAGTGCTGACACCCGATGCCGCAGGGATGGTTGGTAGAGCAACTGGTGGCGGCTGCTGCACAAAGCGCGGCGAAGAAGCTTGGGCAACATATCGGCCTCCAGCAGGGCGACCCCTTCCTCGTCTTCCGGTCCTCGTCGTGTTGCGGCCTGCCAAGATGTCAATGATTCCAGGGGGCAAGAACGGTAGGACGAATTCTAGTAACGCGGGTGAATGCGATGGCGAAGGAAGATGAATAGTGCGGGGAATGTTGAAAGGCAAAAGCTGAGGCGGCGGAACTTTGAGCAAAGGAAGACCAAGCGAAAGAAGCGCTGCGAGAGCCTGAGAAGCGAGCGGTCGAAGTTCTCAGCGACGACAGTGGAGTCTGTGCTCTTAACAGATGCTCACCTCCAAACAGACGAATATACGCAGCGGTAACAGAGATGCGGCCTCTGCGTCTGGCCAGCCAGTCCATTGTGCGCTCAATGTCTCAAGCAGCCCGCTGAACCATGGAGAGGCCACGAGCAGTAGACTGACGCCGATCGCTGCCAAAGCCGCGGATGAGAATCTGGAGCGTCTCGAAAAGGTAGACGAGCCCTGCAGTGTCGAAGCGGCGATTGAAGGCCATCAGCGTGCGAGTCTTCGAGTAATGCAGTCATTTGCATTCGAGGCAGTGCTCTCTACTCTCCCACTCACAGTCGCAATCGAATCCTCGACACACATGCCAGCTAATCTGAGTGCCCAGATAAGGTGCAGAGGCAATAAAGCTGGCAATACCTGAGCGTGAAGCAGAATCTCAAGACTGGGAACCGGTATTCTGAATGTGGAGCGTCCTGAACTGGACTTGGACGTAGAGGATGTGCGCGTCGAGGTATTCCTGTGGGCCAGTTTGGTCCGGAGTGACTTGTCGCCCGGTCTAGCACCTTCCTTGGACTCTGCATGCTTCTTTGAGCGTACATGCTTCGTGAGAGACCGAACTGGTCCATCGTTGCCCCTAACATCAGTGTCGTCGTTCAGGCGCTGCTGCTTGCTCTGTGTATGCAACCTCTGTGCCGAATTGGTAGCTGCGCTGTGCGCTGGCTGGGGTCGACTGGAGGCTCCACGGATGGCGCGCAGTGGGAGAGAGGAGTAGATGGATGACAGGAGACTTGCGGGTCCACTTGCGCTCGTTCGGTCGTGAATTTCCGGCACGCTGCTCGATGCCATTGCTGGTTGTGGAGCGACTACTGCAGCTTGCGCTATAAAAGAAGCGGATAAAGCACACTGGTCAGCGCGCGTAGGTGCTTGGACGTGCTAGCAACGCAGCCATGGCTGGCGAGATCGAGCAGCGGACACTCACGCTTAGCATTCAGCCCTGCATCTCGCGACAGATCCCCATCATTGCTAGCTGGGCCAGAGCTTGGCGAAGAAGCGAGGAAGAGAATCAAGATGCAGAGCGCTAACCGAGGTCTGTAGATGTCCTTTCTGAATGCATCCAACGTCGATGCTTGAATGCGAGGCAAGAGTCGGTACGCTGGCATGATGGGCCGGCTGTATGCTTTCGCTCGATGATGATTGCGATGTGGCAAGCTGCAGCTCACCCGTTCGTGTGCTGTGCAGGATCAAGGGTGCTGGGGACGCTGTGACGATCACGGGTCTACACCTTCGTGAAGCTCCGTTCTAAAGGGCGCCGATGCTCGCGCTGCGTGATCGGCTAGTATTGCACGTGAACCGCTCTATGGAGATATGCGACTCTTTGAAGACTGTCTTGAGTGCTTCAACGCAACTTGGCAATACTGCTTGCGAATCAGACGATGTCGACCTCTGCCAGACGTGTGAATCAACGAGAGGCGAATGAGGAGCTCGAGATGCAACCAGATAAGGGAAAGGCCCGGTGTTCGTGAAGCTCGGCTTGCCGTTCTGCGTGCTGCTTACCGCATGCAGCAGCCGCGGTCGCAGTGAATTCATGCGGGCGTTGTGGAGGATCGAGCGTCGGGTCACGTGTCTGAATTTGGCGCCCCACTCATCACGACTCGACTCGGCCATGCGCGCAAGCAGCGACGCTATCCGCGTGTGCCTGCCTGATCGAGCTGCGAGGGCAAAAACGCCCGCGCAAGGTTTGCAGCCGCGGACAAGCAGCAAGCGGCACCCCTCTGCATTCTGCCTAGCTCACACCTCTGCGCTTGCTGTCTTTGCTGTGATATGTGCCATGACAAGGCGTAGACATTATCGATTAATGGAAATGAAAATTGTTAAAGACAATTATGGAGCTTAAATCAAGAATCAAGAATGCATCGCTGAGACACGGATGCGATTCATCAACGCCGCCACGCGGAGAGGCTGCGTTCGCGCGCGTATACTCACTCAAGGGCGCCGCGCGCTCGCTTTGAAGCTTCGCAGCAGCTGCTGCTCAAAAACAGCAGCGGGCAGGATATAGCTGCGAGATGAGCTTTCGCAGCCCGTGTAAACATCTCCTGCTCCTTTCCTCAACACTGAAATTTAGCACATAGCCTGAACCTAACCAAAATCGTGACCACCAGTGAAACCTTGCAAGCGTCAAAAAAATGGTGCTCTGAGGCAACATCAATTAAAGCCTGCAAATCAGAATCAAATGTAAAGCGCAGCAAGCTAACAGCGCTGGATGGATGCCCATACACCCGCTCAGCATACCGAGACCCCGCGTCCTCGAGGTATGCTGCAAACTCTTGCTGAGCCTCTCACATCCACATCGAGTCATTCACGATGTCACAAGCTAATCATGTCATGCTATAGAATAATCATCCTGGCCACTCGCTCAGACGTACAGCCCTCAAGCTAGCTAGGTGTCTGTTCGCAGCACTCGGCGCGCTGCGCTCATCTCACACCTTACCTCTGTCTCCTTCACCCAGACATCCAGCACAGCAGTACTTCCTTTCGGCGAGCACAGCCTGCAAAGTCACTCATTCTCTTCATCCCATTCGATGCTTTCTCGGTCTCCTGGCTACAGCATTCGCCCTCCGTCATCCGCTTCACTGTCGTTGCGTAGCATGTCGCACCTTATGTATGCTGGACCATCGCTCTCTTGTCTTATATCGACAGTAGCATCTATCAGCTCTCACGATTCTTTCATCTCGACACCCTAAACGCAGCACATGACATCCAACACGCAGCTTACCGCTCCAACTCACTCGCTCTGCTTCTGGCGGATGCTGTCCAGCAACACTCTTCATACACTCTTCGCCATCCAGCATGGTGAAGTAGTCAGCGTCAGCGTCTACAGCATGCGCTGCATCAACACCCAGTGCTTCACTTACGACATTTGCGGTCTGCTCGCCTATTCCGGTCCACCTTGATGCAGTGCTGTCTGGTTGGTGAGTCCCTTTTTGCGACGCTTCGCTGGCAGCAACGTGTTGAGCTTTCTGGGGCTGAGCCCGTTATCTTCGTCAAATCGGTGCTACCCTTCATCGTCCCTCTCCAGTGTCCCTAGCCTCGGTCACTCTTAGGCCACCTTGAAGCATCTTGCTCTTCAACTCCTTTGGCGTCTGGCTAGTCCGCGTCACTCACTACGGGGCTCGTCACTGCACCTGGCTCCATCGCAGGCTTGCTGCTCGCAAAGGTGAGTAGTCTTCGCTTCTTCAGCGCCATGTAGTGATGAGTAGCAGCAGAGCAATCGCTGAGAGACTTCCGGCTCCCTTAACACTCCTCTTCTCTGCACAGGTCGGGTATGCATATCGGTCCACGGGGCCCGTAGCAGCAAATGTGGGCTGCTGTGCACCACCATCGGCAGGACTGCAAGGTGTTGGCCGATTGACAGCCCATGTGCTAAGCGCTTACCGGTCGAGCTGAAGATCCAGATGTCCACAGCCTCATTCACCGAGCTTTCGCCAGATAGCGACGCTTTTGAGTGGCGTCCTCGACATCTCCAAAGCCCAATGGGTGCCACCAACGCTTCCTCGCCCTGAAGCTCCGATGTTCAGCCATCTCTGCAGCGCTTTCCCACCTTTTCATCGGGAGCTCTTCCTGTCCCAACACAAGACAGCCGGTCGCTGAGTCTATTAGGAGAGAAGATTGTTAGCCACCATTGACTAGCATTTGCCCGAGTTGCTAGACTCCGCAAGCACAGATGACTGCACAGCAATGCAACACCCACTCAGCTACGCCAGCATTCCGCAACCTAGCCACATTCTGAACCTAGCATTGCCTTCAAGATCGCCAAAAGTCCATCACAGCCTTAGAACTCGCCAACAATCTTGCCTGCTAATCGGCAATGTGCAAACTTACGATCAGTCACCATTCAAGAAGAACCTAGCGCCTGCGTACGTACTCACGCGTGTGCATGTACAGCTCCAGCGCATCAAGAAGACTTCAGCAACCCTCGCCGCAAAGTCCGTCAACGTTGAGGCGCGCCGCTACTCTCCATACAATCCCGTCTTGCATCACCTGACCAACTCAGGTCTCTCAAGTGTTGGAGAACGTCGACGCAGGCCCGGAGAGGGCTCGGTTGTTGCAAGATTCAGTCAAAGATCGGACTCAGAATGCCCAGCGATAGGCTTGACTGGCATGCATCCTACAGGCCGGCGGCCAACCCGGCGTCGTGCAGCCCTGTCGTGCGCCTGAGGAGGTTTACACGCCGCGCAAGTCACACGAGCAGCACCGCACCGCGCCGCACTACTACACTCGAGACTGCCGCCTCGCCGCGTGCGATACTTCAAAACGTTCGCGCCACTCTTGACTGTGGATCAAGGCTGCTCACGTGCACCGTTCTCCTGCCCAGATTTCGACAATCAAGAATTTCACCCAAGCATTCGGTCGAATACTCCAACATAAGTTGAGGCGCGACATCCCGGCGGGACAGCACGATGTCACGAATGCGCCTTCAACGGTCGGACTGCATCGAGCACGAGTAGCTGATGCACGTGCACCTCCGCGTACACTGACTTTCCGCCTGCTGTTATCACTCCACCTCCGCGAGCACCTTCTCGCCCGCGCGTCTTCTATTCGAGGACGACATTTCAAATGCTCGCCTTACACCTCAAGTCTATTCGACCGTTGGGCCCGCCTCTGTGGCCCTGCACACCGCCTCCTGGTTCTACCAAGGCCTGCTATCATCTATCACGCGGCGCCGCTCGACCTCGTCGCTCACTGGTCATTCGCCTCATCAACCGTTCGGACTGAAAAGTCGTGGCCTCGGAGCATGCCAACGGTCAGTCAGGGCCTGCTATTCTCGCAAAGGAGCGTGCATTGCAGCGAGTTTGGGCTGAGAGCTGGCAAGCGTTCGCGCGACTCTATGGCCTCAGCGCACCGAGCGCACGGATGGATGGTTTGGCGGATGGATTTGCGCTCCAGCGAAACTTGCAAAACTTGCAACCTCTGAGCGCTTTGCTCTTCCTTCTCTTCCTCATGGTTAGTTACAAGTTTTCGCGCGCAAAGTCTTCACTTAGCATTTCAAAACTTTCGACAAACCAGCTCGACACGATGGTCTCCTTCGTTGTCGTCCTCCTCGCCGTCCTGGCACTCCTTCTGGCTCTTGAGCCTGTCTCTCCCGCGGTCATGGCGATCCTCTTCGGAGGCTTCGTCGTGTACGCTTTCGTCAACTCGGTCGCTGCTTCGGTCCCTTCGAGCACGACCGCTATCGACGCTTCGGTCGTTGCTGCCCATTCGAGCACGACCCCGGTTGTTGCTGCCCCTTCGAGCACGACCACGGTTGTTGCTGCCCCTTCGAGCACGACCCCGGTTCTTGCTGCGGCCATTTCGAGCAAACCGAAAGTCAACTTCAACATCAAAAGCTCCTTTTCTGGTCGCACTGCTCGCGGTGTTCTGCCAGCCTCTGGTCTTAAGTCTCGCGATGCGGCTCCGACTCGAAGTGGTTCGGTCGGTGGTGTCTTCGGTCCTGGTCTCGCTTCTTCGGCTCGTGCTAGTTCCGCCTCTCGCCCTACGACTCGCCCTCCAACTCGCACCTCGGTTTCTTCTGCGGATGCCTCGGCTCGTGATGGCAAGAGCGATGGCCATGTATACATGCCCTCGTATCTCGCATCGCTTCGTACCTCCGCCTCTGGTTCTCGCCTCCAAGTCCTTCACCTGGATGCATCCCTCTCGGCTCCTCGCGTTCTCAGCGCTCCTGGTCCCGATGGTCTCGACGCGGTCACCGGCACTTCCGATCTCGCTCCTGGTCTCTCTGGTACTGGATCGTCTGAATCGGTGACTTCGGTGCAAGCTCCTGTCTCGGAATCTCTTCCTCGAGGTGTTCGTGGTCTTGGGTTGTTGTTTGGACCTTTCTCTGAGGTGAGTACGATCCACGCGGCTCTATGCTCCACAGATTCGTATAGCTCACCTTCGTATCCACCCATCCACCCATCCATCCATCGCATCCATCCATCGCATCCATCCACTCCTTAGTCACGCGCTTCTGATCTTGGTCGCGCCTTCCGTTCTCTCGGACCTTGGACTGTTGGCCCTCTCGTCTCCAACGTTCCTGCCACCGGTTCTACTTCGACACCTGGCGCCCTTGCCGGTGTTGACTCCGACAGCGAGAACGAGGACGACGAGACTCCCCGCGCCTCGGTTCTTAACAAATTCGTCAATGTGCCTGCTTCCCCTCCTCTTGCGTCGGCATCCGCTTCGAAGTCGAGAAAACCTTCTGCTTCGCGTCCGCGTCCGCGTCCGCGCCCAGTCCTTCCTGCCTTCCCGACCGACTGGAACCTTCGTGCGCCGATTCGCGACTACAGCCTCTCCCGCCCTCGCACTCCCGAGCACAGCCTCCCTCGTCCTCCCGCCGGCTTCGTCTGTGGCGGTTTCCGTCACGTTGAGAGACCCGAGCTTTGCAAATCGTCGCCGCTTCCTCTTGCGACCCCTGCAACTCCTCCAGTCGATGGGCCAGCCAAGCTCGATCATTGTCACGATGCTCTCCCACCGAGCGAAACGAACTCTGTTTCCGTCGGAGGTAACGAGGTCAGCACCAAGGATGCTGAAAGGGTCATGTGTTCTAGCAGCTTGCAAACCGAGGATCTGCCTTCTCCTTCCGTTGATCAGGACGTTAGCAATGAGGAGAAGGAAGTATCTGACGACGTTAGCAATGAGGAGCAGGATGGCTCTAACAACGTCAGCATTGAGGAGCAGGAAGGATCTGACGATGCCGATCCGGACAGCTCCTTCGACGACGTTTTGGAATCGACTGCGACCGATGACACTTCGGAATCGGCCGCGACCGACGAGACGTCGATCGAGCTCCTGAACTCCCCGCCTGCGTCCGGTGCTCTCCTTGTGTCCGAGTCGCCCATCGCAGAGGATCTCAACGACCTTGTCATGCTGTTCGAGCGTATGTCGATTGACTCCGAGTCGCTGCTCACTGACGCGGCCGACCTGGTGGGTGCCGTTGAGGATGCTTCCCACGCGATTGGTTCTCTGGCCTCTACTGAGCCAACAGCAAACGACGATCTCGTCATGCTGCTCGAACGTATGTCGATTGACTCGGAGTCGCCTGCTTCGCCAACCTCCCGCGACGATCTCGAAGATGTCGTGCTCATGCTTGAGCGTTCGACCTTGCAGGACGCATCCTCACTGGACAACGCTCAGGAAGACTCGATGGAAGTGGACGAGCCCACGGCTTTCGAAGCGGTCGACAGCATCATGGACGTCGATTGTCCTGACTGCGTGATGCTGGAAACGGTCGACGTCGACATGGACATGACGCCTGCCAAAACCTCGAAGAGAATGAGCGACGACGTGCTCGCTGGTCCGTCCAAGCGTGCTCGTAGGCTCAAGCCTTCACTCGGCGGCAAGAGGCGCGTCTCCTCGGCCGCCAAGATGATCAGATCTGACCTTCGCCACTGGCGCGTGGTCAAGACCTTGCATGCGCACTTCGCTTCATGTGCGTGGCACTCAAAGATGAGCTGCCAGGCGCGCTTCGAGACGCATCTAGCCTGTTGATGATGGATCTCGACGTAGAGGTGACGGTCCACGAAGCTATTGGACATGGACGCTCCCTCCTCGCGCGACACGATCGCCCGCGTGCGAGCACCTCTATGCTCTTTCGAATCATTCGTAGTTGTGCAAGTCTCTGCACTCGTCTTCGTCACCGTTCTTGTCGACCTTTCTTTGGTCCGCGTCCTAGTCCCCACCATCCCCGCTCGCGATCTCTTCTCCGCTCTCATTCTCGAGAAGGTCTCCGCACCCGCCCCGTTCCGATCCCCCTTCGCGGCCCAGCTGGCCGCGCTCAAGTTCATGGCCTCGTTCCAGCCCAATCCTCGGGCTGCGTCTCAAGTCTCCGTCTCAAATCCTTCTCATAGTTCTCAAGCCCGGTGCAACTATCATCTGTACTATCCTCAGCATTATTATACCTTCCCCTGTCCTCGTCATCGCCGTCTCATCTTGCCCCTGACATCGCAATACAACTCCGGCGGCACTGCTATCGTTTCTATTCCTACATTTTGACCGTAGTGATCCTTGTTGTGATCAGTGAGGTGTTCCATTGCCGTGATGGCTCGCCTCGTCTCAGACTCAGCAAGACAGGCTCAATGAAGGTGACGTGACTTCTCATCAAAGCTGGCAATCCGTATCAAGCTCTCGACCAACGGCCAACTCGACGGAGGGGCCCATCTAATTCTCGCAATCCCTCGAATGGATTTCGAGGGCAGGTAGCTGCTCGTTTGCCGCGATGCTAACGAAAATGTGGACGTGTACGACCATAATGACCTGTGACGCTAGGTATGATACACGTAATCGACACGCTTCTCGCAGTCCACATCAAATCGCACCACCAAAAAAGCCATCTCATTCGCGCTCTCCATCATACAACTTTCGCTCCCTCACAATCCTATCCTTTTCCTCTCTGTGCCTTCCACCCTAGGCTGCGCAGCGCCCTTACCTTTGCCCCTGGACGAGTCCGTGGACAAAGAGACGGTACAGTGCTTGTCTTGCAGCCAAGATACGCTCCAAGTGCCTTCTTGAGAAGTGCGCAGAGTGTACGTCGACTGCTGCACATTCGTCACCTGACAGAACAAGGCGCGAGGAAGCAAAACGATCGCGAATCAGTTTATCGGGTCGTGCTCGCAAAGCGTCATCGCGCGGCTTCTCATATCTTGCTCACCGTGTGCGTCTCGAGCACTTGTGGTCGAGGATTCCTATCGATGGGCTCGGTGCGAGAGTAGGTAAAGGAGAATGGAGGTTCTCCTTCGAGGTGAAAGTTGATCTCCGCTTGGTTACCTGCACGTCGAAACATATCAAGACCATCAGCAAGTCCTGCCAGACTCGTCCTTCATCTCGACCCGCAGCCCCCCCAACAAATTCCACTCACCTTCCGGCAGATCCTGAATGTAGTGCCGACCCTGGCTGATCCTAATCTTTGGCAAGGCATGCACCACCTTGCTCATGCCCCCCATCCCGCGCACATCCCTTCCACACTTGCTCCTCTCATGCGCCACGCTCCTAATCTGCAACGTGCCAGGATGTTCCGCAAACCTAGAAAATCTCGCTTCGTTGGATGTGGTGCGAATCGTTTTTCCAGCAAACGCGTACTCGATCTGCCAAGGCGAAGCGCCTTGCAGCGTGAATGGGATGTTTTCGCCCACGCAGAAATCCGAGCGACTCTCTTCCGATACGATGCCTGGCGTCTCCACCACCGTCGTCTCCCAACCGACAGCCTTGGCACCGCTCGAACCTCCATAGAGCGTCTCGCACCCATTAGCGTCGACCACTCGATCGAGTTGCACTGTGCGAGGTCGAGAGCGAGGGAAAGCAGAAGAGTCAGTATGGTTCTGCACCTTCATTGTTGCCTCCTGCTCGTAGCACGACTCACCAGACCATGCTCCCGTCTTGTCGAACGAGAACGCATCAGGAGCAACGCTGAGCGCGTGCGTCGTGGAGCGCACGTCGCTCGCATGAAAGTTCCTTCTGCTACGCGAAAGACCTCCAAGCCCGCCGGCTGCATGTCCAACAGAAAAGTCGACCTCGAACGGTGGCGCGCCAGATAGCTTGATGAGCGGTAGCACCGAGCTTTCTCCATTCGAGACCGCCTGCAGAGCTTGTCCGACGCAAAAGGAGGTAGAGCTTTTGGCTTCGACGAAGACTGCGGAAGGTGCTTGGTGCACCATCTGCTCTAACCTTAGTAGACCTCGAGATCTCTGACCTGGCGAGACGACCGCAGCAGGGTAGTACGCATCACCGACAGCGGTCAGATCATACGTGTGCCAGCCAGACCTGTCGGATGCAAGAGGCAAGGTCGCGGCGCCCTGCGCAGAGCTGAGCGTCTTTTCCTGCCTTTCGCGCTTACCGGCGTGTCCGGTGATTTGATGGGCGTACGTGATAGACAAGGGGGAGTGGCCCGTCAAGACGATATCCACCGCATCTGGCTGTCCAATGCAGACGGCGTTTCGTATCAACGAGTCGTTGCCGGATGGTGCGAGGTTGCCGGAATCGACGTCGAATGCGATGGTGGGACGCGGTATGGGATGAACGTGGAATTTGGATCGTTCGACGATGACGCTTCCTGCACAATGAGCATCCCTAACGCTGCGCAGCTCCCACGTTCCAGGCTGGTCCACCTCCACAAAAGCGTCGCTGGATGCCAGCTGGAGAGTCTTTGCCGATGAAACATCATCTACGAGCGCCATGTTGACCGTCCAAGGTGCATTTCCGACCAATCGCAGCGGCAAGCGAGCCTTTTCACCTTGGAGCAAGTTGACCTCATTCGCTCTTTCCCTCGTTCCAAGCAGCTCGAATGCAACGGTAGGTTCCTCTCTTTGCACATCGAAAAACCTATCAGAGCCGACCAATGCGCGTTCGCACCCTCTACCATCCTTGACGCTGATCAAGCTCATCGTGACCAGACCTCCAGACTTAGCTGCGACCTTTGGCATCTCGACGTCGAAGCGATGCGCGCCGCTCTTGATGTTCTGAATAGTGTGCAGCGTAGCTTTGGACGTGGTGCTGCCTTCTCCCGTCCTGAGCGAGTAGCCGAGGGTAAAGGGGCCACTGCCGCGAAATTCCACCTCCACCGTGGCAGTATCACCGTCACAATTGTGCAGCACCACCGTTTCCGCTTGCGTCGCTGCATTCTTGACGTTCCTTGCGTGCTGATTGGCATTAGTGCGCGAGACTTGTTGCTGCGCGGACAGAGGTCTGAACCTGGCATCAGCGAGCGGATGTATGCTCTGGGTGAAGGTCGCATCGCGAATCTCGACGCCGGCATAGTTCGCGTCGTCAAGCTTCAAGAAGCGATACGTAACGTTGCCGTTGAGGTTGGGTCTCAATTCCATTTCCGTGCGCATCGCTTCTATCCTCTTGACGCTACGCTGAGGCGGCTTGCCAGCCACGCTCTCTTGCATCTCGAGGCGGAAAGGAGGCGTGCCGGACAAGCTGACCAAAGCTTTCGCCCCGATCGTTCCGGCGCACTGATCTTGAATGGCGTGAAATGTGACGTCGGCTTGCGGCGGAGGCACGTCGACAGCTCGGCAAACAGACGGAGCGAGCACTTCTCCATCGCAAAAGGCACCCCCTACCGAGTCGATGCTGTAATCTCCGAGTCCCTGCAGCGCGTGCTCCGACGTGCCCGCGGGAAGCGTCAGGTTCTTGACGCTTGGTGCTGCTCCCGAAATGGATTGGTAGCGCAGCAAAGCATGGACAGGCCCGTCGAAAGCCCCATCGCCGGAAACTTCGATCCTCAGCTTCTTGTCGTCCAGCTTGTTGCGCAGCACCTTGATGGGATTGTCGATGCTGCACAATTTCAGCGCTACCCTTGCCCGGGGATGCACCACCACTGCTCTGCTCGCGATGGTTTCCGACGCAGATCGATGACTTTCGCTTGTAGCAGGATGCATGCTTCTTCCACACGCATCGACAACGCTTTGCAAAGTGTAAGTGTACGTGCCAGGTTCTCGCGTGTCGAGCGTCAAGGGAATGTCGACACTTTGAGCTTCTGCCCAGGCTAGATCTGCAGCAGCGATGGATCGCTTCAGAGCTTCGGACATGCCGCTCACGGATCCAGAGAGACCATCGAGCGGGCTGGTCGGATGTTGAGGGCTCGAAATCCTCGCGATGCGCAGTTGCTTGACGTGCGCAGCCGGTGCGGCGGACTTGGTTTTGGGGGTTGCCGCGCCTGGTCGGGTGAATGCAGCGGACGATTGGGTGTAGACGAGTTCCAAAGGTGCTACTCCTTTGACCCTGACGTGGAGATCGCCCTGATCTGCAGGGCAGTGATGAAGAGTCGGCAACAGCCCGTCTTTGTATTGCTTGGTGAGGGCACCAGACGATGTCTTTCCCTTGGCGCTTGCATCTGCCTTTGAAGGAGCAGCGAGAAAGGTGGCAGATGGGCATTGCACCACAATCACCTCCGACCGATCAATGCGCGCATCGTGTTGCTTCTTGTCCAGCACTCTTTCCAGCTTGACACGACCCACCTGACCGACCGGCAGGTTGAACAGAAATTGCTTGCCTTGCGTCGCAGCAGTTGCTCGCTTCGCGCGCGCGTCGGACCCAGCGACGATGGCGTTATCTGTGGAGCCCGCGCCTCCGCGTCGCACAACTTGTCCCTGCTGAAGACTGGAAGGTCTAGCTTGCTCGATGCGCGCTAGGCCGGCCTGATCGTCATCCAGCTCGTAGTCCAACTGCTGTTTGCGCCCAGCTGACACGTCGTCTGTAGATTGCGCCAGGCTATGAAGCGCCGAGCCTGGAATGCTCATATTGAAGTAGTCGACCAAAGAAGGATCGTTGAAGGATGTGATGCTGTACTGAAGCAGTGCGGGCTCGGTGTTGTTGAAGAGCAAGGGCAAGCTTGCGGTTCGAGCGTGAGGACCGACGCAGTGACAAACTGTCCTGGTGTGCTCGTGGGACAAGGTGGCTGTGCTGTACGGCAGGATGTGAACCGTATACTGCGGGTGATGGGGGACCAAAGTTAGTGGGTCAGGACGTGAGCCAGCCTCGAGGCCATGACGTTGCCATGCGCACCTGGCCGATGATGCGCTCCTTGGGCGCTACGAGTCGCTTGACTTCCACTCTATTGCCCTCAAAGGAGAGCTGTCCAGCCCACGGGTTGACCGTATCTGCCGAGGAGGTTGCGTGCAGTCGATCCTCAGCATCAGCCAATCGCGGCCGCCGCACAAGAAGGCGCATGCATGCTACTCACTCGCAAGCCCAGTGACTGTAGAGCTAATCGGTCCGACCACCGGCAAGGCGTAAAGTATGGTAGGCAGCCATCTCCACCCACCCGCGAGCAAAAAGTCAAAGGAGGCTAGCAGGGCAAAGATGGCGACCCACACGGTGGGTTTGAGGTCCAGACGCGGTATCCTTAATCGAGCGAGCGCATACAACAAGCCTACGTCCAGCAAGAGAGATGTTGTGAGAAAAGGTGCGAGAAGACTTGAGCTGCTGGCGCTACTCGAATGATGTGATCCGGTCGATGCGAGGGAGGCGATGGGCGAGATGGATTGACCGGCTGCGAAAGGCTGAATGAGGAGATGATAGATCTTGTAAGAGTGAAGCAGTACCGTCGCTGTAGCTGCCCATCGTCTCTGTGTCGGACCGTCAGCGAGCGAGAGGGGGATGAGCGAGGGAGAAGAGCTCATCGTGCTTCGTTCGAAGGGGAATGACTGATTGCGAGTGCAGCGCGCGAAGCGGGCGTTAGGAAGAAGGTGCCAGGCAGCGCAGCTACTCTACCGGATCATCATCTCCATCTCCAATCGAGCGAGCGTGGTTGATGCTGCGCCTTTTGAAGGGTTGGTCGCGGTGACAGACGTTCAATTGAGTCTGCCAGAGAGGAGCGTGTTGGGAGGAGGAGTAGGTACAAGCGCAAGGAGAGCCTGTCGCACCTGCCCGCAGTTGCGAGTGTGAGTCACGAGTGAGGATAGGGTGTGCACGGCAATCGTGAATCGTGAATGTGAATGTGAATGTGAAGGGCTTGGCTTGAGGCTCCGCTGCTCGGTGAGTATATTGCAGGTGCTGGAGCTGCTGGACTGGACGTGCTGGTGAAGCGTTTCTGCGTGCAATTCGTGATTGTGAATCACCACTCTTCATCAGGCTGGAGCAGTAGTCAAAGTAGCCTCCACCGCCAGTCACGAGTCACGAGTCAGCTTGGGAGTTGCTTGCTGTGCTTGTCGCTTCATCTGTGCTGCTGCTGCTGCTGCTGCTGCTGCATCGCGGTCCATCATCATCATCATCATCCTCCAAAAAAAGACGCGTCTTTAATTGCGGCCTGCAGTCACGGGTCGCGAGAGTCGCGAGAGTCACGAGATCGACTCAAGACTTGAGTCGTCGCCCGCGGTGTCGATGTCATGATCGACCCGTACGAAACATTCACGCCGTGCGCGCGCGCGCGTATAGACGCGCAGCACACACCCGCATGCATGGCCTTCGTGTCGCGTCCCGCGCGGCCGTCGCTGATGCTGCTGCTGCTGCTGCTATGCTTGCGATTCGCTGCTGCTGCTGCTGCTGTGCGTGATGAAGCGCGCGGGAGGATGCATGGGAATGGATCATGGATCGCATGCAGTCACCATTCAGCAGCGGTGCGTGAGTGAGTGAGTGAGGAGAGGAGGTGCATGACGAAGCAATCAATCAATCAATCGACTCGATCAAACCTCATCATCCCGAATCACAAGCGCTCACACCGAAGCTGCTGCTGCACATGCTCGGCCGTCCCATCTGACGTTTGACTTTGTTTGGGAGCTCGTGCACATTGTCGACTCACACTGTCATCACGACTACCTACAAGTCGATCAATCAGTGTTGCTGTCCGTCGCCTTGGAGGCTGACTGGCATAAGAGCAGCTGCTGCTCGAACCTTTCGCCAGGCGAATCACATTCACATCCACATCCACATCCACACCCACGCCCACACCCACATTCGCGGCACATTACCCCTCTCTTCTTTCCCCCCTGACGCAACGCCTGCTCGAATCAAGCCAAGCCAAGTTCATCACCCGCGCTGTGATAGGCCCCCCACAGTCCATCCACTTGCCCGACCAGCCATCCGTCCGAGTGTCCGCCGCCGCACTTTGCAACTTTTCCCTCATCTCGCTCCTCTTTGCCCACCCTCGACGCGCGCGCGCTCTCTCTCTTTCTCTCTCTCTCGCAAAGATGGCAAGAGCGGGATCGATCGCCGTCTCTTCCGGCTCAGACAGTGGAGCACCTACGAGTGGTCGCAAGTCTGTAGGAGCAGGTAGCGCCAGCAAGAAGACCGCCTCTTTCGCTGCTGCTCGCAAGTCCAACAGCTCCAGTTCGAACAAAAAGTCCAAGAGAGGAGAGGAAGATGAGGTGGAAGAGGTGATCGATGAACCTCATCAAGATGGTGATGAGGTCGCTATTCGAGAGGAGGATGAGGATGAGAATGTCGAGGAAGAGGAGGAGGATGATGATGATGATGAGGATGAGGAGCCGGAGTACGAAATCGAAAAGATTTTGAGACATCGATCTGCCAAGAATACGGGCAAGATTGATTATTACATCAAGTGGAAAGGATACGATCTTAATGAAAGTACCTGGGAGCCAGAGGTGAGTCTTGCTGGTGGTGGGCGGTGGTAGAGCAGAGCGGAAAGGTTTGGGAGCCTGGCTCGTGTGCTAAGCAACGCTCATATCCACTGCTACGCGATGCAGGCCAACGTGAAGGCTACGGCTGGCGAAATGGTCAAGCAGTACTGGGAAGGCGCGCCTGGCAACAAGGTGCAACCGCGCAAGTACCTCTCGCCCTCTAAAGCCGCCGCAGCCGCCGCTCTGGCCGGTGCCAAGCGAAAGCGATCGGCCGGTCGAGCATCCGCCGATGCCGATGCTGAGTCCATCGAGCAAGTTGAGGATGAGGAGGAGGAGGAGGAGGAGGAAACGTCGGCAGAGAAGAGCAAGAGCAGCAAAGCAGCGCCTAGCAAAGAAGAGAAGGAGCATGCAAAGCATTTGCAGGATGTTCAGAGGGAAAAGGAAAAGTACGAAGCGATGGATAGTTGGGACGATATTTGCATATGCGAGACGATGGAGAGGGGAGAGGATGGCGTGCTTGTCGCTCTCATGAAGTTGTGAGTGTGTGTGTGTGTGCGCGCGCGCGAGAGAGAGAGAGAGATAGAGAAAGAGAGGGAAGGAGGAAGAGCGAAAGGATGACGATGTTGTTGATGATGATGATGGGGTGAAGGGGCATATCGTAGAGCGCATGCTTACCCACCTATCTGTCTCACTCGACGCCCGTCTTGCTCGCTCCGCGCAGCAACAAGTGCAAGTACGAGCTGGATTTTCCAGCCGAAATCTGCTACAAGCGAGCTCCTCAAAAGGTAAGCTTGAGGGAGGGGTCCGAGCAGAGTTGAAGTGGGCCATGCGCGCAATGCATCCATCCATTCGTTCACTCAGCGCCGCGTTGAGGGGGGGCAGGAGCGAATTGGCAAATCGAATTTGGAGCGCTGACCATTTCGTGTTCCTTCTGCCCGCTGTCCCCATCGACGAATCAATGCACCCACGCTGCGGCCCGCGCCGGGCACAGATGCTAGCATTCTACGAAGCTCATTTGCGCTTCAAGACGCCTACGGCCGGGGCGGGCAAAAAGACGAGAAAGTAAAAGGAAGCGGAGGGAGAGGGAGGAGAGGGGCGCCGCTCAAGACTCTATTTGGCGAGAATGAAGGAAAGACGAGCGATGGGAAGGATAGGAGGGCACTAGGATGTGAGGTCATCAGACGAGACGAGAGAGCTGGAGAGACGCTTGCTTCGTTGGCCACAGCGACGCCATGGACACCTTCTAGTGGGATAGGAGATGGGTGATGAGTCGTGGCGAATGGGATGCGCACGGCGTGCTTCGTGTTCCCACGGCTGGGCTGGAACGTGGACAAGGGCAGGGGCAAGGGCAGGCTGGGGAGAAGTGAGGGAGAGGGTTCGTCGGTGGTGGCACATGAGGGCATCTTTGCGATTTTGCGCCAAACGTTGCGCGCGCGCGCGCACTCCCTCTTGGGCAATGACTTCCCAACGTTCCACAACTTGACCCCACTCCTCGACACATCCTCTCACTCGCCTGCTCGCCCCCCACTCGACCACTGATAACTCGCCGCCGACCTGATTCACACTCCCAAAAGAAACAAGAGGGGGAAACTTTTTCCACATTCCTTGCGCGAGCCCAAAACGCATTCGCCACCCCATCCCGACCCCATCCCCACGCCAACCGCCCTGCCTTTCCCTCTCCTCCTCCCCTCCTTCGTGCATCTTGCATCTCTTTCGCCCAAATCTCTATATACATCTTCTCGCTTCATATCAGCCCGATCTACAGCTCCACCCTCCCCCCTCCCCGCTTCCTCGACTCGACTCGATCAGGCTCTGATGCGGAATGGGAGGGGGCATCAATATCCAACGCGCGCGCGCGCAGGATTCTCCCACGCACCTACCAAAAACACATGAAGACTTGTTCCTCCCTTTCCTTGCTGCCTGCCTGCCTGTCCCCGGAACCTTTTAATGATGAAGTGGGGGAAAGGAAAACTTTTTTTTCCTTTCTTGGGGAACCACGCACGCCATCCTCGAAATTCCCGTTCCCTTTTTTTTTGTTTTTTTGGCTTTGGGATTCACGCGATTCATTGTTTCCCGCCGTCACGAGGGGCCGGGTAAGCCCAGACATGACTTTTTATATTCCCAGAAGCGTGTGTGCGTGCGCAAGTCACGATCGAGCTCAGTGCCAAATCTATATAGATTGGGGGTCATGATTTTTTCTCCCCCCCGCGATTCTTCGCCCCCAATTTCGTATTATTGTGGTGACGCGTCTATGCGCTGCCGTACGACCCCATTTACGCTTTTCACTCAACCCCCCCATCCCCACTCCCCTCTAATTCATCTTCTTGTTCCTTTTCTTCGTCGAAGCGGCAGCAGCAGCAGCAGCAGCAGCAGCAGCAGCAGCAGCAGCAGCGTTGGATGATGCTTTTTCCGAATGGGAAGACGCGACGAGCTGAGCATCGTCTTGCCAAGCTACTGCAGAGGAGGCGATGTCCTTGCGCGTCGTAGGAGCCGTGGCCGTGGCCGTGGCCGTGGCCGTGCCAGTCCCTGTTGTTCTCCTCCGCCTCTGCGTCGTCCTTGTCGTCGTCGCTGTCGTCGTCGCTGCAGGCAGCCAATGGATCATCAAAGCTCTGGCAGCGAAACAAAGGGCAATGATGATCGTAGCTGCCGCTTTGGCCACATCGACTTGCTCTGCCTTCGATGGCAATACGGAGGAGGAGGAGGAGGAGAAGCGCACATTCCCGTCATCCTCCTCCTCCTTGGCCTGCTGGCTGTCAGCGTGCACAAACGCGAACCTGCTCCACCACCCCGCATGAAGGGCGGTGTAGGATGTGTGGGAGTGGGCGATGCATCCGTACGCCGTGGCGGCCAAAAAGGCGGCCAAAATGTCCACCACCTGCAGCAAGCTCTGCGCTCTCGTAAACGGCGGAGCGTTCAATGTCCACGTGCGGTCAAAGATGCCCAGCATGCCTCCGACTTGCGAGCCTGCTGTAGCTGCTAGCACGCCGCAGAGGATTTGAAAGGGCAAAGAGGCGCGGACGAGGGGGTTTGCGTGCGCGAGGGGAAGCGCTACGCCTAGACTGACAGCTTGCGCCCGCATACCACCATCCAGCACGAAGAGGCAAGTGTCGAGAAGCGCAGCAGCGTTGGGTGCTGCTGGAGCGAAAGAGAGCAAAACTTGCAGGATAAAGTGCGCAGAGAGGTAGTTGAGCAGGGGAGAGATGGAGAGCAATTGTGCAGGAACCGTATTGTTCAGGTAGGCCACTGCAAAACTTCCTCCCCACGCCTTGGGCCAGTCGCCAGTCGCCAGTCGGAGTTGTGGAGTTCAAGGTGGGGAAGTACGCTTTACGGTCAGATGCCGAGCACACACCTTTCACCCGCACACTCCACCACGTGACACGACGCATCAGCCCCCCCGCCCGCAAGACTCACCATGATCAAGAAGCCCACCGTATCCTGCATCCAGCCCGGACCCAGTCTTTGCTCCCTCTCCCTCTCCCTCTCCCTCTCCCTCTCCCTCTCCCTCTCCCTCTCCCTCTCCCTCTCCCCCTTTCTCTCGCCATTCTCCATCATCATCCCCTCCCTGCCCTCATCTTCGCGCCTCCTCCTCCTAGCCAGACCAGCAAGCGCTCTGAAAGCCAAAGAAGTCCTCAGAGCATGAAGT